TGACCTCAGCGCCCTTGTCGAGCAGCAGCTTCACAATCGCCTCATGGCCTCTAGATGAAGCTGCCTGGAGCGCGTTGCCGTAGTGTCCACCCTGCACGTTGATGTCGGCTTCCATGTCAATCAACACCTGGGCAATATCCACATCGCCGTCAGAGCACGCATAGTACAGAGGGGTGCTGTCATTGCTGTCTTTCTCATTGATGTCGCACCCTGCCTCAAGGAGTCGATTGACTGCGCTAGTAAGTCCTGCAGAAGCCGCCAGGTGTAGCGCATATGTTGGGGGCGCTTGCTCAACCCATTTCTGCCTTAAAGTGGGAACATTGTAAAGGCTTGTGCTATACACGATCGTACCAGGAGTGACTAGGAAGTCCATGCGATTGAAGCGCTCCTTGATAGTCCAGTAGTCGTGGCCATCTCGCAACACCTTGATCTGCAGGATGGCTGCAAGAGATGCACTCTCTTGTCGCAAAATAGTCTCCAGTTGGTTTATAACATCGAGAGAGAGCTCTTCGCATCTGATGATATGATAGTCGAAGCTCTGGTATGGATAGCTGGCAAGACTGTTGTTATTGAATCGGCAGTGTAGACCCCATACGTCACGAGCTGGCTTTCCGAATGCTGTTAGTCGGATGTACGCGATACACGCTAAGCTCAATCGTGTGTGCACAGCTTTCGAATCGAGAAGCTGCGCCCGTATGCTTCTGTGCGGCAGCCCTTGAATAGCAGTTGTCAAGAATTCCTGCACTGTGTAGTGAATCGGCCGGATCAAGCCGTTAGCTTCTTCCAGCAGATTAGCACAAGCCTCAAGGATTACTTGAGGTGAGTCGGTCTGCAGATCCTCTCTCACTTTGCAATTTGAGTTGACTGCAAGCGCAAGTTGTAGTTCTCGAGTGCTGAGAGGCCTCCGGGTATAGAGGGTCCAAGCTAGGCAATTGATTGCCAAATCCCTCATGTATGGAGTCTGGGCTTCGATCCGCTCCAGAATCCGAACGTAGGTGTCCGGCAAGCCCTGGGGCAATGCGTCCAGCGCAGCTTCTACCACTGCGTCTTTTTGAGCCTTGCTGGCTTGACAGAGGCTGTCCAGCTGAAGGTTGACCCAAAGAAACCTATGTCACAGTCAGCCTGAAAGACTTTTTACCAACCGCTGGACGAACACTTACATCCCCTCTGCCTTTGTAGCGAGCGTCCGAACAATCTTTTCCTTGAGTCCATCGTTGGTAACGTAGAGCGTCTTTCCATGCTCCCCACCCTGTAGTTTTTCAACCTGGCTGCGAGCGAAAGTCTCAATATCGGCGGTGACGTTCTCAGTCTGGATTTGGATCGTGGGTATGTGTCTGTCACCGAAGGCTTTGGCGATGTCCATTTCGTTCCGACTCGTGACGAATACCTTAACATGGCATCGAACTTGAGCCGTCACTATGCCGGTGATGAATCCAAGAATATCTCCTCGCTCTTGCTCTGGACACTCGTCTAGAGCGTCGAACACCACGTATACCTGAGGCAGATCTTCGATGAGGGATCTGAACCTTTCCTGTGTGCCCACCAGAGATGAAGGCAAGGCATCATGCTTGGTTTGGAGCAGGTCGCGGGGCAACTGGTCCTTTCTTCGACACAACTGCTTGAGCAGTGCAGTTACGATTTGATGAAGCTCTTTCAGCCGCGCGTCCCGATAGTTGTAATAGGCAAAACAGAGGGCGGCATCCTCTCGTAGTCCAATCTTCGTCGTAATGTCTTCGATGACGTTTGACCTAGACTGCGATTAGGATCGAGGCTTTCCAGGCAAGACAGGTGCCGTCTTCACTTACGCAAGCACAGATTTACCGATTCCAGCTGTAAGTTATCATCAGAACACGTCTTTAGAGTAAGATTGCAGTAATGCTTACGCTTGCCGTGGCACCAGAGAAGGGATGAGGCCGGGCTGGTGAACCACTGCTGATACTTTGGCTCTTTTATCAGCCAGTCGCACGTCTTTTCATGCTTCTTCGCAAAAGTGTCTTGGTGAGTTTTCTCGAAGTCGATGCTCGATAGCCAGGTGAGGAATGCCGACCTCTCCTTCCCTGAACATCTGTTAATCACGAACATGAGTATGTGACATTGGAGTGGGCGGTCATACCTTCTTCTTCACGCCTCCTTGCTTGCTCAACCTTTCTGGAGAAGTCAAAATGCAGCGACTGGACAGAATGCAGCAGTACGTCAAGGTGGTGCTGCAGATCTTCTTTGATGGTCGCAAACTCAGACTCAAACGTCTCCCAGTGCTGGCGCATGAACGCTCGGAGAGATGTCCACTTCCGCTGATTACCTTCGGCATCGACGAATACGCGGCGCGCCTTCCGGCCGAAGCCGAGCACGTTAGCGTAAGCATTGACCACTGTCGTTTCTACCAAACTAATATCTGCCGCCTTCCCATATTCCGCTAGAGGGCCCAGGTAGTCTTCGAAAGTGCAGATCATGTCGCTCAGCTTGCTGAAGTACATCGTGAACTTCAGGGCGAGGTCGATGACGACCCTTACAGAGCCAACGACCAGAGATGATATCTCAGGACTCGCCTGGATGCCTATAGCGACGCCTCCCATGAATCCATCAAGCAGAATCAGGAACTTCGAAAGACGCTCAGCGTGAGGCCTGAAGGATGAGTCGTCCTTATGCGCCGCGTCGTAAGCGTGCACGCGGGAAAGCAGGGTTCGCTCGTCAATCATCTTGGATGCCTGCGCAAACGCGGCTTTCTCGGCCTGCGGGAGCTTCTCCAATGTTTTCGCTAAGGCCTTTTCTAGCACCAAGCTACGCGGCGTTGTCGCGACCGACAGATCTGTGCTCGATGCAGGCGGACATGGCGGGGACGATAGCGGTGGAGCGGGAGAAGATGCTTGTTGTGCAGGCGGCAGAGGAAATCTGTGGGGTGGTGCTGAAGGGGTAATGTCTGACGTGAACAATGCTCGAACACGATTCTGCATGCGGTCTCGTTTTCGCATCATTGATGAAAGTCGTAGGTCTGATGACTGTGTTTGTTAGTTGGTAAGTTTCTCCACTCATGCGTGCGGCACGTCTTCGACATTGCGGGGCAAGACTGAGGCTCAGCAGGCTGCGCCTCTTTGCAGCATCGACCTGCAATATGCATGCCTGACATCGTTTGTTGCCAGCCTGCTACAACACAGGTCGGTTAATCGTAACAGAGCAAATACATCAGAAGCAAGGAGAACCTATGGCTGTGCCTCTAAAGCGAGGTAGTGAGAAGGCAGGGATGCGCAGTCTGTTCGCCAAGATCACCAACAGTGACGGATGTTGTGTTCAGTGCGCTGATTTCTGCCAAGAAATTACCCGGTACGCATCTTGGGTACTGGTAAATAACTTTGGTGGCCACTGCTTGCAAGTACCAGATAGCCCAGGGACAGAAGCCACCACTGCCATTGAGCAACTCAGATAACGCCTAGCCTGCGGTCTGAATGCATACGACGAACTGCCAACAGTAGAAGCACCCGCACAATTGTGTTTCGCAACCCCGTTCCTGCGCGTGCAACCGTTGTCTATCTGCGCGCTCATGTCCTCCCCTCTCGATACCGTCCCATATGCACCCCACGAGCTCTAACCTTGAGTCGTCGCCTTTGGTTCAACTCAGCCGTACTTCCCGCAGAACCGGGCACAGGAGCTCTCAGCCCCCGTCCTCCGCTATAGCTGGACGAGCCGCAATCTCCATCTCGCATTAGTAGCACGACCATAGCAAAGCGCGATGATGGATACACCGACGACTCGGCCAGTTACGGCGAGATATGATAAGCCATACAGTAATCACTGGGCGAAAGCGAGCACCATGGCAGGTGGTGTAGAGTCGTGTGAGGGACCTCGCCACGGTCTGCACTAGCACGGTAGTAGTTCAACATGCCTGATGGAACGGGCTGCGCCAGAACGAGGCTGACCTTGTCCATCATGGCGAACTTGTTTGAATAAGAAAGGAAAGACTAGGAACGTTCTAATAGACTCGAAGCATGGAGTAGAGGACAAAGGTACGCGGTCGTAAAGACTTCTAGAAAGCTATAAGCGTGCGCCACGCCTATTGTAAGAGTTGTCGTAACGAATAGGCGTACCGCTGATTTAGTGGCAACAAAATGCACATGATATAGGCGGAAGCTAGGGAAGCTGACATACACTAAGCTTTCTTAGCGCGTACCGAGCGTATGGTCTCGTCTGTAAGAGTCTCCTCCTCCGCACAACGGCGCTCCTGGCACGCTCGTTTCTGTAGTAATTTCCAAAGTCCCAAGAAACGAACTTCCTGGACGCACTATCTACTCAGTCGTCCGCTAGACAGAAGCTCTCTCAGAATGCTGAGTAAACAGGGGGATATCGCTGAAGGGTCGTTTGACGGCATTGACGGAACGATCGAAAGCAAGATTAGCACTGTAGAGATCCTTGTCGGAGCTTATTGACCTGAAGAATGGTTAGTCTATTAACATCCTGTATGAACGAGAGCTCTACAAGTCTGCACATTGAAGGCGCCGAAAGTCCAGATTGCCAACCTGTCTCGGGACATGGTGTGTCTGTCCACTCAGGGATGCACCTTACATGGATCTGCACCCATTGAACTTCTAACAGCGTTTAGACCCCAGTGAATGCTTTCTTAACCCATTCGTCGTGCTGACAAACCCGCTCTTTCCTGGCTCGCGTAGATCGATTGGGCCCACTTTCATCGACCATACCAAATAATCGGGGACTTGTCGCCTTCCCCACCTCATTCCTTTGCGCCTGGGCGTATGTGTCTTTGTCAGCAGTCTCTACAACCAAATTCTTCTCTGAATTAAGCATTCGTGAATCTGAGGGCTGAGAGATCTCCCCGGGAGAGACCCCTCGTGTAGCTTTTTCAATATCAGATTTACCCGCGCGTTTGAACGGCCAATATGACCTTATAGTGGTAGTAGCATCTGCTGGGGGTGCATCGTTGCTCGAACGCTTTCGACTGCGAAAACGAACGACGAAGATTATTATATGACCGCGATGAAAGTGGCCGTGATAGTATACTTTTTGCTATCCGTGGAGAGCATTATTGTCGATATTGTCTACAAATCAGTAAGATTGGAGGTTCTGTGGGGAGGTTTCGTGCAGATTTAAGTGGGCAATGAAGAAGATATGCGCATGTCCTGCAATTTCGGCTAAAAATGGTGATCCAACAACTACAATACCAACAGAGATCTTCAATCTGATAGTGATGCCTATCTGGAGAGTCAATAATGCGCACATCAATCGGGTGGTGATGTCAGAACTTTCTTCAGAAATGCACTACGACATTGGTATTGACCAGCTAGTCGTGAGCCATCGCCACAGCGGCCTCCAAATCCTCTCTCCGTGCATGAGCCACAGGTCTCTTTGTTATCAGAAACCAAAGTGCATGGATACAGTCAGTTGCGCTGTCGAAAGGTGAGCGAATGCGGGAATCAACGATGCCATCGCGGCGGAAGCACAGAGCTGTGGCGAGCCCAGCAAAGATGACAACAAGTGGCACTATCACCAGAACGGCCACGAGTACTTTCACTATCATGATGTTTAGACACTGTGTGGATGTGGTGAACTTTATATAAAGCTATGAAAAGGCCGGAAGTAGATACTAGCAATATTGTAGCGCTACGTTTTTCTTTTGTTTACAGCGCTATGGGTATGCGTTTACGATGGACAGGATAGGTCATCTTGGTGACGTGTCAATCAAATCTACCTATCGCATCACAAATTTATAGGAACAGGTCATTCTGGCAGAAAGCTTATTGAGAGAGGGCTTGGGAGATAATCTGAGTCGTGGGAAGATCACCAAGCTATGTATCGAAACCTGTCGAAAGGTCAGACGTCAGTCCGGGAAATGACTGCAGGGACTCGCTTTCGAAAAGGTAATTCGCTCGCCGTCGGACGATATATCGAGCGCACATAGATTAAAATCGACCCATCCCAAATCCCATAGTATGTGCGAGCAGATTTATCCCAGCCCTCTGATTCTGGTTATCATCCTTCTCCCGGCGTCCAGAACGCGCATTTTCAGCCTCAGAAGCCCATTCATCCTTCGTATGTATACTCCGGATAAAATTGTCACCATGCGGCTTGATGAACTTCTTGAATTTCGAGTAGAGTCCTTTTTTCGGACGTGGCAACTCTTTCCCATCTGTATCCTTGCCTGCTCCATCCTCAAAAGTCTCCAAAAGATCAGGCCACATCTCCTCCACCGTAAAAATCCCAATCTTCGCGCATTTCCTTATATTCACATCACATTGCGCCTCATGGGAAGGAGTAACCTCAGGAGTCCCTTCGATGAATGGCCTGTTTGCATCTTGTTGTACGCTGTAGGCGCGGCGACGTCGACGATGCTCTCCTAGGCGAAGTTTCCGAGCATACGCGATATCCTACATGAGCCTCTCCCTTCGCCAGTAGCCATAGTATTCAAGATTATCATACGGACGGGAGGAACTGGTGGGCATACGCGTTCCATATCAGCGGTGAATGATCTGAAGACTGCGCTGTGGGAATGGCGAAGGTATTTGTGTTGCTTTACCACTCGCTCAGGGAGCGCTTCTGCACCGAACCGCACGCCGTGGAACGTATTTGAAGTGCCATCGCATAGTGGGGACTTGGGACTGCGGTAATTGGTATAATCTGGAATGGCGTCATCGATAATATCCATGAACGTACGAGGCTCGACTTCCGTAAGATGCTCGAGGCTAGGCGCATCGGAGACAGCAGACGATGTGCTGGCGGTGTCGTCGTCTGGACCAAGCAGGTTATGTGTAGAGGAACCTGGCGTAGTGACTTCAGGAAAACGCAACTGCTTCCTCGGCTTTAGCGCGATGATCCTAGGGATCCTGCGGGAGAAGGAGTTTTTTCAACATCTGTAGGCAGTGGCGGCATACCTTCGGGCCACAGGGGAATCGTGAATGGATACATGTCTTAGTTATCGGTAGTCCAAGTTGTAGTGTGTCGTTGAATCAGATAACCGCTGAGGGATGCTTCTCTGAAAAATCAGAAGAAGATGTGAAGAAGCGCTGGGGTATGTTTGATAGTGTCTTTGGCCTAGGGATTGTTACAACAGGGGCTTTCGATGTCAATTATAAAAGCCTATGCGTATGCCTTTTATTGTAGTAAAAATACAATGTTAAACTGTCATCGTGCTTCGAGAACGTGACCGGGCCGTCGCCGTTCGCCTGGGTGGTATCTTCCTCACACTCATTGCACCTCCGGGCATTTTTGAACCTCAAAATCGGTCATAGGAACCGCTCACAACGCCTGCCCAATGAAATCACGTTCTTGAACATCTCCTCCACGCATCAAACACGTATACATTTTCCTCCGCTCGTGGTATTTCAACAATTCCTCATATTCAGGCACCCAAGCTGTCCACCTTTTCCATGTCCTCCCAGCCCACGGCAATGAGTGCAACTTCCGCAGCTGAAAACCACTTCGCCGTCTTCCATATCCCACGTAAGAGCCTTCATTGCACGAGTTCGGCCAAGTTTCCTGTACCGATTAGAGTGCCACCGTAGGTATACTGCAGGAAGGCGGCTTACCCTTGTGGCTTATGTCGACGCCTCGTCTGTCAAGCCCGGACAAGTCCAGTTAATCCGTCAGCATGCCATCGCTAATATGCCCCAGGAAGGCGCCTTACACGTCTCACTCGTCTCCCGTCCGCACCTCCTGCTGTGACTCGACGTGAAGATACTGCTGTTTCTGTTTTTGGGACCACGCGAAACCGAGCACGATGAGGCCAAAGATGGCGAAACCGAGGTAGGCCAGGCCGAGAAGGGCGGCGCCAAAGAGAAGGCGGGCGATGGGCGCGGTGACAGTGGACATTGCGTGCGATTTGTAGAGGTACGCACGCGGAAGCTGGCGCGGCTTGTCACTGAACACAGGAGAGAAGTGGTAGACATGGCTCGGCTCGGCAACGCTCAGACAATTTGAACGTGGTTATGCTTTTATCAGCACGTGGCGAGTGCGTTGAGCATTGTAAGTGGATAAGGTTGATTTCAGCACGTGGCGTGCGCCAGACAACTCAACGAGTAAAGACTCGCATGAAGAATCCATTGGGAGGAGCTGTAGAGCTCTTTCCTCCTATAGCGTTCAGTGGTAATACCTTGCCACAACATGAGCGTCCTTCAGTCGCCCTATCGACATGGATGTCTCAATCCGTTCCCGAAAGCAGAACCTTGACATGTCCGAATCCGCGAATGTACAAATGCTATCCCAAAACTCATGATTCTAACACTGCATCGCAGGCCACAGCGCTCACCACCCTCCAGCCGCCTGTCCAACGCCCCCAGGAAGCCGCTCCTTCTTCCATCCACCCTCCGCCTCTACCTCCTCATACTTTGGCAGAGTGTCGACGCTCGGAGTACGGGGCACATCAAAGCGCGTCACCTCGTTGAGGACCACAGTAGCGTCGTTTCCCGCGTCCATAGCGCGCGACGGATCATAGAAAACAATGAAATTGTTGTTGTCAGCCCGCACGCTCGACACCCAATGGCCATCGCTAGGAGAAAGCTCACGGCGGATTTCAGTGTCGCTGCTTCCCACAGAGGGCGGTGCGCCGGCCACCTCCGCCGCGCCCGAGCCCATGCGCTGGACATGCATGGGCAGCGGCATCGACACGCGATGAGACAGACGCCGTAGCTGGAGATCGTCGCCCGCGCCAGTACGGCCATCTCGTCCGGACCCGAGATACAGCGGGAAGATAGTTGAGGCGCGGCGCTGGTGCAAAACCTTTTTGTCGTGGGCGCGCACCATGTAAAAGACGAGGACGCAGAGGAGCACGAGGACCGACACGCCGGCGATGAAAGCGGCCAGGATGGAGGGGCTGTAATTGTTGCAGGTGTGCGCGTCCTGCGAGCAGTCGATTGTGCCCATGGCGCTGAGGTGCTGGTCTGTTGTGTCCAAGTCGGTGGGCAAGAGCGGGTCCATGGTCGCGTTTGGTGACTTCGTGGGTGAGTTTGCTTGTCGAGTTTGTGCACGGGGAGAGGGTACTTAGGTTGGGTAAGAGTATGTTTGTCTTACCTGGTGAGCTGGTCGTCACAGAACCGTCCTGCCAAAGGCGAGGGATAAGTCGTTCGTTGGGAGTTGCCGGGGTGTTCACTGGAGCGGAGTCGAGCGGAAGCGCGCGAGCAACACGCGCGGGTTGAGCGCGTTTGAGTAGTGTCTTGACGTGGGGGAAGTGGCTCGAGGTTAGGCTGCTCCAGGGTGCTGCTTGAGTTCGAGTGTCCAAGAGCTCATAATTGGGCCTGTGCAACCAGTGCCGATGGTGTCCACCATCTGACTCGAATTCACACGACTACTGATGCAATCCCCCAGAAGCGCACCTTGCGCATATCCTCTCTGTCTTAGAAACTAGGGATCGACTTAACAAAAGCTTAACATATCCATGAGCAGCAAATTGAGATGCGTTAAGAAGTGGATTCGACGTACTGTCTGCGAGATGGCCATGTCCTCAGCTGCAAGCAATGCTTTCTCTTGTGGTCGACTTGATAGATTTCATTAATCATATTCAACTACCTCCGTCGGAGGCAGACAACAGATGCATCCATTCCATACTCGCCTTACTTATCCCTGTTCGCCATCATTTTCTCAAAGCTGCAACTGCACGCCTCGATAACATTCCCCCACGGATCCTGCATGTATAGCGCCACCTGCCTCTCCCCCTCCCCCTCACAACTCGCTGGTGTCACCGCCTCCCCAATCTGCCTTGCTCCCATCGCCTTAGCCCTTTCCAAAAGCCCCTCAGGATCCGGATCCGTAACGGCAAGATGGAACACCCCTCCGCGGGTATAATTGAAACCGGCGGGTTCCGACATTGGCGGGTTGATGAACTGGAAAGTTCAAAGCCGACGCCGTTGCCGGTGGCTAGGAACGCAAGTTTCACTTTGTGCAGCTCGGCATCGTAGACACGGAAGATTGGGGCACAGGGGTCGGTCGAGCGGTCGCAGCAGATGGGGGCACGCAGGCGGCGGAAGCCGAAGAGGGTGGTATACCAGGTTACGGCAGCTTCGAGGTCCGGGACGTGGAGGGCGATGTGGTTGAGGACGCGGTTGTGGGGTCTGATTTCATAGGTGGTCATCCTGATACGGGGGCTGGAGGGAGTCTCCTTTCGTTGATGGGGCGAGATCTGGGTAGAAGTCGTTCGGCAGCTGGAGCGTCCCGCCATTCTCGCGAATGTATACTTTGGGAAGTATAATTCCATCTCAGACACGTGCGATCACCCGTAAACATACACATTGGTTGGACGTAAGCAATAGCGTGACCACGGCACTCCAGCTCTTGCACGAGCGGGTGTCCTTTTCCGGCACACCACTACTACCCTGTGCTGCGTCATACTATCAGCGACAACCAACCCAAGAACCAGACTATTGCAAAGAGGGCCGCGAATGTGGGGTCATCCGACAGAAAGTGTGCCCCGTCATGCGCATCACGCCTGCGTTTTCATGAGCTGATATTGTGCAACAAAAGCAGCCAGTTGAGAGCTTCCAGATGGCTGTCCGTGTTGCCCAATTCCCATCCACAGCGCTGCCTGATACCATGGGATGAATTTCCAAGACATCTAATAATGTTTCAATCGCCCAGCTGCTTGTGGGATTCTGGGCTCGAGCTGCCCGACGTGTTGCTGCTGCTTCCACTCATGCTTATAACGCTAGCGCGCCTCGAATGCTGAGAGCTCAGGCTGAGCGGTTCCATTGCCGTACTAAGGGGCCTCAAAATGGGTTGCGGCGGAAAGTACTCGTCGCCGTAGTCATCTTCTAGGCCAACGGTGCGCGGCGTACGCTGGGGTGTTCGCATTCGGCTCTGCAACGGGCTCATTCGCAACACTTCGGGGCTGCCGATCCAACGCTGGTCCTCGCCAGTATGCCTCCTCTGGTGGCGTCTCCCCGGCGGTATAGCCAGAGGTAGTTCCAGCCTCTTGTTCATGCCCATCCAAATGGCTTCCTCCTCCTCGCCCTCGTAGTAGCGCCATCCGCCGACGCCTTCGAAGTCGCGAGCGTTTGCCATCCGATTGACATTGACAAGTGATGCCGAGGAGCCGCTCTTTGTATAGAGTCGCACAGCAGGCGCGGCGCTGTCCGAGGACGTGCTGGTACGGCGAAAGCGCGGCGGGGATACAGGCGGGACGACGCGTCTGGATGCAACCTTTGGTGGCTCAGGATAGAGGTACGCGTGTAAGAGAGCGACGCCGAGCTCGAAGTAGACGATGGAGACACGCACAGTAAGAAGGGAAAGCGCAATGCCCGTCGTGATTGCCGCGAAGATGGCGAGCGGGAAGGAGACAAGGAAGAGCAGAGGAGGACCGAGCAGATGCAGCGGGTTCGTCAAGATGCCCATCTTGTCAGCTATGCGCTGCGTTCCGCACGAGTTGGCTGGCAAGGCGGCTGGGTGTGTATCATGTCCGCAACATACCGATGAATGGGCTGGCGCCACTGGCATGTGAATGAATCGACGTTCGCGGGGAAGCGCCGTTGCCAAGCCGGAGCCGTCCCGCGTCATTCTCAACATCCAGCCTCACTTCAACACTGGTCTTTGCGTGTTCATCGTCGCTGGAGTCGCTCCAGCCACTGCTTGACGCCTCCACACCGGGTCCTGACCTTTGAAGGCTGCACTCTTGTTTCAGGCATGCGAGATCGAACCCTTGACCTTTGGATCTGTAACAATGGAGACCACGGCTCTACAATGAATTGATGCCTGATGGCGCCCACTAATCCGTTCCGATCTACCTCTTTGTCGTTCGCTCACGTTAGATAGTCGAGTTGCTCAGGTCGTCGTCGTTGTCCTCACTTTCAAACCCTCGCCCTTGCACAACACGCCTAGATCTTGGCCGACCATCACGCTCGAAGACATTATTAAGATTGCCGCCAGAGACTTTCCTGCTACGGACACATCGGCTCCTTTCAAATCGCGCTTAACGCGTGCTGAGAAGCGCAAGTTCGCTAGCGGGACTAAAGGAGCTCAAGCTTCACAAGGCCTCCAGCGGAGCAGCGCGGAGCCAAAAGATGACCTTCGCACATTTGAACCTTCCAGGATAGAAATTTCTAGGCTGTCACCTAAAGAGATCGATACCTATATCGCCTTGCTCTAGGCGAAGGCGCGTGCTGCTAGCTTAAAGGCCGCCAGTCTCGCCCATCGGATAACTCGCGACCACACCAAGAACGAAACAGCAGGCGAAAAACCAAAGAAGGAGTTGAGTGACGAGAAACTCGAGAAGATTGAGAAGAGAAGGCAGCTCAGAATAGCCAAGGAGGAGGAATGACGGGCAAAGAAGGCGGCCGATACTGGTACGGAAAAAGCAACAGAGACTGCCCCCACTTCAGCGCCTGCAAAATCGCCAATTCGAACTGCTCGCAGTTCGAAACCGGCAGCACGCCGTGCTTCAGCCACTGTCCGCTCGCAAGATCGTGCTCGTTCCGCTAGTATTACTGCGCCTGCGCTCCGTCACCCAGACGACGTGCTCGATAATCTCGAACACTAGGCCTTCCTCGCGGTCATCAGTTGCAGGCCCTCTACGCCACCTTTCTTTTTATGCCTTACTGGCTTCCACAGAGCTGCGTCTGTTTTCACGATTGTCTTCTAACAATGTCCACTCCATACCACCCCGCCTCGTTTAGGCCATGTCTTGTAGATACACAATTCTTTCACCTCCCCTGTGTAGTAGCCATCTATGCAATTTTATATCTCCAGGTTTTTTCCCTTGGGTTCGTTCCCCAGACCAAACTTTACTTTCCATCAACCCCTCAACCGAGCCACCCAGCATGGCTCCGCTGAACAGCACACTCCATCTCGTCTCGGCAAGCAACAGCGCAGCAAATGTAGATACCACCCGGAATCCCGGCATCCAGATTCAATGGGTGCCCCTGCTCATCTTGGCTTTGCTCGTCATCCTGATCATTATCATCATCGCCATGCCAAAGGGTTGGATGATTGACCTGTACGATCGAATCTGTCGCATGACGAAGCAGGGCCCCGCCATCGCTTCATCTCCCCGCCGAATCTTCGCGCTATTCTCATCTCGCAACCGCGCCGATGACCAGCAGCTTCGTATCGAAGAGGTTAACCGCCAGCGCCGGGAGCGTGACGCGTCCTTCATCGATGTGCATCTCAGCGAGCTCCGTGGTTTCCAGAAAACGGAGTTGCAGAAGGCGGAGCGTTTTGAGCCCAATGTGTTAGAGGAAGTCAGCTCGCCGTTGCCTGTCTTGCTTGCATCGCGACAAGGCACGTAAGTCTTTCCGGCCGAATCGGTTCCTTGGCTCGCGGACTTTGGGGGTTCTGCGGTACTCCTAAGTGGTGACATTAGGCGGAAAATAATTTTGAGATGACTGGCTGCATCCATTGTATGGCATGAAAGTATTGGATGCGCTAGGATGCTGGTTGGATCCCGCGGAGCGACGATGGCGCCCAAACCTTAGAATTGGGCAGCGTAGTTCAAGGCCGGCATCTCTCCATGGCGTTCCAGCCGCATTCCGATCTAGATGCGTGCTCGCGGAGGGAGTATGCTTGCTGCCGATTTTCATCCACAGACTGCTCGGCATAGTCTGCTTTCTTCTTATCATGCTCTGGCTCGCAATTCTTCCATAGTACAACGAACCACACCTTCGTGAACTCTGCCCACTTCCAGCGTGCCTTCCTTGTGATGTATCCATCCCACCTTCCGCCTGATTTCCTAAGCGTTTCGAGTCTGTGGCTCGATGTTCGGGTCCCACAACGGTACAATGAGCGCGTCGACCAACAGGCCATGGATAGCGAATAGCAGATACCATTACCAGACACGGCGGGCCCCACACGCACAGTATGGTCACTTCTGGGTCGTACTAGTTAGGGCCTCTCGTACGGTAATGCGCCTTTTTGAGGGACGCGACCTCGACACTGGATAAGCCTCCACAGTCAAGGCAGCGTTCTCTTTCTTGGGCAGTATCAGTGTTTGCGATCTTGGGTTTTAGAACTGCTTTCTTTGCCGAAGACGTTCTCCAGCGATGCTGAGCAATCCTGATAAAGCGCGGTGGAGACACGACTCACACCTAGTAAACAAGCGGTTTGATAGAATCGCAGATTGCTCGATTCCGGAACTTCTGAGTGTGATTGTCAAATGAGAGATTTCTTGCTTTGATGCTAGAATTGCAATCTTTTGTTCCAGCTGATATCACACCTAGTATAACGAAGAAGGGACTTTGCACACGGGCGATATATGTTGGACCACATCTGCGGTGAGGTGAGTAACTCCCAGAAGAGTATAGCTTTACACATTCACATAGCATTGAACGGCGAATTATCAATGCTATGCAACAAGTTGTATTCCAATCTATCCGAGAAAACTGAAATGTAGGAAGTGCACCATCCCAAGATCCTGTTTCTTATGCAGAACAGGCGTCGGTTATGCAATTCCGTGGAGTTTGAACATGCTGAAAATGCTGCAAACCTTTCTCCCGCTCTTGAAAACATAGGGATTTGATGCTGGATGCTTGTCCTTTGGGAAAAGAGAAACATGTGGAAGGGCTGTTTATGCATCTCCTGTTCAGTTGAAGAGGCACATCTGCATGCAAGGGCGTGATTGCCAGAGAAAGAGAGAATGAAATGTGAAAAAATTGAATTGGCCGGCCGTCGAGTTTCGCTGGCGTCACATCTCAGAAATCCGAATGAGTGGAGACTGCTGGCCTTGAGAAAGTGGAAGATTTTCTTTTGGGGTAATGCTTGCGTTACCACCCACATCAAGACGCGCTCTTGGATAGAGGAGCAGAAGCAAGCTCCTGGAATCGAGTGGTGTGAGTCGTTGGCGCCAATGGGTCTGCGTGTTCGAGAGGTCGTCCTGTATGAAGTTAAAGTTGATGGAAGGGAACGGCCTGAACCGACCACTCTAGGTCTGTTCCGGAATCGGCGTAGATGGGCTATGCTACGGAGCCTGCGCAGTGTGGAAGAGACCTGAATTCTTTAAGAAATCAAAAAGTTCGCTAAGCTTCAGCGATTAGACCTCGCGACGCTGAGTACCCGGGGACGCCCTTATATACTAGCAAGGTCTGGCGCCTACAGCGCGAACAGGCCTGGTTGAGCCCTATTTGGTTATATGGTTGGAATTGTGACGCCACAGTCGTGATAGAATGCAAGGAAACCTCTTCTTCTCAGGTAATTAAATCGAGTAAATCTTGCGGAATGCCTAATTGTGACGGTTTAGGACCGTAGGTATCGTGCAATGGAAATATTGAAGGTTCACTGAAGTTGTATTACTGTGGTTCTAACTGAACTATATAGCCATAGTGAGGCGATCGTCAGGGGAGTTGACTTATTCAGAGTTTCCTAATTCAGTAGCTGAATTATAACGATTGTCGCGATCCTCAGGAGTCCATGAGAACTCGGTCCGAATAGGATCGATAGTAACGTAGATTGAACTGCGACACTAATTCATCCGCCGGCATATGCAATAGAAGAGAAGATGTCGAGTCCAAGTGACATTCCTTCCTCAGCTGAGATTAGGGGTGGAATACGAGCCGTAAAAAGAGCGGCAGTGATACGCGGCGCCAAGGATTCGAGGGCAAAGGTTGTACGTACGTGAACGGCTCGAGGTCCTCGACATCCAGGTTCCTGTTGAGATACCCTTCCTCGAGAGCGAAATCGAGTCGAATACCGACAGTTTTGGAAGCAAATAGTACGTGTAACCTTCGTGGCGAATCCAGACAGTGTTTGGTGCGAAAATACAGATCCCTGTACACATATTCGACAAGCGTCGCCTTCAAGATTACGTCCTTGGGTCGAATCTTTTGCTAGTATGGACGTGAGATTACCAAGTCACAAAACAAACCCGGAGGCGTGGGGTTTCTCCGGAAACTTGTTTATACGCATCGCAAACATGGATCTTAAGAAGGGACTTGAGTAGATGGGTGATATATTATTAACAGCAGAGACTTTATCCATTTCAAATTCGAGTTCCTTAGTGTCTAATTTGTAGAAGGATGAGAGGATTGCTAGCCACTATGAAGCCCTGGCTGATCCCTTGTGCATTCAGACAAACGACTGCGTTCCCATGCACTCAGCACACAATTGCGTGTCAAATTCGCGCCAATAAATGAGCAGATTCGATTGCGGGCCTAATCCAGGTTTTTTTTGGTTTTTTTGGTTCCTTTTCGGACATCAACCTGGTGAGATGGATGTAGCTCCTCCGCGCGTGAGGGACAGCGCAGATTGATCCAGCCATCCTGCCTCTTTCTAGATTGACATTCGGACTCATAAAGCCTGTATAAACGTTTGTGGCTGTGGTTTGCATCTCACGTAGCTCTTAGCGGACCATGGCGTGGTTCAGCAAGGGTAGACTGGATGAAGCAGGACGGCCAGAGCGTCAGCCAGGGCCTCCCTCGAACACGGCTCAACCCCCTTGCCCCAGAACTCAAGACAAGCTTTGCCTTCGAACGTCATATCGCGATCCGCAAGCTTTTTACGTGTTTACGCCCAAGCAATTCAGCAACAAAGGCCCGCGCGAGACCGTTAATTGCGCCATGCTCTTCCGATTACTCGCTGAGGCCAGAGCGCCTCCGAGACTTTCCGCAGCCTACTCTCGACGGTTCTAAAAAATTCGACAAACAAAGAGTTGGCTTTAAATGTTGGTTGTTGTTCGGTCCTCCCCAGAGCACGACTTCGCAGCTCGCCTACAAACTTTGCAAGCCGCACGACGCCATCGTCGGTCTGTCCCGCCGCTTGCGACATCATTCTTTGCAAGTGCTCACATATTTATAGCTTTTCCCAAAGCGGAGCTTACTGGCTTTGGACGCACACTAAGGTGTTGTTGTTTGCGTGGCGCTTCAACGGGGTTTACGATCAGGTTGACGGAAAATTTAACTTTGACATGATGCACCAATCCCAGAACACATATAGTACTTGGCGAGCAGATGCAGGGCATGTTGTGCAGCAGGCAAGAGAAATCCTTGAGCTCCAGTATTAACGTGGCGCTTTGAAGACAGATACTGAAGAATGTATCGTGCAGTGCAACCGCCGCTCGTAAAGTATTGTCTCTCCCAGATTAAGGAGACCTGAAGTTCTGTTACTGTCGTACCAGCGGATATGAGAACGCCACCATACAGGTGACAGTCAACAGTATAGAAATCGCCAAATTGTCCAATGCGGTCGACCAGAGAAGAGTGGAACGTCCGTCTATTAGCCAAGTGGGAACCGCCAAGAATGGCGCTCTCGATTACAAGACTGGAACTTCTGCATGCTCAGAGAGGGAATCCAATTGCCGCCAGTTCGCGCGGCCGTGCGATGAATGCGCCGCAATCCTCTGCTCATCTCCACGCCCCTTCATGTGTCCAAGACGGGGAAACGGTTGCTTGGCTCTATGGTCGTGGTTTTGAGTGCCAGCGCTGGCGCAAGCCGGAAACCTAGCTCAACGCGCTTGCCCTCGGTATCACGGAGCCGAGCTGAACCAACATCGGACGCTGGAGCACTACATCTCTCCTTCATCTTGCGTTGCTACAGCATCACCGAAAGCTCCTGTTCCGGGCGCCTGTGGTAATGTTTGCATCCATGATCATCGGGCGGGGTCGCCATTCCATGGCGATCGTTACACTCGTGCCGCCGTAAACCCAAGGAGGTTGGGTCACTGGTGCGGGAAAGAGAGCTTGTAGTTCAAAAGCTAGAATCCGATGCGACGATGGTCTGGGGAAGAAACAATGTCTGTGTCCTGTTGGTTGCTTTAGCAAACCGATATGGCGGAATTGTGTATTAACGTAGCTGAAAGTACAGCAGATTATTGCCACTGCTTGTGACCATGGCCTGCTTCTTGCTAATGTACTTGTGGTCAGTTCTACCGGCCTTCTTCTGCTCAAGAGGACCAGAGTATGGCATACGACCCGAAGGTTTACGGTATCAATATGAGATGGGTGAGAAGCGCGGGTTAATGGACTCAGCTCTAGTCAGTGAGCGCCAACGGCTCGGCTGGAGTTTTCTCTGGTCGGACAATTGCAGAATGTGCGGAAAGATGTTTCCAGGATAGACTTTGGTCACGCACTGCCCGCTTTCAGCGTATGAGGCGATACTTGGTGTGTTGACGCGACCGCGACTGGCGTTCAGGCAAAGGAAAGGAACCCATCATACCTCAATGGCAAGTTAAACGCTTTCCAGGCTCATCTAGAAGCAGCAAAATTACTTTCACTGCAGTATAGCGAGGTGGCTGGGGATTCACTCACGCAACCTTCTTTACACCCGTAAACCTCCCGTCGCCGCGGCAGGAGCAGCAGCGCGCTCTATATAAACACCACCTCATTAATACCCACTTAACACACCAGGCTTCGATATCACCACTCCCACCACCCGCTTTACCTCGTAAGGCCGACCAAACACACGTGCGATAACACTGCAACTATGGCTTCGCGTCGCTCCTCCCGTGGGCCTTCTCCTCCGCCGTCCACCCGTCCCGCCCTGCTTACTATGAGCTCCGATCCTGTATCACCTGAGTTCCCCGACCAGACTGCTTCGGCTGGGGGTATGGGTTCACAGGAGATGGGCAACAACCGCGCTGTTACACATGCGGGAGCCTTCACGAACCGTAATCTGCTGATTGACCGGCGCCATTTCCAAGAAGGCGAACTTTCCGCCCACCTGCCTGCATCTACAGAGTATGCGGAGCCCGCATCATGTCTTCAGGCATACAACAAAGTCGTGTCCCCAGCGTCTGTGATCGCCCCGTCTCAGGTAATTGTTTCCAATTTTGGTCCCTATACCTCTCCTAACCTTCACCAGGATCGATTTGCGTCGCCTATATTCGGCGTTACTATGACGGGTCTCGGTGCCCGCATGCAACTATATTACAACAATGCGGGCTTATTCCCCACATACGGTTTGACTGTCCGCCATGGCCCTTGGGGCTCCACGGCGCCAGAGCGCGAGGACAACCTGCCTGGCAATGAGATTGTGCCTTCCAACCACCGCGTGCACTTCTCAACCACTGCTGCCCCGACGTGTGCGCAGGACCTATACAACGAGATCCCCTTCGACGTCGGCCTTCCATCACAACGAGGCTTATCCGGCGGTCGTGCCACTGCACCTACAAATCTCATTCCCCAGTATGGCGTACCGGAATCTGATATCTTCGATTTCGATCGTGAATTTGGGGTTAACAACGTCTTCGCAGATGCCAATCGGGTTCTGCATCAGGAGCTGCCGTCTGACCCGGCCCTGCCGGCCACTGGCTTCTTCCATACCGGCCCGACGTACTTGCCTACCGAGGAGCAGTTGTCAGGGGAGCGTGACCTCACACCGTCTGCACCTTTAGGAGGTCAGGAGCAGTTGCAGCATGAGTTCCAGGTCGCACTCGTGCGTAAGCTTACACTTCCATCGATGGAGGCTTTGAATAGGGCTGCGGATGAATGTAAGCAGAAAAACTTCTACAATTTTGGGATCGGCCGGAAGACATCAACTTTCCATAGACCTCCATTCACATCTGCAGATGCTGATTACGATTATGCCACGCCGCCATCGACGTCATCCCCAATGCCGCCCCGCAAGAAGGTCAAGCTCCAGCAGGCCTTTGCCTCCGCAAACCTCCCACCCGCTCAGGCTCCTGTCTTTCCCCAGCCCGCCCAGGCTTCGGTGATTGTTCAGCCCGCTCAGGCTGCTGTAGTCTCCCAGCCCGTCAATGGCGACCTCAAGTCCAAGTGGTCTCCCGTCGGCGAATATCTCTTCGAGAAGCCTGCAAGCGACCTGATCCGTGACGCCCGTAAGCCAAATCCCGACGACTACTCCCAGGGTGCACTCGTCTACCGCGTTGCGACTAGCACTACCGGCCGCCAGACCAATTTCACTTTCCGCCACCACTACAACGTAATTATCAACTGCTTGCGCGACGAGCTCGTCGCAGAACTCAACCGGAAGCTTCGTGTCGACTTGTCTGTGCAAAACTTGCACCTCATCCGCGACTTGCCTACACTCTTCCCAGGTCAGCGCATAGGCGTGGCACTCCGTCGTAGGATCGAATTTGCGCAGAAAGCCTTCCAGCGCCGAATTGACTGGATGGGTTGTCCTGAGCACTATGACCTCATGGCGTCCCTGAACTTCTCCAAGCCCAATCTAGACCTGGTTGAGTTGGATCGATTGGTCAAGGCCACCGGCGTCTGGGTCTTTGAGAACTGGCAGGCTGATCACCCTGGCCAGCAGCGTGGTTCCTCTTGATTCTGGGTACCTCTCGCAGCGGAATGGGGACGGTCCAGACAAGACAAGAGACTTTCGGCTCGTCCCTAAGAGCTTCTGCGCCTTTCTCAACTTCTTTCTTCGGGAGTCTAAGTCACGACCTCTCGGCATATGATTGGGGCATTGAATGGGGTTTGTTTCTTTTCTTTTCTTTCGCGATTGTACAATAGTTGCATGCATAGCGATGGCGAAGGTGGATTTTGCTTTCCTGCTGGCAAACAACACTGGCAGATGACTTGGCTACTGGAGATCCCCAGCACAATCAGCGAGGATTGTCGATGGATTTAATATCTTCATGGAGTTTCTCTAAGGATGGTTAAGGCTTTTTCAGTCACGGCGAATGGCTACCGACTTGAGGCGTTATTTGGTAGCACTTGGGTTCATCACTCTTCGCAATTCGATCCCCCATTTCGCAGCTGTAAGCTCTCCTTTGTAGTGAACACCACTTGCATAACCTGAAAAACACTCCAATGAAGCAAATTGCTATTTTCCTCGTGAATTGTGTATGCCAGTCTGAGTCCTGCTGTCGACCAAACTTTGACGATACTACTGCTTCGGTGGGTGACCAATGAAATGGAATTTCAAACACGCATATCGCAAAGTCTGCAAAACATGCCTGTATCTGATCGCTTCAAAGCGCATGGAAGCCCCATGACCAATTAGGTGAATGACCCCAGCAACGATTTAGCCGTATTAGGTAAGGTAAGGTGGTCACCTAGGCGATGACCACAACGAAAGTGCACGATCGTGGTCGGCCGCGCCATTCCCTATTCTCTTCTCAACAGTGCCAGGACATCGAACCCACGCCTAGATTTACTTTACACGCCATGCCGCATGTCTTAGTCCCCGGACCATGGCTGCGGCCCTATACCGCCAAGAGCGGCAGGCACTAAGTGACATATCCGGTTAGGTGATCATGCCGACGACTGGTAGGTTCATCTCTCCGTTGGACATATGTGGAGAGTTGATCGCGACACGACTTTGTATGTATAGAGTAGCATCATATTTCAGCAGCCCATGTGATGGCTGCTGGGCAGCTTGTCCTGCCACATCCCCAGCATGAATCTAATGGCCAGGCGTCTCGTTTCCCTGTACCGCAAGCACAATGTCTTATAAGCCAACAACGCGAGTGCCGCCTAAATACGACACTCCGGACACAGGATATAATAATATCCGCAGAGCCTGACTTATGGAGCAGCGTAGTGGCTGTATCGCAAGAATAACCCGTCACCGGTTGCTGGAAGCATTGGACGTCAGTGACGGTGGCCCTCAAGCCTGGTGAGTTGCTGGCGGAGTGGCCAACGACATTTTTTTGTTATAGCAGGACCGTGTCACTTGACATGCTTGGGACTTGGACCACTCGATGGATTACAGCGCTATCTCTGCGCATAACGAGCACATGCCGCCGAAAGTTGACACGTCGAGTATCACTGAAAGATTGTTCCGATCTCTGGGCACACCTAACAACTGTATATATACTCTGGATGATGCGTGGCAGGTACTCGTACTACTGTCACGCTCCTCATTGGAATTAGATGCGCCCTTAAAATCCCAGGGTTTGAGACGGAGCTGAAACTTGCGTATCTTGACGAGATTCAGATCCATACCAGCTCTTCGCATGTTCCACTGACGGAAAAATCCCTTGCAATTTCGGTTTGATTGGTGTAGGGAGTTGGGATAAAAAGCGATGTTCCACGTTTGTGCCTACATTGTTGTGCTGTTTGGAGTTTGTGATCATCATGAACCAAAGTTTGGACACTGCTTACCGAACACACCACGTTCTCTGTTTTGCTTGATCGCGCGCTGTATTGACGATTTGTTGGGCCTTCCGTATAGGTTCAACGACTTTCTCAGAGTTGGTCTTCCTTTTCTATCATTATTTCCATTAAAGTCTTTTCGTACAAACTCCCTTTTCACGGTCAAGCAGATATTACACGGGGATCCATTACTCCTCTACTCAGGGTTTTACTTGTTTCCCCACTCCCGTTTCGGCAAGTATTCAGACGCAGAATACCAGTAAGATCATGTCCGACCAGACATCACCATATCTCGGCTACCTCCCAGCAAAACCATATAATGCCACCGCTTCAGTCCCAGAAACTATCACCAACGGAAGATTTTTCAACACAAAACCTTTGTAGACGACGATCTTGCAATCCCCGAATTTAGTAGACTTCTCTTAGATGCTGAGCAACGCGACTAGTGGTCCTAGACATACTGCGCCAGCCTCATAAATCAATGCGCGCGAGGAACCATTGCTAAATGATGGTCGGGAGCAATCCTCACGGTTCAAGGTTTCCGATCTTGATTCATCACCGCATCATCTTATTCTATATTAGGATTGAAGCGACAAGATATAACAGCTTTGCCAAGCAGCCTTTATGCCGGTGAGGCTATACAGCCTCCAGCAAGGCGAAGCCATTCGGCAGGGCGAGAGCGATCAAGGCCTTCGAAACATCTCCAAAGGCATATCACTCAGGTGCGAAGACTGGATTATCCGCCTGCCAGTGACTTCCTTACGGGAAACAATGCACCTTGGCTGTCTAAAGTAAGCCAGCGCTTCACTGCAGATCCCTTGGTGATTGTCCTCATCCTTCAGTCAGTACGATCCGGATGCTCATGTGTTGTCACAGCTTCAATTAGAGACTTGGTTCAACTTCTCACGCTCGCGCAACAATGACAAGACTTTGAGCTTGAGGGCCACTTTTGGTCTTCTACACAATTGACCGGGGACAAGTTCTCGATGCTGGGCCCGACTAACTTCATTCCTCTCGCTTGCGCGGTCAGATATGCACGGTCGCCGTTCGTGAACGGCGAGCCTTGTTGCGACATTGAATTCCACGTGAAGAAGATCCTGAGAGACAAGCTTGACACGAATGGACGCATTTTGTTGCGCGAACTTCACCTGGACTACATTCGCCGGTCGCCGGTCGGGCGGACTGTGCCGATTGTGTTGTGGTATATCAGGCGATCGAATATGCGCAGCACCCGGGTCAAAGACAGATTCACTGGACCATGGAGGGCATCGGGACTTTGAGAGAGCGCCCTGGTCTTCTGCCATGCATATGCAGCCATAAACTCGGGGCGATATCGCAAGATCGAACTTGAGCGGTTATCCGTTTCGATGGTATTTTATATACTAAGATCAGAGCGCTCCGATGCAAGAGGGAACAGACACCTCGTAGAACAGGTTCAAGGGTATGACATGTACAGACAGTCTTTTGACAGAATACGTCTAGTTCCGCAGCAGGTTACCGCTCGAACAGGTTCGAAATTAAATGAAGTCTAGATAACTATTGTATGTCGTCCATGTGTGGATCCCGGAGTCGTTGAAGAACAAGCGAAAGATCGCTTGCATGGTTGCCGGTAATGTAGTCATGAGTCCACCAGTCTTCCTTGGTATGCGCTTCATTTTGAATTCGTAAAACTGCAATTTATTCGCTCAATCTACGCCGGACATGCTGCCCTGATCCAAGCTACATGTCATGTTGCAGAGCGTACACGGAGATGCAGATTTCGCAGCCCAAAACTTGGGAGTTGCCCTAAGCCCCGCGGAAAAGGAAGGTCACACGCTAAGGTGAAGGAAACCATGGCTAAGCATTGTCTCGTTCACCAACGGACCCACTATAGCCACTAATCAATGACCTTCTTCCAGGAACATTATGTGGTAAAATCGGAGCCATGTCGTCTTGGTGAGAGAAATAATGGCTTGCAGCAAACAAGATGACTGTTAGCTGCCTTCACCAAGACACCAACAGCCAGGAAATGAAACAACTTCTGGGTGTTTGTCCTACCCGCTTTCATATGCTCTCAAGAAGCGGCTTATTACTTTTCGACAGATATGAGTTGCCCCAAGGCTTGCTCGAACTCAAATTTGCAACACGCAGACGTCGATAATGTCAGTCTTTCGGTGTCGGACGGAGGAAGAGCGACTTCAAGCGGAGCGGGATCATGAAGTAATGCGGACCGCGCAATGAAGCAACATAAAAATGGTGAAACTAACATTTCACAGTTTATATGGGGTGTGATAGACAAGGACGAGAAAGTCCTCCGTCAACTGCCACCCGGCTCAGCCGAGCCACAGACCTTCCTGCGCTTCCTCCAGCAAGGGAATCTCAGCGATGAAGCACTTGCAGCATTCGATCCCGAGGCCCTCAAGATTATTTTGTCGCTCCGTCGAGAGATAAGAGAGAAGAACCGGGTTGACCTGAGCGAGTGGCATGCCGAGTGGCTACAGGGTGAGCAGCAGCGCAACGCATGGGTCGTACCGCCTGGCGATGATGCCTCCAGATCGCTGCTCATGCGGCCTGCAGAGATCGACCTAAAGACTCACGACGTGGCGGCGCAGCTTGTGCCATTGAATTACTGGGGTGAGGATGACGAGATGCCGGCTGGGACCCTCGAACAAAAAGAACGCTGGGCGAAGGAAGCAAAGACCGCAAGATATCCGGAAAATTTCAACGCGCCAACGGTGCCGACGTCCGCAACCGTCAATAAATACGTGGCAGCCCCGAACGACCTTTCACAAAGTGTGGAAAAACGGTTTCGCAAGATGCAGGAAACCATCGAAAAGAATGAAAGGCCTGCGTTCGATAACCGACAGCGCTGCCCTCGCCCAGAACTTTAGCTTCGGCGGTCACTTCGGACAAGCAGATTACTATGGGTACAGAAGAGTCATGCAGTTCGGCATTTTGGGAAGACTTGAGAGCGTTCTGGTGCGCAAGGATAAGAGAATTCGGAGCATTGGAACGGTCGAACGGCCCACCAATTGCAAGGCTGCATGATATCAGGCGTATGAGATTCTCTTGGACTTGCAATCTTTTCGTTTTCTGAATGGCTCGAACCCAGCGCATGGTCGCAAAATGGAGCAAGACTTGTGAGCCCGTCCATATTCTCACCGCAAACTTTCCTCGTAATGAATATAATTGTCATATTTCACACTGATCCATCTCAAGCACTACTTAGGTATTTCCCACGCACAAGGATCTTCGGGGTGTGGCCTGAGCCCGCGGGCGAGACAAGATCACATGACTCATCAGCACTCACACCCGTTGCACCCGCAGCCTGAGACCTTATACGATATTCAACGTAAATCCAATGTTCCCTTGGCCCACGCATCCTTTACCGTAATGTCTTTTGGCTATCAGTCGCCTTGCACCGATCGTATCAGTTGGCCACTTCCACACACACACCGTCCTTCTCGGGCCAAAAGCTTAGCATATCTTTGAAACAACCCCACAAGAACTTGGTTGCGACAATCCCAGCTCGGGTTTTGGCCGGGACTCAGATGCGTACATCTCCAAGAAGCGGCGGGTGGCAGGTGCAGAGCCAGATTGGCAGGCGCAGCTACAACACGCCTCGGAAGGTGCACCCGTTGAACACTTGAAACTCCAGCAGAACATTGCCCGAGCGTGTCCTGTGAACGGAAACATTATTAGCAACAAGAGTTTGGGCATTCAACCGCCATCGTTGCCCCAAGAACCGACTGCCGTTGACACAGATCAAATGCGACAGTCCCTTCTGTCTACCACTGCGTTTTGAAGGATCGAATCCAATAACCCGTCATCTCTCACGTCACTTGCTCGCGGCGACCCAGGCCGCGCGACATTGACTGCACGTTGTGCCATGAGTGGGGCTAAGAAACCTGAGCTGAACCTAAGGATCAGATCACTGGTATTACTACGGTAATTATGCTAGCATTGATATGGAGTAGCGCTGGGTGACTCTGTCGCACTCATGGACAAGATTACCCAGAAATCAATCCAAAGGAGATAGCGACATCGAAAGGTGTGACTGAAAGGACGGGTTTGATGGCAATGGGTCGTGCGCTGGGCTTGGTCAGGGCATGCAAACATGTACATAGCAAAACGGAAATGCATCAAAACTTTGCAAACAGATTCGTGTCCATGAAGTGCCGTCTACACCACTAACGCAGCCCCCATCCCCATCATTAGCATTGAAATGCCTGCCCCCCAAGCTGCGTCCTGTGGGGCACCTCCCATCATCATGCCTGTAGCACTGGCCGTCCCCATACTCATACCGCTCACGCTGGTCATGCTCATCCCCGACATCTCAGACATCGTCTTTGTCGTGCCAGTGGCCATGGACATGCCGGACATGTTCATCTTTGATGCGGCAGTAGCGATTTGCGACGCCATTGCCTACAACACGTTAGCTCATGGTAGTCAAGTTAAGAGAGGCACGTACACTGCCGACGGACTCAGCTGACGCTGCAAGGGCCGCGTTCGTGGGCTTGGATTCGCCCCACATCATAGTCACTACTGGCATCGCTGAGGCTGGTGTAACGGATGACGCTGTTTACGATATTAGATTTCTAGAATGACTATTTGATATAAGAAATTTGTCCGTATGCATTACCTTTCTGGGCAACAACGGAAAGCGCAAATAGAATGACTGAGCCGAGCATCTTGAGGCCATGCATCTTGAGCAATTAATTACGATGTTTATCAAGAAAGATTATTGACAGAAATGTAGCTGCGCAGCAGAAGACGCGATGGAGCAAAGAAATGGCGATTACCTCCCCTAAGACTACGAGAGCAACATAATATATACCTGCCTGTGATCTTGTTCCAGCGCTATTGAGATTCATGCAGCCCGTCATCGAGACTCGGAAGCGAAGCTTCCTGTCGCGTCTCACACCACAAGATTGGCACGATCGCCTCCACCTCATCATGATTGGCTTATCGCATGCAATAGAAACTACCGGAGCTGTCAAACGATCGAGAGTGTGTTTGAAGATAGAGAGCCTGTTGCAGCGCCGTTTCATGGTCGCCACTTGCTGAAGGGTGTAGCCGAGGCTTGCCGGATGAGGGAAGGTTGGTGCAGGGGCGGGGAAACTTTGTTTGGACCTCAGGCTACAACGTCAACCCTCTCAGAACGGCGCAAACACCACTTTCGCTCTCCTTCAAAATTCGATAGCACATTGCAACTTGATAAGCTGGTTGCTTGCGTGATCAGTATGGTTGGTGATACCCTCAGCGACGTGGCTATGGGCGCGGTCTGAACTTCAGCCTGCCTTCCGCATCGAAGTACTCTTCGTCAATGTCTCCCTGAATGCTTATATGTGGGTCGACATCGCGCCTGCGCATCGAGGCCAGTGTGCCCTCAATCATTGCCTCCAACCAAGCCGCATCTTCCTCCTCTTCTTGTTGATGATCTTCGATGGAGATGACAAGTTCGGCGGATGCCCAGGTTTGCTCGCAACGAAACTGAGCGATGCGCTCCATGTGCTCTGGGCACTCTGTCCACCCAGTCTCACCAAAAGTGGTATGTTGCTCGGCAGCCCACCGGAGGTTCTCTGCCCAGCAGCTTAGGTCCTCGAATTTCAGGCTCTTGATGGTGATAAGATGAAGTGGACGAAAGGGCGCCATTGTGCGTGGGCCGTAACCGAAGGCGTATGCGTCAAACGTGTCATCGGTTTTGGGTGACGGCTGTGCTGAGAAGTCATATAGAAGAGCTTGGAACGACATCGCGGCACGACCAATGACAGGCGGCTTCACCCACGGCGTGGATGGTGGCACAAACTCTTCGACTTGGTCTTCGATACCGCTATCGTCAGCTCCCAAGAAGTCTATTATCAAACGAACAATTAGTGACTAGAAATACTCATCTACCACAGATGACTTACCTTCTTGGAGCTCACGCCTTTTAAGTGACGGGCGCCCTCGACGACCTGACCGCCTGGGTGCTTCCCCGTCGGTTTGTGGCGTACCTGAGCGTCCACGCTTTTTCGGTTGTGTAGTTAGCTCAGATGGCCTATTCCTGCGAGGTACATGAGGTATAACATGTTCCCAGCGCTCGAAGATCGGACGATCCATGTTTGCCGCAACAGGGTGCGTCGGACCTCCGAGGTGCGCAAGCAACATGTCGTAGTTGGAAGGGTACAGCCACTCTTCAGACGGATTTTGGACACAGTGCTGGATCATTCTTGTCAAGTCCAGCGCGTCATCGCCATCCGGCATATGCTTGACACCATCCGCCAAACGAGCAAACCGTACATCGGCGTCAGGTTTGCGCTTGTCAGAAATGCTCAACGAGGCTCTGAAGCCACTCACACTCAAGCTTGTTGCATTCCAACCACGCAGCTTATCGGCGAAGTACTGTAGGTGCTTTTTGAGAGTCCAGTCGCTGTGGCCAGCATGCCTCATAGCATTTCGCACCGTTCTGTAGCAGTACTCCGCGGTCCATTGTTGCTCGAGCATACGATTGGTGTTGACGATGGAAAGGATGGCATCTAACGAGATACCGTTTGATGCGAAGCGATAGACTATGTCTGGAGAGTTGAGACAGCCCGGGAGGAAAGTGAGCAGCTCGATCGCGGTAACATTTGCGTTGGGGAAGCGCAGATTCCTTGTCAGGATCTCTACAGACATGCCTTTTTCAGAGTCCGATATATCCAGCGGAGACATTACGGATGACAAAAGGAGCAGTTGGCGAAAAGCCCGGCGGAGCTGTCAACGATGGGTAGTATAGTAGTTCCAGGTTGCGTCTGCACTCAAGAGAAGGGTACTGTTAATGCATGCAGCTGTCAGCACACAAACACAATTCAAATTTGGCAGGAGCACAGTTGAGCGCGCCCGGGCCCGGGCCCGGGCAACGCGGTCGCGATAGTCGCCATAATAACAACAAGAGCGAGCTCTGTCGCCGAGCCGACTTCACTATCAACCACACGAAATTAGTGAAGTCGAAGCTCCGCACAAGCTTTCTTCACTTTTTGCTCTCAAACTCTCAACTACTCACTTTGAATTGGGATTTCACAACCTTTTGGAGCGCTTACTTGCAACCGTCTTTAGAAACTTCACTCTTGCTCGACATTACAAGGTACAAGCACTCACCGCAAATTGACCTGTTGTACCAGCATTATGGCTGCAAAGTCAAGGAAGGCTGCCAATTTAGGCCAGTCAGGCAAGTCAGGCAAGAAAGCTTCTCAGTCAGCTAAGTCCCCCAACGACGACAAGGTCTCCAAGACCAAGAGGGTCGACAAGGCGAGCAAGGCATCCGACACTCCTGCTCAGTGCACCATACGAGTCGCCAACGATTGCTTTGGCCAGACGAGTCCTCACTGGAATCTGCCATTCCACTTAGGCAATGCCACTGCCGCCGAGCTCTTGGCCTACCTCCCGCATTCGCTGAAGGGCGTAGATGTCGTCGATCGTTTTGTGATGAATGGGGGCAAGGCCATGTTGATTGCGTTTATGCGTAAGTTGTTGATGTTCTCATTGTCATCGCATCAACTGATCAGTCTCAGTCAACACATACCGCACCATGCGCGATGACCGTGTCATGTCTGCGAACTCCATTTGCGTCATGATGCAGTGTTCTATGCGAGCTTACGGGGTCAAAGGATGGACCGCCGGTAAACATCAACACACCGACGTCCACCTAGACCCTGCGCCGATTCACGATCCCGACTCGCTAGATGTGTCCAGCTTCCGCACGCCATGTGTCAGCCATCCCAAGAAAGGCTTTAAGAAGCTCAAGAATCTCTTCGCTGAACCGATTGAGTTCCGTGACCTCGCTCAAGGCGTCAAGCAGCACCCTTCAGGTGACGACGCGCTTGACCTCACGCGTTGCGTCCTTTACGCTGTCAATCACCCTGACGAGTCCTGGCTCTTTCCGGATGATTTTGTTGACCTGGTCAATCACCTTGGCGGAGCGCAGACCCCCACTCCATTTCACTGCGACAAGCAAGCCTTCGGCCGCCACCTAGCAGCGCTCGAAGCTATCACTGCCGCCACTCGTAAACGACAGCCTCCCGCTGCACCCGCTGCACCTGTCACACCTGACACTGCTGCCACCCCCGATACTCCCGCCACTCCCGTGACGCCCGTGATTCAGTACCCTCACTTTGGCACGACGAACACATCCGGCAGCATACGCGGCTCAGAGACGGACCACCTCACGGGCGACTTCTCGGGCGACTTTGTGGGCGAAATCCCCGGCAACTTCACCGGCAACTGCTGGGGCGACGCGGCGAGCCACTTCACGGGTCACTTTATTGGCAGCTACGATATGCGCAACTTCGATACGCACAACTACGACACACCCGACCTGGACATGCGTCTCGCAGCGCCAAAGAAGCGCAGCTACGCTAAGTTCAGTGCTCCACGCTTCGACACCGCAGCCAGCGGCGAGAAGCGTCGTAGCGGTAGACTCACCACTCAAGCGGTGAGCTATCTGCAAGAGTCAGACTCGGACATCGACGCGCTTTATAAGAACAACGAGCACGAGCCGCCCACTAAGAAGCGCAAGTCAGCCCGCGCGTCTTCCGCCGAAAGCGAGTTCACTGGCAACGTCACCAGCGACTCGGAGAGCCTTGGAGATGTCACCGGCGAGACTAGCGACGAGTTCCTCGCTCCCAAGCCCAAGCGACCTGTTCGTGCCTCAGCCGTGAAGGGCCGCATCCTCACACAAAAGGCTGTTCACAAGGAGACGCCTAAGACTCCGCGCGCCGCCAAGGCCACCCGACCATACACACCTATCGTCTATGCTGTGCCCATTTCCGGGATGCCTCTCACGGCCGCAGCGCCCACCGTCCCCGACTACCTTATCGACCCCACCCTTCTTGAACGCACCCATGATGATTCTGTCATCGACCAGGCCATCTTTGCCCAGGCGCGGGCCTTGGAGGCTCGTGCTCCCGTCCAGATCACAGCTCCTGTCCTCGACTTCAATCGCATCGTCATCCACGACCGCAACGTGTGGCTGTATGCTGACAGTGGCTGCGTTACCCGCGAGGACATGTTCGCTTCTGCATTCTGTTCTGAGCGCTTCGACGGCCCACGTGAGCAGGCTCCTTTCCGCGAGCTGCATCGTCTCTCCGACCCGGACCCCCTGGACATGAGCGACTGGGCTGAGAATATCCGCTGGGCCAAAGAGCAATGGCTGTACTTTAATGCCGATACGTGGACCGAGTACGGCGACCACCTCGAGCAGATCACCCAGTGGAGGCGCGACCATGGCTGGTGGAGCGACACCGCCATTGCCACTGGTTTCGAACAGTAGAAGTGCGACGCTCATACAGAGCTTGGCCTTTGGCTTTCTCTTCGGTAAGACATTTCACTACATGCTGGCTTTTTTTGACCCTGACTTGACTTCACAGAAACTGGAGTTTGATATATCGGCATATATCGATATCCTGTCCTGTTTGGGCTGGTGGGTTAGAGTTGTAGTGCCTGACTCCCCCAATGGGGTTGAGTTGGCACTGCTCGACTCGTCCACCAGCCCCAAGGCTATTTCCTTGTTAGCTTTATGTTCTATTTGCCGGCATTCTGGGTTGAGTTACAGTGTTTGACTCCCCTTGGGGTGAGTTGCACTGTTTGACTCGCCCAACAGTAGCAGCGCTGATCTTATGTGGTTCTCTTGTATACAGTTGCTTTGGTGTTCTTTTGCCGGCGTCTTGGGTTCACCTGGCTGCTCCGACTAGTGTAGCTCGGACTAGCTCTTATGTACTATAGCTCAATGCAGTGTGTGCTTTCGAAGATGTCTTGAGAATTACGTGTGAAAGGTGATGTATCTACTGGATACAGTAGCGCATCAAAAGCTGTGAGAACTGTGTGTTACCCCAGGTTAGGCATATGCGTAGGTCGATCGTACTCGGTAAGACCCTACGAATTGCGCAGGGATAGATCAGAATGCTCATGCGTCGCAGTAAGTTTCGAGGGTAGCGTGTTGGTCCAGGATATGAGTCTCATTCACGAGCTGCTATGGGTTCTGGGGATCGTGTGTTATCCTAGAATGAGGATTTCAATTCACGACTGTAGTGAGCTACGAGCGGGGCGTGTATACCTGGTCTATGCATTGTATGTTCACTCAGGCTGGTCACTTCATTCATGAGCTGTGGTAGGCTTTGATCCCAGTGTTCCCCCCGACTAGGAAATACATAAGCGTATCATACTCAGGAAGACTCCGCAAGCTATAACAAGGTCTCCTATTCCATTCATAAGCCGTAGCAGCTACCCATAATGGTACATATATCAACGAACAGGCCGCGAGATTCAACACCGGACTCGATACAGTTTCCACCAAAACATGTCTCTCCGTAATCTAGAGAAACCCCAACATTGACATTGAGTAAGAAAAAAGAATGAAAGAGAACAGAGCAGTGAGGGCATGGCTTTCGTGGTGCCGCTGGGTTTTGAGCTGGCGGGCACCCATGGGAGAACTTCAATGATGACGACGCTTCTTCGGGGCGGGCTCGTAGTCGCTGGTAGAATCGTTGTCTGGCTCATTAGTAGGCACGTCGGAGTGATCGATCCACGAAAAGTCGTATATGTCCTCTACACAAGCGTTCTCATCGGCGGCGGCATGATGCACATACTCGTCAGCAGAGCTCTCGTCTTCCGGATGCTCATCCTCAGAGTCCTCGCCGTCAGACTGGGTCACGTCGACTTCGTGATGATCGTCGGGCTCGTCTGTATCGTTCGATAGGGCTGAGACATGCGACACCTCTGGAGAGCCGAACGAAGCGGAAGCCGCATCGCCCGCAGCTTGTTGATCATCCTCACTGTTGCGAATGTAGCCGCAACCCATATTTCCAAGCTCCATATCTGACAGGTCGTCTGGGACGTCTGATAGGTCCTTATCAGACTCCTCACAGTCTTCCGATTTTTGTCGAGCCTTGTCAACGACAGCATCAAGATCTTGCTCAGTCCGTGGAATATTGCCATTAATAGTCTTTCCCTCTCCATCCATGGTATCGACATGGCCTGCGCTAGTCTCGCTTCGATTATCGGAATCCGAGTACACCATCTCGATTCCGGCCATCTCGGAAATCTTCTCACTAGTGTTAATTTTATCATTAACATCAACTCCATTGCCGTTCAAGGTTTCCTCATCTAGCGAACCGTAAACGAGCTTTCGAGCACGACCAGAGCGACGAACAATGCCATCACGGGCATTCTTGCGACCCTGAGCAATGGCCCGTTTGGAGCCCTGGAACGAGCGGTCCTCGTCGCTGCTGGACTCGGGATCCAACTCGATCGCCTTTCGAGGGCTCGTCGTGCGTGAGCTCGTCTTGCGTGGGCCCGTCTTTTGACGGCTGGCCTTTTGAACAGGTAGTAGATTGCGTACAAGGGAGCCCTTCCTAACAAAGGCATTCGTGCGCTTAGCGGGAACCGGGGGTGCGACCTGTGCCTGGTGCGGCGGATGATCCTTAGAAGCAGCTGAAGCATTGCCTGTACTCCAATGATGGCTGCCAACCGGCGCCTTGCTTGCAGTTGGGGTCATTACTGCAGCCGTAGGGTTAAAAAGGGGCGCGATCCGAACTTGGTTCTGCGTGGAAGTATGAAGGCCGGCTGGAGCATTGTTCATGATCAAATTATGGCTTCCAATCTGCGCTTTGTTTGCAGCAAACGCCATTTTTCCAGCAATGCGTGCTGCGATCGTAAGGGGATTTGGCAAGGGCTTTTCTTTTTCATGATGCTTGAGCTCTGCACCGCTGAGCTTGGGAGCAGGTGCCGTATGTGGAGCCATTGTGGGCTCTGGGCGCATGAACTGGTCGAGAGGAGCGCTGGATAAGGGAATGGATGGCCCGTTTCCAAAGGTGCGACGATGAAGCGGTAAATTTGGCGGAATCCACGCGCGACCTTCATGGCTGAGGAGATCGTCCGCTGCGCTTCGAAGAGGAAAGTTCTTGATGTCGTTGGGGATGTCGGCCTCAGGGATGCGTGCAGTGACACCGCCTAAACGGGACATGTTCCAGGCTTCTACGATGCTATTCTCGGTGAAGACGAACTCGTCTAGAATGGAGCGAAATACGAATGGATCATCTGAAGGAGTGATCAGAGCTTGTCGCATCTCTTGTACGTTGTTGTGTTGTGCGTAGTAAAGCTGGTAGAAGTGGTCCGCAGGACTCTTACTACCCATGTCAATACGACGTTCAGTAAGGGTTGCGACCAGCTCCAGCTCGCGGCGCTGAGGAGCCCAGCCAGGGTTGTCGTAGAATCGGTGTTGAATGTCACGGAAGTTGGCGGAGATCATCTTTGTCGTAGGCTGCCGGATGAAGGAGTGCGGTCGGCGTTCAGTCGACCAAAGAGAATGGTCTAAGGGGCTGTTTACGTTATAATCACTCTAGGGTTGCGAGATTGCTTCCCGGGTGGTTTAGTATATATTTTGTTGCCAGGGAGGATTTTATATAGGCATGATAGCGCGATCGAGGCTCCCTTGGGGACCACACTGGGATTTTGCGAAGTTGAATGCACTTTCACTTCCCGTTCTAGTGTAGATACAATGTTGTTTTCACGCTTAAACCCGATTGTGAGTGTTCCAAAGGCTAGTGGTATCATCTCACCTCAATTATGACAGTTCATAATGCCTGGAATCACTTCCAACACCAGAAGGACCTATGAACCCATGATTCGTGTTGTTCGCGTGCTAATCGAAGTAAATTGGGCCATAGTTGTCTCATCTGTGATCGGAGCGCATCTCTAAGACGGTGATACGTGCACGGATATATATCACCATTAGGATATCCCTGGATGTGGTAGGAGCACTGACGGTCTTGTACGAAGTTGCACTGTATTCTTTAGCATGCCAAATCCTTTCCTTCCCCGACCTCATAATCCATCAAGAATGGCAATAATGATGAATGAAATCCTGACTATTCTCCTATAATTATCTACGAGTTCCTAGTCTCCATAAGGACCTCCATTTATTCAGAAGGTGCCATAGGTCTCAGGTTCGGCTAGTGTTTCACCGTTCGGTGTATTAATCATAGATCTATTGGCTGAACAAACTAGGCAACTGTGATGGTGAACGTTCTTTTTTATATGGCCCGTCGAATTGGGCTACTTGACACTCAAGCGAGTCAGGTCTCGAGTTCTCAGTACATTCTTTGATCATTGTCCTGCTCGAACAATTAAATACACTACATGGGTATTGTGACGATTTTAGGATCGTAGGTATCGTGCAATGGAAAATATTGAAGGTTCACTGAAGTTGTATTACTGTGATTCTAACTGAACTATATAGCCATAATGAGGCGATCGTCAGGGGAGTTGACTTATTCAGAGTTTCCTAATTCAGTAGCTGAATTATAACGATTGTCGCGATCCTCAGGACTCCATGAGAACTCGGTCCGAATAGGATCGATAGTAACGTAGATTGAACTGCGACAGGTATCCTTAACGTATAACATACAAAAGATCTCCTTCAGTTTAATATTAAACTTGCTGAGATATTAAGCGTATACACGAACATTTAAAATCATATTTCAACCCAGATTGTGCCAATAAGAATCCAATTCATAGCGCGAAAACATCCAACAGCATGTAGACACAGCGCAAGTTTATCAAAGCCCAGATCTCCGCATGTACAATCTCCCATCGTGACGCCAGTCCAGCGCATACCAGCAGCGAGTAACTCAAACCGCACGCTACGCTATCCCATTGCCATCTCAGGAATCATCAGCCCACATCAGTAGCGATTCCAGAACTCAAGCCGGAGGGTGGGCTGATTTAATTTTATTTCATTCAGGTGAGTCGCCAGCCAACACAAAAGGTGAAGGAAACTCAAGCTACACGGTGAGTGGATATATCCCCGCTATCCATCATTGTGGGAATCATCTCGGCGACACCAAGCTATTTTGACTCTAGAGAAGTCTAAAGACTTACAATCTAGTCCCAAGCTTTGGTGTCGGTGTAGATCTGGGCTCTAATAATTTGAAGATAGAGAAATAAAAAAAAAAAAAAAAGGTGAGAAATGCTGCAGGCCGTGTACAATCCATGGTAGGACAAGCACACGCAGTATCAGTCGTGCCTCTTGGAGCTCAACCTTGCCGTATGCGCTGCAGGTGGAGTTACAGGCCCCCATCGTTTCGAACCGAACTCCTTAGCACTTGTTCCGTCAGTTTGGACCAACTCCCTCAACTACATCCTCATATTCTTGGTCTGCGATAGGACTTCGACGAACCCGATTCCTATTGCTAAAGTCCAAGGAAGAGCTCTCGCCTTCATTCGGTCGAGGGCGTTTGCGCGCTTCAACGGGCGCAGGACCGGGACTGGCGAGCAGCGCTGGATCAATGGGAAGATCTGGCAGAGGTTGTGCCATCTCTGCAAGATTTGTGAACGAGTGGTCCCCACCACGCTCGTTTGTAGTTGCGCCATTCTGCCTGTCCCGCGATGGACTGTAGGGTTGAGCTTGAACATACCCCGGATACTCTGGGTGCCTTTCCAGTTGGGGTTCTTCCTTCCTCGGCTGGGTTTGCTGATTCCCATCGTATCCGTTACCACTCGCAAAAGAACGTCCACTCTCATGTGCCTGGCCAACAAAGTACCCATGGAAGTACCCCGAAGGCCTCCGTGGCTGTGGGAGCTCTTCTTCAGTCCACACGGATAGCTGGTGGCTACCCAACCGTGGGCCAGAAGCTGCTGAGAGTTCTTTCTGTATTCTCGGCACTCTCGAGGAAGCACGGTAGTTAGCCAGTCCATCTGTGTTTGTGCCGGAGTGGCCTTCATGAACACCCGCGTTTCGCCGTGGATGGGCCCGCTTCTGGACTGGACGACTCTCGAGGCTCAGGCCGTGACGCTGAATTCGATCGACCGTGAAGGTCTGCTGCGTGCTTTGGTGTCGTGGTTCACCATACCGTTGGTTCACGCCATCAAAGGGGTCCATCTCAATCACGTTAGACCGCTGCACGGTGGCGGGATTTCGCTGAATCAGAACCGCTTGCCCATCCTGTTCAAGACCGGGGTCAATTGTGTGATAGCTTCGTACAACATTCTGTCTGTCCAGGACGCGTTGGTTCCTTCGAGGATCACTAAGATCCGGGTAATCTCGAAGGACACGCGGCTGAGAAGCAGGAGCTTGCATACGGGGACGCTTCTGGCGTGGCGAGATATCGCCATTATCGCTATAAGAATCCTCATCGTCCCCGTGTTCATGGTGCGGGCGCTTCCTTGACCCAGTGCCTGATGGCAGTGGTACTGATCCTGGTCCTGGGACATGCATACCATTGCCAATTCCATAACCCGGTGGCGGGGGAGCAGCGCCTGAAAATGCATTACTCGCCCCAGAGTTTGATGGAACTCTGGCAGCGCTTTGCAGCATATTCCCAGAGTTCATGCTAGGACCTGCATGGCCTGGGGGAGGCGCTAGCCCTCCATTGCTAGGCCCAGCAACTGGGGGATTCTGCGGCGGCATCGGCGGCGGCGCCTGCAATCCGTGGTTGCCTCCGGGATTCGTAGGTGCTGGCATGGCTGCTTGCAATACGTTGTTCGGTGCAGCTGCCGGTGCGTTTGGCTGCGCAGGCCAATACGTATTCCGATGCCAGTTGCATTCCTGTTCCCACTGCATATCATTACCCTCTGCACGGTTATTCGCATTGGGGCCGAGCCATCGAGCAATTGCAGCCGGGTCCAAATGGTTGTTGGTGGCCGTGTTAGCACCTCCAACCACAGCCAGCACTGTTGCGTAGTCAGTGGGGAACATGTACTGCGCACCTAAAGTCGGATTGCGAAGCACCCAGTCAACGCAACGAGTCAAGTCAAGAGCGTCGTTGCCTGCTGGAAGGTGCTTCACGTTGCGTGCAAGTCTGCTGAATGGGACGGGGCTGCTCGGGTACGAAGGCTTGTTTCCGCGTGTGCTCACCTGTTCTAGTGTCCTGATACCCGTAACTGAAAGTCCACCAAGGACATACTGTGGGTTTGCGGGACGAGTATGAGGTTTGTTATCACGGTCCCAAGTGACACCTGGATACTCTTTCACCATTTCGCCTCTGATAAACTTCCAAATAAAGTTGTCCGTTACGGGATGATGGCGATGTGACGTAGCCATGTTTGCAAGAGCCTTTTGTTGGTATCTGCCAGTGTTGGAGAACACGCGGTCGATCATGTCCACACTTCGCATGTGGTTCGGGATGAAGGTCATGATCTCCGCAAGCGTGAAGTTTGCAGCAGCTGGCAGCGGAATATTGGGAGATGGAGCATCGAACAGCGCAATATGCTGCCCTTGCACACGCTGTGCAGCTGTTTGAGCCACAGCTGGAGGATTTGGAGCTGCGGGAACCGCGAGAGTTGCTGGTGCGGGTGCTTGCTGAACGGGATGACCTACATTCGGCGCGTTAGACAGTGGCGGTATAGCTGCAAAGGTTGGTTGGGCAGGACGTTGGCGCCGTGATGCAGATGGTTGGGCGGCACGAGTCGTTGAACCTTGCGGTCGGGAGAGCCCGGCTTGAGGCGCGGGAGGTGCCGGGCCAGGGGCAGGCTGCTGGGCCGGAGCAGGTTGCTGGACTGGAGCACCTGTTAGAGGGTGAGGACGGTTCTGGGGCTGAGATTGTGCAGCTCTCTGAGAAGGGCCAGCTGCAGGGACGGGTTCTCCTGGTGGATCAATCAAGTGAAACCACAGATTCGGCTGCGTCAGAGACCGCCACTGTGGCCCAACAATCTCGATTCCAAACAGATTAAGGGCACGCTCCTGGAAAATCGACCTATCCACTCTAACCGCACCACCATGGAGGAAGTTATCCAGGATGCCCCAATGCTCATATGGCAAATTGAGCCTGCGATTGCGGCGGAAACGCAACCACTGGCGCTCAGGCAGCGCTATATCATTATTGATAGCAGCCCATCTCAACGGAAAACTGTCATCAGAGTCGAAAACATCGTATCGCCCTTGCATTGGCTCGTTATCCGTTGTGGGGAAATTTTCAGCATAGCCCAGACGGGTGAGGTTCCAACTCTCAATGATGTGGAATTCATATTCAACGAACTCCTCGAGAATTCCCTGAGGAGAAAGTACAACACCGTGCTGCAGAGCTTGTCGTGCGCTTTCGTTGTTGGCGAGTAGGGCTTCTGCGAGACGATTCCGAGTATTCACCTCACTCATATAAATTTCGAACGTAGTAAGGTCTGCCTGGTCGAGCAAGTCCCGCAGTTCTTGGACTGTCTGAACTGTGGTACGAGGGATAGAAGCTGGCTGACGGTGTCCAGATATGTTTGCCAGCATGTTTCCGGAAATTTCTTCTTCGAATCGGTATGATACGACTTCACAGAAACGGAGAGTGATTATACTGATCTGAAGCTAGCTCAAGCTCGAATTTGGATTGCTCCTTAGTGTTGTTGGTGTATGAAACCTTTCTTGCCGAGTGAAGGAACGATTCCTGGGAGTATATAATGTGTGGGAGTGCCAAGCTGAAACTTCATCATCGCCTCACAATGTGTACAGGGAACTCGCGTGTAAAATTTGTGTCCGTCAGACACGCGATCATAATGTACACACCATGATGCGAAGCTTTCACCCAATTTGAAGGAAAGTGTCACCCGCATGCAAGGCGAGGTGATGCATCATGGCATGCATCCGGGTGAGTGGCTCGAAAGTGTTCCAGGTTTCGAAGACGGGACCCAACACCGCTCCAAAACGAGGTATCTACGGAGCAGGATTTATCCTCAGAATGTTAAAATCTGAAATATAGAGCATGAGACAGTCGTGGGTGGTTGTAAGTTTGGCATAAAGTATCTCGGCCTTGACTTCGGCTGAACGCATGTAAAGTCCACAGGGACGGATACTGCATGGAAAGCCATCCCATACACGGCAGGAGATACGAAATTCAAGATGGTTTATCCTTAGACGATGGTTGTGTCGGAATTTGGTGCTTTAGCATGAGATCGTTTCGCGGCTTTTACAGTGTCTACTGTCAAGCCCTTTCAGTGATTGACTTAGAACTCAAGATTGCGTTCAACATCAAACAGTCACCGTCAACCCAACTATACGAGTGATAATTTCTGGTACCAATGAATAGATAGGCTGGAACATAAACCGAATTGGAAATGTTTATCTTGAAGCAGTGCTCTAAGACACTGGCATCAAACCTCAACTTTTAGGACGCGACCTGCATCGATTCGCTCCATATTCAGCACCGTCGTCTGATGAAATTGTATTCTCGGCTAGGATTTGTCAAGAGACATTGTTTGAAAAGCAGCAAAGTGAAGCGTGGAACCAACATAATTGTTTGAACCGCGATTGCGGCGATGTTTCAAATAGCACACTTCACTCCTTTTCTACTTATGCGTCCCGCAAAAGTCTCACTACGCGCTAATCCTTAGCCAAATATCTGATTCGTCTCAGGGTAGACTGATTGGTATGGATGTTACGCTGTCGAGTCTACGCGTCCGACGGTGCTCGGGTCCGATCATGTCACGATGTCTCCAGTTATGCGAGAATTTCATAATGCCCCTGCCCAACCTCGCGGACTGATGTGGACATGCTTTGTGCGGAGAAGATTATAGGCCGGTTTATTGTGACATTTGATGCTGACATGCTGTTCAACTTGATTCATACCGTCGCATAGGACACAAAAAGGAACATCTTGGGCCCGTCCACAAGGAATTGTGTGGATCTCATTTCCATAGAACTCGGCTTGCTCAAGATTACACCACAATGTCTACCGCTATATAGATATTTCACTTCACATGCACATGTTGGGAACGGGATTTCCGTGGTCGAGACAAGATATATTCAATTTACAGCAAAAGATACAACAAGCCATCTGCAGATGGGGGGTCAAGCGCGATAACAAAAATGCCAAGAGGTCAGGAAAGGGATCAGTAAGAATGAAGCAGAGCCAAGCAGACAAGATGTAGAGACCATGCCACCACATGGGTCGCCCCTCTCACGCAAGGCAGTAATGGTCTTTTTCGCAACTTGCAATCGCGAACCGGGCCATCGGAGAGCGGATAATCGTGCTGGATGTTCTGTATTCGCGGCCACAGGATCATTATCTGCCGCAATCTTTACAATGCATCATTTTCGTACAGCTAGCTTTAGGTGTTCCTCCAACGCTCCCAGGCTGCCCGATCCAGGTGCTGGTCAGTGACTGGGACCGGGAAAGTCACAACACCGGCAAGACCGTTGGTCAAATAAGTGATCATGTCCCGGAAGTCAGCCGGGTAGTTCCAATTCTCTTCGGGGTGCAGGGAAGCATAGCGGACGCAGTGCGTCAAGTTCAACGCATCCCGCCCGGAGGGCCACGCCTTCACACGCTCGGCCAGCTTCTTGAACGGAATCGAGTTTGCATCCCGGAACGATGGGAAATTCTCAATGTCGAACCGAGTTCGAAGACCAGCGATGTCCAGCTTGTCAGGATCATGGTTCGCCAGAGGCTGGTGCCTACCGACGGTCCACTTCGTGTAGTCGTACCCGCCGTTGGCAGTCCGGTCACCCTTGTGGCGCATCCGAGCCTGCAGAACGTGCAACAGGAAGTTGTCTTCCATCGGAGCTGGGAGGCGGAGATTTGCGTTCATGATCTTCGCAATGAGATTCTGGGAGCCGCCATTGCTGACGATGCGTTCGACCACCTCGCTGCTGAAGATGTACCGAGGGAAGAAAGTCAACAATTCCACAATCGTGACATCCAATGGACGGCCTTGAACGACGGCTGGGAAAGGAATGTTGGGGGAGGGGAAGTCGTTCAGTTGCTTGCCCACTACACCCGACTTGACAAGAGGTTGCGCCCCCTTAAGCTTCTTCGGGGTTTCAGGCTGGGAGACAGCTGGATAGTCTTGTGTCGCAGAAGCCGTCTTTTTACGCTTCTGTGGCACTGAGATCATCTGCTGCTGCACCTGATACGGTGTGCGCGGAGACGGAAGATACCCGGATTGGAATTGGTCTTGCCCCTGAGCTTGCTGCACGGGCGAAGAGTTCTGGTCTCCACCAGTAACAGGCGAGAAGTTTTCCGGGGACCACTGGATAGACGAATTGACATAGCCACTCGTGTAGTCTTCATTTCCGTCCGCAGAAAATACACCTGGTGTCATCGGCGAGCGTAGCATCGGGGAATCGACAGCGTGTCCAGTCTGTTGAACCCGGGTCGGCGGAACAGACAGAACATGAACATATTTATTCCAGCCGGAATTATCGGAAGACTTCTCGTACCAATTGTGACGCTTCTGCTGGACTTTCTCTCGAGGTTCAGCAGACGTCCGAGCGTTGTAGCGGGCGAGTTCGCGCTCGTCGACCGATGGCACTACCTCCGTTGCAGGTACCTCAGAGAGATTGTACGGCGAAAATGGCGAATGCTGAAAAAGTGACTGCTCGAAGGTCCCACGTGATGGGGTGCTACACTGGGTCACGCCTCGAAGTTGGGCAGCGAGGCCAGCGCCAGAGAGTGGATATGCAGAGAGCGGATGCGGGAGCTGTACAGAGGCATTCATTTTCGGGTTGGAAATGACATTGCCCCGACCCCGGGATGGTGCTTGCTCCTCGGCCATCTTAGGCACGCCCAGGAATTGAGGCGGCCGATACACGATGCCTGCGTCCAGTGCAGCCGCCTGCAGAGGGAAGTTCTCAATGTCCTCGTTCACTGCATCTTTACCCTCCGCGATCCGGCTAGACTGATTCCAGAAATCTATAAGATCCCGCTCGCGCTCGATGCGCGTGTCAAGGATGTCCTGGGGAGACAGCGCACGTAAATTGCAGTCGTCCTGGCTATCGCGAAGATTGCGAAGGAGGACATTCGTGAGGCTCTGAGAGGACTTCGGGGTTGTAGTGTCCTGGTTGGGTACGGAGGTAACGTGCGCGTAGGTGGTCTCCAGCTCAGAGCGTGCATCGTTAAGGAGAGCGAGGATCTGTTCATAGGTGGGCGGCACAGGCTTGCGGAAGGTGGAGCCTTGCGAATTGGCAGTGGTAGAGTGTGAAGAGGAATATGATGGTCCAGCCATTGTATCGGTGTCTTTCCCCGTCGTCGGTGTTCGGAGTTGGCGAAAGAAGGGCAAAGTCGAGGGATTTGAAATTGGGGTAAGCCTTCGGGAGCAGAGTGTGGTCTTTGTCGTCGTGCTTTCGCGTTCCAATGTCTCTGATGGAGGCTTTGGGGTTTTGTGATACTGGCGAAGTGAGGCAGCAGGGTATCTTATACGTAAGGGAGAGGGAGTCTGGGAGAATGCTGTGTCCTCACAACGCGTGCCCAACGCGTCGCATGGCATGATGAGCGTATGATGTAGCCACGGGGAACCACTGCTTCATCTTGCTATTCTACGTCATGCATGATCCCGACAAGTTGTTTCTGTGACCACGGCGGCAGTTTTGGGTCACTGTCGAAGTTTGGCGGAGGTCAGGACGGTCGCCTTCGGGCGAGATCCATCACTTTCCCGACGAATACACACGCAGCTACATAACGCATCAACTCACTCGATCTTCAAGAAGGTATCTATGGCCACATATAATAGAGAAGAGCACAAGTAGAAGCACTCACGGTCACCTCGTAGATGAATAGCTAACGTAGCTGTTCTTAAGCACATATCCAGAGCACTGACAGACTATGCTGTTCAACCGTACTCAGCCACTTATCGTTTGAATGCGAATGATCGCTCGAGATTCTTCAATATCCAGAGATAGCAGGTGAGCCGGGAAGGCGAGGCACTGACGGTCGCCTCGTAGAGGATTTGCAGAACTGATTCAAAGGATACATACAGAGCCGCCACAGTCCTTGTATCTCAATCACTCTCAGCCAAGCATCTCCCCACCTCAAATCAGCGCTTGCCGGCATTTGATTTCCATAATGCTAACTATACCCAAGAAGCGAGGCACTGGCGGATACCTCCTCGAAGCCTGCCGCAGCTCTACCTGGTGCGACGCTCCCAGACTCTCGCACATCGTAGACGACCAGATCCTGGAAGACACGGCCAGAATCTCGACATAGTGACTCGCGTCGAATTCGTCGCATCGTAGTTGCATGGTGTGCTCGAGGTCTTGCGAACTTTGAACTCAATCCGGATACACCCAACCATCGGCACTCCATTATTCTATTGGATACATGCGCACTACATACCGCGATAATCCCACCTCGTATCCCAAAGCGACCCCAACGCCCTTTAGTAATGCTTATTCCAGATGAAGTCCTTCCACGCCTCACACTTCCCCGTCGTATCCCTCCCCAACCTAAACCCCGCCTTTCCATCACTCCCAAAATCCATAACCGTCGCCCCCTCCTTCCCCGCCACTTTCCATCCTCTAATTGGCGCCCTCGACGGATCCCGTGCAAACGCTGCCCACGCGCGGCGCATCGTTTCACTCAGGCGCTTCTGCTCTCTCGTCGCGCCGGTGAGGTTGTACGTCGAAAAAACGATTGGGATCTCGCTCGAGTGGTATGCGAGCTGCGCAGGAACGGGCCAGCGATTATCCGGCAGGTTACTCAGGCGGGCGTTGGGGAAGGTGGCGTTGAAGAGGTAGCGGTAGGTGGGAACGTAGCGGGTGCTTGAGTTGCTTAGGAAGACTGCTGGCTATCCTTCCTGTTAGCATTGTTCTTTTTCCAGATTTTCATATCTTCTCGTCTTTGTCTTCGTCAGCAAAGGAAGAGAAAAGGGCGGCTTACACAGTGGAAATTCCAATCCGTATGAATCTGCGCTAGTATGCTTTGGTTGTCGAAGCGTCCCTCGGCCGGGTTGAGGGAATATGCGTCGAGTATCTTTGTCTTGAGGGCTGTTTCGTTCGGGAACACAGTCTTGAAATAGCGATCTATATCCGTCCCATTCTTCGCAGCGTAGTAGCTCCCATCTTCCACTGTCGACCCGCCGATCACCGGCACGCGCGCGAACCGTCCCGCCTCTCGACGTAAGCGCGGATCGCACACGATGGTTACATTATCCCCCGCCATGCCGAAGCCTATGTTGAACTTTTCCTGCGCATAGCGTATGTCTGCGGCTGGGGTGTCCATCACGCAGGTGAAGGGGGAGGTCGTGTTTGTGCAGTTGAGGTGGTCGAGGAGGTTATTCCACGAGGCGAAGTTGGTGTTGTTGCAGTTGGAGAGGGGGTTGTAGGAGTATGTCCCGCTCTCCATAATACCAGCGCGGAAAGGGGGGCCGTTGGGCCACGGCGAGGTGAGTAAGACGTCGACGGCATACCCACCGGCTGACTGCCCGAAGATAGTCACACGCTTAGGGTCGCCGCCAAATGCGTGGATGTTGCGCTGGACCCAGTCCAGGCCGGCGCGCTGGTCGAGCAGGCCGAGGTTGCGCTCTGTGAGATTGGCGATGTCTGGCGCAATGGGGAAGCCGAAGACATTTGTGCGGTAGTTGACTGAAACCAGGATCACGTTTTCGAGGGCGGCGAAGTGCGAGCCGTCGTAGATTGGCTGTCCCGCGTTACCAAAATTGAAGCCGCCGCCATATATCCAGTAGAGGACTGGGTAGCGCGGCTTGCGGAAGTAGGGTTTCCAGGACTTTTTGGGGGCGAAGACATTGAGGTAGAGACAGTCTTCGCTTTCTTCTGGGCGCGGGATGCTGAAGACGTCTTGAATGAAATTGCGGTCCTCGATTGGTCCTTGAGGTAGTCAGCATCGATTACTCAGGGGTTTCAGGTGTGCAAGAGCACCTACTAAATGCCTGTATGCACGCCGGCTTGAAGGCCTTGGTATCAATTTGCTTCGACCAAGTCGTCGGTTTCGGCACCGCAAACCTCTTGCTGCCCACCGGGGCCTCCGCGAACGGGATTCCCAGGAACTTATTGATTGCCGCCGTCGCCCCAATTACCCTCGTAGTAGTCCCGACAATGACGCCACCATCTACGGTCGCAGTGGGGTTACCATATACCAACCTGGCGGCTACATTCCAAGGCGCGGCTGTCAACAGAGCTACAGCACCCGCCGCGATCTTCATAATCTCAAACTATGGAGGAAAAGGTTATTGGACAAAAGGCCAGGAAGCTGGGGATGCAGGACTCAAGCGCGTTTTATATACATGAGCTGCCGGCAGTTGGGAGGGACAGGGAGCGTGAGTCTGTGTGACCCCGCATGCTGGATGGTGGTGGTGATTCGCATTGCGGCTAAAGGCGATTGGGTCGAGCATGGGGATGATGCTGGTCGGTAGAAACCATGCGGACTAGGGGGTATCACGAGAATAGCTTCCGAGAGGGAAGGAGTGGTCTTGATAGCAAAGTATAAGTGACGTTGATACTGGTGCGCGCAATGGGCGCGTCTTGTTTTGGTGCGTTGCCTGTACGAATGACTGGATGCATATTGTAAGCGAGAGTAGTAGAGAGCAAGGATGATTTCCACGGCTCTGATTGTGGTTTTGGATATTGAGGCGGGCTCCCGATCTCGCAGGTCGCGTGTATGCGAGATTCTCGTACGTGGTTGCACAAGCGGGCACCCATCGCTCGAGCTTAGGAACCAGTCAACCAGAGGCGAATCAGCAGTGTGCAGCGCTCAAGACATGCCCATCGCATGTCTGCCCGGCGAAGCTGCAATTTTACGCTTGTGGTCGAGGGGCGGCAGCTTGGAACCCTAATCGGGCAACTCTCGGAGTGGTGTCGATGGCGGATGGCTCAATGTAGGTTCTCTCTAGCCGAAAGTGACATTTAGCTCGAAGTGGCTTTCCCCTACAGTATGGCGTATGAAGTGACGAAAGAACACAGTGACGGGTCTGGTGTGGTTCGGAAACTGGATCCAGCGCTGCTCATCCCGTGGGTCGAAGGGACGAACGTTCGGGGAGTGATGGCAGGGAACGATGACAAACTGCCCAATCGGGTAATGCAGCCAAAGGCCGTCGATTACTGCGCAGTCTCCTTCACGTTTGGATGATGACGGTCGCACGATTGGCTCGTGCGCCGTAAACACTCCGGTGGCCCAAGCTCCTTCCCCGCGGCCCAGCTCCAGGCAGGCACGACACGGCGCAAACTCCCTTCTTTCATGCTTTGTACGAACTGACTCGGATTCCGGCAGCTTCAACACGAGCTCTGCACCACGCACGCCCAAGTCGCCGAGTCCACCGCAACATGGCCGACATGCAGCTCGACGAGATCCCCACGCTCAGCCTGCTGTACAAGCTCTCCCGCATTCCGCTGGACGCAGACCACCCGTCGCCGTGCGAACCGAACGCGGCATACAACGACAAGATCTCCATCATCAAGGCAGACATCACCTCCCTTGTTGTCGACGGCATCGTCAACGCCGCGAACGAGGCCTTGCTCGGCGGCGGCGGCGTCGATGGCGCCATCCACCGCGCAGCGGGGCCCGACCTGGTGAGGGAATGCCGCGGGCTCAATGGCTGCGAGGCAGGCGATGCCAAGATCACCGACGGCTACAAACTCCCCTCGGAGAAGGTCATACACGCCGTGGGTCCGCGCTGGTACGCGCTCAGCCCCGAGGACGCCGAGGCGAAGCTCAAGAGCTGCTATCGCCGCGGGCTGGAGCTGGCCGTCGAACACGACCTGAAGAGTATCGCGTTTCCGGCCATCAGCACGGGCGTCTTCTCGTACCCCAACGTCAAGGCCTGCAACGACGCCTTGTCCGAAGTGCGCAAGTTCCTCGACGAGGGAAAGGGCGACGGGCTGCAGCGCATCATCTTCTGCAACTTTCTGCAGAAGGACCAGGATATATATTACAAGCACGTCTCGTAGGTTTCCACCCGTTGCTCAGATTGCTCAGTCACTCGGTCGCTGATTCGAGCCAACAGCAAGCATTTCCCTCCCGTGCCCGCGCCCGCGCCCGAAGAGACAAACGCCGCCGCAAAAACCTCGACCGACGAGGCAGATATCGCTGCCAAGCTACCCGATCCTCCCACATCAGAGCCCAAGGACCCCGAGGAGCCTTCGGCTAAGAAGCAGAAGACCGAAGCGGCGGCCGATGATCTCGTTGCCGTGGACAAGGACGAGGCGAAGGGCACACCAAAGGGCGAGCTCTAGAGCTCCCCAGGGAAAAATTATGAGATACCACGACATTCATGGCAAGGCGTTATAGCGAAATTGCAGCATGGTTTGCATATACCCTCGGTCCTGGTTCACCGCCGGCGATCAGCGTTGCTTAGGTAGGAATACAGACATCACTCTGATGAAACTTGACATCAAGTTCTATCATCACTTCAAGCTCGGTAAGTCAACGGTGAGCCCAGAAAGTCTTATGGTGAGCCTCCTGTCCGACACCTTACCAAGCCAAGCACGCCTGGGCGAATCGCCAGGCTCTCTGCTAAATGACATCCTCCACCACGAGGCCATGGCATGGAGACGCCACGAGCATTCCACTGCACAGTCTTCAGCCAGTCTTCAGGTCGTTCACAACCATGCTCTTTACGCCGCCATGCTCACCCCACAGAGCCGTGAAACCACAGTATCAGTGTCTGTATTTCAATGTGTGTATGTAGCATAGCTCGTCGCCTAGATTACCGAAAACCACGCGGTCACAAAGGCCGCGCCCAAAATCGCCCACACCGTGCCCACCCTCCCCGCCGCGCCTTCATCTTCTTCCCCCAACCCCGATGACATCGTCTCCCTTGACCTCGTCGTCTCGTCCACCGGCCACAGACAGCTCACATGCGACTCTAGGGCTACATCGGGTCCCCCAGCGGAATTCCAGAAGACGGTCAGTGCGAGATTGATACTGTTGATCATCTTGATTGTGTCGTTGATGTACATGGTGCCCGTGTTGTTCCAGTTTGTCACGAAGGCGAGGTTGTTTGATTTGGGCTGTGTGGAGTAGCAGTTGGTCGACGCATTCTGCTCACGGGTGAGTGGTTGGGGTGCCGCGTCGCCAACCATAGCTGCGAGGTCGAGTCAGTAAGCATCCATCACCATTCGCATCGCAGAGCAAGAAGTCTAGACTTACGGACGTACCGCACCTGCGTCCACTCCATCCCGCACTCCGACTGCTCCCCCTCCACACTCTTCAAGTACGCCTCCAGCCCGTCACACGCATCGCTGGTGCTGTTGAACCTGCGCCCCGCCTGTGCCCGCGCGAACCTGTCGATACCTTCTTGCAGCTCCTCATGGCACTTCGCCCCGATGACCTCCTCGCAACTCTTACTCCCTGCACGCCCCCTCTCATCCGCCACCCTATCATACGCCTCCAGAATCACCGCACAGCCCCCGAAATCAAGCGCCGTGGTCAAATCCAGGCTGCTCCCCAGGAAGAAGGCCTTTTCGATCGTGCGCTCGAGCCGCGTGTCGGGGTCGTAGTTGGTGTAGTCGTGGATAGCCACTGTCCAGGTGAGATTCCTGCCGGCCCAGCGGGAGGGGCTGGAGGCATTGAACGGGAACGTGTCGACGCCGACGCCGCCGTACGTCTGGTTCGCGATGCGGCAGGCGGCGCCGATGGTCGTGTTGTCGGCCTGGGGGCACGCGATGTCGGCGCAGGAGCCGAGGAGTTTGCCGTCGAGCCATTGCGCTGTTCCACCCGACGTGAATAGACTGAGCGCTAGCTTCTGTCGTAGGGACACCATGGTGTTTTATCGTAAGCGGCGGCTACGCGCCTGGTGGACGGCCATCGTGGGCATTTTATGTCACATACTGATGCGGTGCGTTCACTGCCACGCCGCAGTTAACGTCTAGGATCCCAGGTATCCTGTCGTGAGGCAGGACACGACGATGTCATTCGTCTTGGCCGTGGTATGGACGCCCTGTTTTAGTCGGCTGGGTTGGGTTAATGTGAGGTAGAATGGGGGTGGCGGTGCCTGGATGGGGTCGCCTGTGGTGTGCGATTGGCTTGGAGCGGCGTAGCGTGCATCCCACTCGGCTAGCACGGGAGGGCGTGTCGTAGAAAACGCTGAAAAGGTAGGCTACTGCTGGGGTGCTGTGAGGGAGAAAGACAGTAATGGTGTTGGCGTGAGATGGTGGGACGAGAAAGCTGAGCGAGGGTCTACGGGTTCGTTCGGTTTTGGGTCTGTGTTTTAGGATTCACCACTCCGGAGTGATGACATACTTCTCCCACCCACCTCGTGTATCAGCGTTTTTCCACTCGTCCATCCCATTCGAGATCCCTTCTGCGCCGACTGCCCAATCCCCCCGTTCCACCATCCCAACCCAGCTCCTGAGTACCTGCACCAGCCTGACAGGATGGCGCTTGATAAATGGCTGTCGCCCCGTTTGATACAGCTCCTCGTAGCAATCTTTCGAGTTCGCCGACTCATCATGTGTGTTTTCCCCAAATGCCGACCCATCCGCCTTCTTCGCCCACCCGTGTCCCCCAATCGCGTACGGCAGGACTAGCACGACTGCATCGTCGTGCTGGTTGTTCCCGTTGTCACATTCGTGGAAGTACAGGCCTGCGGGGTAGGTGGAGAGGTTGAATGGGTAGCCGAAGATGTCTTCGGGGTAGATGTTGGGGTGGGGGTCTGGGCGGGTGTATGTTTTGAAGGAGTGGAAGAGGTGGATTGGGGGGGAGTGGAACCAGTCGCGGTGTTCCTGCGGGATCGTGTCAGGGATGTTGAAGAAGGGTTGAGAGGTAATGGAGGAGTTTGTTGGAAGGGAGAAACCGGGGGCGATGAAGTTGAATCGCGGACGACGGGCGCGGGTGAGGAAGGAGTGTGCGAAGCCGGGAGGGATGTGGGCGGCGTCGAGAGCTGCTTTGTCGAAGAGAGTGCTGGGCTCGGTGTTTGGGGGAGAGTCGTTCTGGGGCATGCGAGCCTCGATGGCGGATATGAGCTTGTCAAAGACTTCGACAGCCTCGTTCACCTGGTGCTCTGTATACGGTACTAGTTCCCATGGCCTCCATTCTGTGTTAGGACCCACGGCCTTTACTTTGCCAGTCCGCATCATGTCGAGCCACGCGGCCAGGATATCCTCTAGTGGATGCCACTTGATGCGGCCAGAGTCACAAAGCCCATCGCTGTCGTGAATGCTCATAGCCATGATGGCCACATTCTCCTCCAAATCGAAGCTGGTACCTGGTCAGCATTCCGGTGCGCGACATCTGTGTACGGATACTCACATCAGGCCTTCCGGATGCGAAGAATGGTTGACCGCAAAATACAGCCTTATGTACCTCCCGAGGCCGCTTCCATCCTGCAACTGCCCATGATGCTGCTCATACTGGTTCACCCATCTAGGCGAACATATCCCGTCGAGGAACGCAAACATGTCGTCCCCAGGCGCCATCAGCGCACTTGCATAATAGTGGAAATACTGGTTCGAATCCGACATTTCATACGCGCCTTCGAGAAACGCAATGAGTTCCGATGACAGTTTCCCGCGCACATTCTGCGCGGCCTGTCCATGGTGCTCGAACCATGTCTGGGGATGAAAATCTTCTGGGAGTCGACCCATGCCTTCCCACCCTAGGCGCACGATCTCATTGTGCAGCTCTATGCAGCGTGATACGTTCATTTCTGGCTTGGGAAGGAAGGACAACCGCTCTGGTCGGAGGGATGGGAAGAGGATGCCGATGATGACGGCGCCTATGGTGAGGGCGTACACAATCCGGTCCATGGAAAGACGTGGAGTGAAATTAAAGTAGGCACAGTTTGATCTGGTTAAGCATGGTAAGATCACTAAAAGTCATATGGAAAGATTATTTGTTGTAGATGTGGGTTCCTAGAGTGGTGGGTCGCCCCCTTCAGGGACCCGGCTAGCCATAATTGGATGGAGCAAATGACTAGTGCCTCCCTGCCTGGCTCGCGGCTTGCTCGTAGTCCGCTGCCTTCGATCGGACACCAAAATCATCTGCGGACCGCTTGATGCCTAGTCTTTCTATTTCTCGCCCGCGATGAAGTCCCTGATGGTCTGTTCCAAACCCACATCTTCCGAGAATCCCAGCTCCTTCGCCCTTGACGTGTCATATTTGCCAGGCCAGCTCAGAACGATCTTCTCGATCTTCTCATCCCTCTTCTCCTTCACCAAAGCTCGCGTCTCTTTTCCTGCCACTTTCTCAAGCGCCTCTAAGATCTCTCCGCTAGTCGCCGTGTACCCCGGCAGCAGCACCGTCCGGAAATGACCGAGCTTTTCGGCAGGAACGTTCATGGCATGGACGAGATTGTGAGCCAACGTCCGGGGAGAGGCGAGCCATATTCCGATGTTTGGGTCGACAGGGAGCTCGCTTTCTTGTCCGTGAACTGGCTCTCTCACAATACCTGAAACAAATGATGAAGCAGCAGCCGTTGGAGCACCAGCGCGGACGAAGATAGTAGGCAGGCGAACGACTCTACCATCAATGAGGCCTCTCCTTGAGTAGTCGTTGACAAGATACTCCACCATCAGCTTTTGCGTTCCGTATGAGCTCTCGGGCATCGGGACGATATCTGTCTCCGTTGCGACGTTCTTTACGGCAGCTCTTCCAAATACGGCGCACGATGAAGTGAAGATGACCTTGGTGCCGGACTTCTTTTCTCTGATGGCGTCGAGAAGTCCACGAACGCTGTCGAAGTTGACACTCAAGCCTAGCTCCAGATTTGCTTCCGAGCCACTCGACATGATACCATGCAGGATGTAGACCGCATCTGGCGCGTGATCTATCAAAGCTTTGCGGGTGTCAGCGTTCGTCAAGTCTGCTCCGATGCACTCGACTTTGTCAGACTTCGTTGGATTCGGAGGTGCTTGTACGTCGGCAAGGATGAGTTCCGTATCGGGTGACGTCTCGATTAGCTTCTTTGCAAGGGTCTGTCCAACGAATCCACCGGCTCCTGTGATGATGACTTTCATGATGGGCGAGTCTCTGTGTGTGTTTAGACCAGAGCGTGGCGTTGTGGTAATGTATGAATCTTAGCGGGCATCTCCGCTACTAGTCGTGGGTGTACGGGTGAGGGGTAGTGAGTAGTGGGGATGCGCACGGCCGATGCTCCGAGGCTCATCGGCGAAAACGCCGACTTTCCATCGCACATCTCTGCGAAAACCTCAATCGGAAGGCTGAGCGTTTCAGCTACGAGTTGCGTTGATTTTAAAATTAACGGCGTAATACCCAACCACCATTCATCGATGATGGAACCTCGAATGCTCTTTACCCCACGCTTATATCGCCTTGACACACGCAACACGATGTCCAAAGATATTACCGGCGTCTTTCCTTACATGCTGAAGAGTTTCTAGCAGGTCTGATTGTGGATAGTTTCAGACATGAAAGTCCTTAACGTCACTACTCTCAATTAAGATTCCAGCCGCCCGACCTGAGCAACTCCAGTCTAGTAATAGGCTTCGTTCGCAGCAGGAGTCCCGCCTGAATTATGTGGCCTGTGGCGACATTATCATTTTCCAGGAGAGTCAGGGCAGAGTCAAACGCTTCGGCCACTCGCCTTCATCATAACTTACCGTCAACCGTAGTCAATGCCTTGTGAGGTGTGTGCGTAAGGAGGTCGTTGGCAAGCTTGCCAACTTGCCCGCTGTCCCAGCACATCCGCACGCACAGAGCAGACAAACGAAACGCAAAAGTGGTATTTGAGGAGCTGTAGATGGCAAGGAGGCTTGCTCTGTGCTCATGATCCATCCTCATGCTCCAGACATGGTGCTAGCAGAGAGCTATATGTGAGGGAATGATATCAGCACTAAGATAGGTCCTTCACCAAAACCACAGAGGCTCAAACCTACGCATATAAACTCTCGACCAGCTTTTTCTGGGGCCACCCACATTGCGCATCTCGCTTGCCCCGGTCGACTGTTCAGAATCCATGCCACCGAGTCTATGTGGGTGAAGACCAACCAACAAAGGTTTCTCGCCTTTTGTGTGTACAGACTTCTCTGCCGAGTAGATATGCAAACCTGGCCACCGACCCCACCTGCCATTCTCACGATGAAGCTTTTCGTATTCCTGTCTCTGATAGCTGTCCTTGCGGCGACCCTCAGCCACATTTCCATCGCCCTTCCGAGGGGCTCCCACCATCAATTACACGGCGGCGCCTCTCCTGAATAATCGGAGTCTCGAGGGACGCGGAGATCCCTCGGGAACCGAAACCTCCGACCTGACGGTCGATGATATCGCTAGAACGTGTTCCGCACCTTGCATAACCCGGAAGAGGTCTATGACACCGTGTTGCAAGCAGGGAGGCGGCTGGCTTTCACGAGACCGTCAGATACGATAATCCTACCCAACTGTGCCTGACCGATCTATCAGCCCTTGGGAGGGTGAGCTACGTGTAGAGCTCGGCACTTGAGGCTGGATTGAAGAAGAGAAACCAGCAAGTGGGACTTCCGGGATCCGGGATTGGGTAGAACAGATAGCCTCGGCTTGGAGAAAGCATTTGCGGAACATACTTCTTGTTGAATCTGTTGGCAGGTAGCTAGAATTGTGACTGGTGCAGTTTCCTTGTAGATGATGGCATCGGGTCCATGACGACGAGCAGCATTGCCAAGGTTGATCATGAATTTGTCGCCGCGAATTTCGAGGTGCTCGTACATCATAAGACGCAACTCTTTCGGGAGCTTCATGAATGGGAACGGTCGGCCTCCGTTCGACAGCATGTTGAGTTTGAGGTGGCAGAGGAACTACTGGGGGTGCAGCGTGCTCACAGCTTAGCGTCAGTGCTTTGAATACGCGATGGTTTGATTGTGAGGGCAGGTACCAGCCTGGGTCAATGCAGCTAGTGTGTTTTGATATCACGTGATACAATGGCTGCGTGACACATCGGGCGGACTTTGAGACTTTCAACCTCTTGAACTGTCCAAATTCAACTTAAGTATTTGCGAGATGGTGGAAGTACTAGAGTAGGATATGTTGTGTATCACTTTCCCTCAAACCCTAGAATAGATGTACCCTACTGATTCCGACTTTCGCTCGCCTGCAGTTAGCTGCTTCTTTTGTAGCCACTTTCACTTCTCAGTCGCGATACGAAATGTACCGATAGAGATGGGATGCTAGCCCTCAAGGTGCTCAAGCAACCTAGCAACGTGCAAGCCTACTAGGCTCCCACTCCATGAAACATCTGCACAGCAAACAATGGAGACAAACCGCTTAGGATGCATCTCAAAATAGCATTTGAGGTCATTGCACTCGCCCTGTACATTAGACCGTATGTGACTGTCCTGTACATCATAGTGGTCATAAACACAAGCATGTTGCCGAATTTGAAAAGCATCTCCCATATTACAAGGGCTATCCAATCGACCTGGGTTACCATTCGCGGGACCGGTGCTGCCGACCGCAGATGCTCATCCATGAAACGCGGCTCTATGGCTTTTAGAATCCGCATGCGTCTCCCCTAGCCCTCTAACAAAGTCTAAATGCGAAAGCTCCGTCAATGTCAGAGCCCGACACATGGGACTAGCCTTCCTGTCGCGCTCTGCCTTTCCTCTCAAGAGACTGACAACCCCTTTCGACTCACGGTCAGTATGGATTTATTCCAGAAAGTTGTGATTATCCAGCTCATTTTCGTTGAGCGTGTGCCTCTGCGTTGCTTTTTGCGAGACTAGTCGTCACTTCTTCAACCTTTTATCATTTCCGGTTGCCACTGGTCGCTCAGTATACCTGGACCTATTATCAAACTAAGTGCGGCGAAAATACCTGTGGAGAAACATAAAACCACGAAAGTGACCATACTGTGTGCGAAGCCAATCCCGAGAACAAATAATGCAAATATTGGCAGATTGATAAGCAATATCGGCTTTCTACCAAAGGTCTCGTTGAACGGTGCCGCGAACGGACTGCCCAGCGTAAGCCCGATCGGGTGAATTAAATATGCTAGCGATCCCATGATTATTGAAGATCTGAGATCAGTTGCTGATTTCTCCATGGCTGGAGTAAACACTGAAGACACGAAGGTTCCAGCGAAGGCAATGCCGGATACTGTGCAAGCCTGAAACCATCTTCGAACGAGCGACCACTTGTGCGGGTTCAGAGGATCACCTTATGTTTGCCAGTCAAGAGTGTTTGAGCTCAAAGACACTGTTGCTTCAGGCAATGCAGCGGGTACAGGACGAAACCTTGTGTTTGAGTATGTTTGCGGGTTCCTCTTCAAGCGGCGGTGAAGCCTTCTCTGGATCCGCACAACTGACCAGCCTGGTAGGTATTCCCATAATTTTGCTTAGCCATCAGTTATCTCGCACAACAGGCTCCATAGCACGACAGTATGCGATTGTTTGGCAGCTTCAGTCGAGACATTTTGACCTCAGGAAGAGGTCATCTTTGAGAAGACAATTCGATACATGAGTCGGTGCATAATAGGCGAAAAGATCGCTTCTGTGTGCCTATCTGAGAATGAGGAGTGTATCTCAGGCGTGAATCTGCATCCAAATTCATTTGCTGTCCATATTAGGTGGCCTCTTGTGAGGCCTCAGCAGAGCCTGGCGTCGATCTGTCACAATAGCCTAGATTCGATACACCCTTCATCGCTTCGAGTAATCTCTGTCTTGTGTTCAAGTAATCCCTCACTGTAAACATATAGAGAAGGTGCCTTGCAGCGTTTATACGTGTTGGTTCAGCTTGGGTTGGACAACATTCGATGACGCAGAACAGCGAGTGTTACCCGATGCGAAGGAAGCAACATCAACGAGGCGCTACTATGGTAAGAACATGTCAAAAATAGATATGCACACGAATTTCTGCGCCAATGGATCTGAGCACTTGGGAATTAGCTCAAAGAGCGCGTCGGTCTGCAAGGCTAATCACTTAGTTGGGATGTCGTCAGCGGCGCCTGTTTGGGATTAGCGCCGAGCTTTCCAGCCAAAGTTACTGACGTGGAGTGAAAAGTGTATCCGCAACATTTGCTCAAGTGTCAATTTGTAAGTATGATCTGTTCTACGGAATAACTTCCTGTTTCCCGAATGTTGTCCGCGTCACTGAAGTGTACCTTGGTTAATTCTTCAAGTTTTGCGTGTACGAGCCCCGCACGTCTGACAAATGCACGCACATCGTGCATAATCACTCCTTATTTGATACTATCCTCACTTCAACATCCACCAACCGTGATAGATATCGCACAATTCCATTCCCATGGCGACCCAATCAAGCATTCTCTGGCCGGAGCACCTATTGCCAGGATATACGGACAACTTCGTTTCCAATGAAGTCATCGCGGTTAACCTGACCACGCAACAAATCTGGGAACTCCTTGCCGACATCTCAAGGTGGAATTCATACTACAAGAATTGCGCGCAGATCACTGAGCCCGATGCTGGTTCCTATCTGAAAGAAGGCAGCGTCTTCAAGTTCAGCACGTTCGGCTTCCCACCACTCACCTGCACAGTCATGGAATCGGTCGTACCGAAGCAGGGTACTGCCGGAAGACTCGCATGGCACAGCACTACCGATGACGGCCTCGAAGTATACCACGCTTGGATCGTTGAGGAACTTGAGAAGGACAGAGTTAGGATTTTGACGCAAGAGGTGCAGAATGGGCCGGTCTTCAAGGAATGGGCGAGGGAAGCACCAAACAAGATGCTTTTGGGTCATCAAGACTGGTTGGACGGGCTTGTTCAGGCTGCCCGGGGTCAGGAAGTGCGAAGGACTAACCTGGAGAGCGTGAACTTTCCTGTACGGCAACTAGACTCGAAGAAAGTGGAATAGATGGAACAGGCACCAATCTATGATACTCGCCGAATCGATAGTGTACAGTCATAGTTGAGAGATGGAATCGAGCCCTGGAGAGGTCGAGACGTGAAGAATGCAGCCAATCTTTGAGGAGTTCAAGAGAGCGTCGGACTCCGACATCGGATCCGACACCATATCCGAACTCTTCCCAAAGATCGTCTTTGTGTCATGGCACCGCCACGCGTCCAACGTATAGATCTTTTGGGACATCAAAGATGTGAGAGCGCGCCTCGGAGAAGATATCTCCTCCGGAGAAAATACCTTCAGGGCAACGTCCACAGCCGTAACTATAAGACTGCCATCTCTACGCGTTTTCCACCGCACATCACTGTTCCACATTTATACATCACTTTCACAACTCTATATACTAGTCAAGCAATTTCCGAGAGCACAAATCTTGACCGCTGCTTGCAGGAAAACTGGCTTCCCCACACTGTTGTTCGTCAAACATGGCCTCGCAACTCCAAATCTCTATCACTGAACGTCCGCTCCTCGCAGCCGCAGGCACTATAGGCATCGTCTTTGCCGCCATAGCATTCCGAGATTACCAAAATTACTGCTCCCTCGGACCACATGGCCTTCCTGCAACCTTCTGGGGATGGTACACGCAGCTGAAGATGACACGCATGGCCCGCAAAGACGTCACAGTGCCAGCGCCGTACGACATCGATAATGTAGCAGGTCCGCACGATAAGGAGCAGTTTCTGCCGCAAGACGCCTCGCGTGCCCTCAAATGGCGACCAGGCAACAAAGCACCGCAGATTCCAAACTTCGTGGCTCCTCAACGACAAACAAGCGATATTGCCAGCGAAGAATTGAAGAAGGCCATGTATTCGTATCTTGACATGCTGGTAGAATCTCACAACTCGGTGCTGCAAACTCAGAAGTCCATTCTGGAAGGCCCTGTGCCAGCAGTCGGCATTAAGAACTTCGCTTCGCTACCCGATGCGAAGAAGCCGGACGTGTATCGCTCGACACGGGGAGAGATCATTCATATTCATCCTCCGGATGGCAGCACGCACCTGATCATGAGCTTGGCTGATCAGAAGAGTGTCATCGAGACGGGTTGGGGAAGGAGGCATCGGCTGAGTGGTGGCGGACGGCTTCCTTGGAACTATACTTTCACGTATGCGCCGAGGAATGAGATGGAGTTCGTGGTTTGGAAGACACTTGTCGGAGCGGCGGTGGAATTTTGTCTGGCAAATTCGGCTGGTCGTGCTGACCAGAAGTAAAGTGACAGTGGTTCGTTCTAAGTGGTACTTCTCTTTAGTAATCATTTGCCATCCTATATCTGAACATCGGTTTTCCCTTACTGATCTTCCCTCTACGCACTGAACCTGATTTTGTATCTTTGAAAACTTCCTTCTGACCAAAGGAGTGGAATTGACTGGTCATAATATGGGGACTAATAGGCTTTTTGGCTTCGGACAAGCAAGACGGAGCCACATCTCTGCAAGACACTCTCGATGATCTGAGTTCGCAGGTTCAATGTACGAACATCGACTTCATCGTAGCCGAGATGGCCGAGGAATCTATGTTGTTCTGTACATTGCTGACCTTTTCTTCTGCCCAGAGGCTGGAACGTGATACTATTTTGGGTCTGTTTTCCGCGTTCAGAGGGGAAGTGCAGGGTGAGCCACGGCTCTCGAATACTCGAACTTTCAGTCCCGTCTTAAAAAGAATGACCTACCCTGCAAGGGCTCTAGAATTGCGTGCCGGCACGACAACACGCAAATACATCTCTACGTGAGTAGCTTTAGCAACCAAGGCGGGAAGGGCATCGCCTTTCCGGTCCTACGTTTGAGATTCTCTACAGCCTCAGTACGCATGTCTGTTGTTAATTTCTAAACCTAGAAGCAAGGTCAAAAAGGGGAATAGGAGCTCTGCTCTTTGATTGAGGGACTCTGGCAGAATTTTTCTTGTGAAAACCCTGTTATCTTGGCCCCTGACAGGTAGACAGCGGCGCACATACGAAATTTCGGGGATTGATTCTTTGATTACGTCCTCCTTCGCACCCACCTATGCTTCCCTGGTTCTAGCCATCTTAATTTCCCCAGGTAGACAGACACACATCAGCTGGACGGCGTGGATTCTTCTGTTCTTCAGTCAGCACGCAGGGAAGCAAGGTCACAAATGACCTGGTGAAAAGAATTCCCCGCTCCACCAGCTCTCTCATTCAGCAGTTATGGTGGGGTTTCGGTTGCCCTTTCGGCCGAGCACGCCCGCAAAATACCAGACTTGACCGCTTTCTAGTCCTTCCCCCTCACCCACAAGCCTCACGATTTGAGCATCTTTTTGGTCCCTCTTCTCGCACAGGCGTATTCAATTATCCACGTCTTTTCAAATCCCATCCCCTCCAACTCATCCATATCCTTTCCGGGATCCCATAAAGTGCACCTCTCACCCACCCACATGCCACTCTGATACCTCTGCTTTTGATTTTCCCCCACCCACCTGACACCCGCATGGTAACTTCAGAACGAGGTTTTGGGTCCTCATGCATCCGGCTGTTGTAAGCTCACTTCGATCCCGCCTCCCCCAGACAGACACATTCTTCTCCAGATTGTTGGTTTCGTTCCCCCGCACTCACATCAAAACATTAGCCCAAACTTTTAAGTGCCTCCGCCCGACACCCAGATATTTCCTATTTTAGGCGCCTCCGCCTATCGCATGCCATCTTCCAAGTTTCCTTCTCAGAGCCACCTCCCACACCCCCGTAACATGATGTGCGCATCATTTCTGGCCACCCTCCCGCACACTCCCCAATACAGGCGCCATGCGCACAACTTCGGTCCTCTATCGCACACGTGCATATAGTCGTAATACCCTAGAAATTTCAGTCGTCCTCTCCCCCACATCATTCCGCGATCCAGGATGTTTGTAGTCGCCCTCCAGCACCCACATAGACTGCAGGATGGAAGCTTTTTAGTCCTACCTCCCACTTCCACACACCGACATGTCGGTTCTCCTTCTCCTTCTTTCGCATCCCCTCACCCCCACATACAGTTTGGGTAGGAGCATTTTGAGTCCGCTCGCCCTCCACATCAAGACCTCTCTTCAGGCCATCCAGTCCCCCTTCCCCCTCGACATGGCTTTTTTTTTTTTTTTTTTTCAATCCCTCAGCACACCGGCATGGCCCTCCATCAAGGTCGTTTCAGCCCCACTCCCGCACACCCACACGTGCCAGGCTGCACAAGCGTTTAGATCTCCCCTCCGCCTCCACGTGGCCTCTCCTTGAGCGTGTTTTTCAATCCTTGGTCCGCCTCTACATCGGTGCTTCGCAAGATGGCTTCACCCCCTTACGCCTACATCGGTCCTATTCAAGTGGATTTGAGTCCCCCCTCCCTCCACATGATCACTCCGCCGAACGTGTTTTGATCCCCACCCCCGGGAAAACAGAAGCGTGAAGACCAAAGCATCGCACTCAGATGTGGGTTTATATACACGAACCTGAGCGAAGCAGGTTGAGACGTCACTGATGCCGAGCATAATCATCATCATCATCAGGACCAGCCACACGCGACACATCCAAAAGGGGCGTCTATCAGCACTGGAACTCATTACCACCACTCTTTGCACACACCGTCCGCAAAACAAGAAATGTCTATTAGCGATCGATGTATTGAACCCCTCCCGCTTCGCCTCTATAGCTCAGCTCACCTACGAATCAGACCAGAGTCCGACCATCCCACTATGAACACCCCTCTCCATCACCCTATTTCACCAGTCCAGCCTTCTTCGCCATCTCCTCGAGCTCAGCGTTCTTCTTCTGCTGCGCCTCCATCTCCTCCACGCGCTTCCTCTCCTCCTCCCTCTTCAGCTGATCCGGCCGCCTAATTGCAATATCCTTGGGCTTGTAATCGCTAAACAGCGTCTTCAGTCCCTTCTCAATAATCCAGCAGCCCGCGTAGTCAATAATCATGACACTCGTAATCATAACCTTGAAGTCATACGTAAATGGCACCAGGCGCAACTTCTCGTTGATCTCAGGCACAAACTCCGTCGCGCAGGAGAAAGCAACACACGCGACGCCGACAAGTCCCCAGTACATGCCGCGGTTCTCGCGGATGGACTCGCGGAACGGGCGGCCCTGGTAGTTGATTGCGAAGGTGGAAATCTGCTGAATGAGTTGGAGGAGGTAGATTGCAGAATTGAGGAGGGAGGGCTCGAATTCCTTTTCGAGATCAGGGTTGGGCGTCTTGGGCTCGGTGCGCTGGACGTATTGCGAGACGTAGATGAGGGTAGCGATATGGATTGCGAATTGGCCGAGGACGGAACCGACGATATAGATGTTGAAGATGTTGTGCTGGGGACGCTCTTTGCTGAGGGCTTCGACGGGCTGTGCCGTTGTTAGTAAGTGTGGAATTGTGTAGAGGACGAGGGACATACCTTCGCGCGGGAGATGGACAGGAAGCACACGCTCATCATCATACCGGAGATGGTAACCTGGCCATCACCGAACTTGATGCCGTCGAGGTAGAGGACAGACAGACTGTACGCCGAGATCAAGCAGTTTAGCGCAAGAATCTTGTACATCTGGATAGTGGCCACAAGCGTGCATCGTCCTTGGCGGATAATGTTAGGAATCGCAACGACATTGGCGAGTTTGGATGTGAACGGCGCAGCTACCGAAGCATCACCGAGCTTGATGGTTGGCGGCTCGCTGTCAAGTTCGGCAAGCTCTGATTCCATCATTTTGTCTGTGAATGAGCTCATCATGGCTGCAGCGCCCTGCTGCGCGGAAGGTGTCTTTTTCTCGACAGCGCCATTGGTCGCCGCACCGTTTGTAGCGTCTGTGGGAGCAGGGAGTGCAAAACCCTTCTTCTTGGCCTGTGCCTCCATGGCTTTCTCGTAATGCGGGTTTCCAGGGCCGGGAGGGTACAGGTGGGCGATCATGATTGGGACAGGCGGGGCGGGCTGGTTGAATCGTTTCATCAATTCGACCTGCTTCTGGTAGACTTCCTTCATCTTGGTGTTTCGGAAGTGTTCACCGATCTTCTCTAGATCCTCGCGAGTACCATTAAGGAGGGCGACACCGATATGAGCTTGTTTAAGAGCGCCAACATCGTTCGTTCCGTCACCGCACATGAGCGTGGTGTAGCCGCAGTCCTTCAAGCCAAGGAGAATCTCTTCCTTCTGCTTCGGGGAAACACGAGCATAAACCCAGGTGTACCGAAGAAGCTGCAGCCAGGCCTGTTGGCCGGAGAACTTGCTGAGGGCGTATCCAGTAACGCAAATGTCCTTGCTCTTGATAATCTCCGGGTCAAGAGGCTTGGTCGGGTCCACGGGGATATTGACTTTGTCGTCAACGCTACGCCAGACAAGCTTCTCACCAGAGTCATCGTTTTCGGGTGCATCAAGAATCAGACACTCGCGGTCCACAATCTCAACTTGACGGGCGACGTGGACAGCGGTCAATGGGTTGTCACCCGTGATCATGACCACACGGTGGCTGGATTCGTTCAACATGCGCACGGCCTGAACAGCGTCGTCTTTGAGCGGGCACTGGAGAACCAAGAAACCGGCAAAGTGCAGATCGCACTCCACCTGCTCACGCTTGAGATCATTGATACGGTTCATGCCCCACTCAGCGTCCTGGGCCAAGAATTTGTAGGCAAGCGCAAGTACGCGGCCACCGTTCCTGGTGAAGTGCTTAAAGGTCTCTTCGTAATGTGGCGGGACATTGACCAGCATCTTACGGATCGTTTCGGGCGCTCCCTTAACACCAACAAAGGTGCTCTTGATCTTGCGCTTGGTCTTACTGTCGTTGACAAGAACAGTGGCAACGGAACTTTGGCGCTTAAGTGCGGAGGAGAACTGGAAGCGTCGGCGGATTTGTACGAGTTCAGCATGCGACTTGGCGGAGACGGTCTTGGGTGTCAGGGTGTCTTTGCCGCTGAGGTTCCAGCCCAGAGAGGTCAGAGTAGCTTTCTCCATCGGCTCGCCAACAATTTCACCTTCATCCAACTTGACCAGGGCGTGTGCGGTAGCGAGGACCAGAGTGCTTTCGGTGCCGATTTCAGAGACGGCGCTGACGTTGGTGTGAGCGCCATCCGGGCCAATCTTGCCGCCGTTGGTGCCGAGGGTGAGGCCGGCGATGCCGTCTACGACGAGGTCCTCGCCAGTCAAAGTACCAGTCTTGTCAAAGCAGGCAACGTCCACTCGCCCGGCAAAAGGAATGCGGAAAGGTTCGGTACAGAAGATGGCGTATTTGCTCAGCGCAGCCAAGCTGGTGTTCACAGCCAGCGAAAGTTCCATGGGCAGTTCCGGGGGTACGACACTCGTGATAATCAACACACAGTCGAGCATGAGCTTGGAACGCTTGCGGTCCTGCTTCACACCCTCCACCCAGACATAGCGTGAAGCGGCGATAGCAAAGATGCACAGGAAGAGAATGAAGAGCAATGCTTCAACGTTGTTCGCGGAGACACGCTCAGTCGAGTAGATCATGGTCCTGACCAAGCTTCCCTGGCTGGTCTCAAATCCAGTCTTGACGACAACTGCAACGGCGCCCTTGTCCGGTGGTGGCGGTAGTCCAGACGAGAGCCTCGAAACAGCGCTGCCGTCCTCTTCCGCGTTGTTGCCGTGCGAAACCTGGAGAACCTTGGTACCGCCGTACAGGAAGGCGTTCTTGTCGAGGCCCTCCTGCTCAATGTTGGCTTCGCCGGGACGCAGCTGGATGGACTCCTTGAGCACCGGAGTGCTCTCGCCGGAAAGCATAGCCTCGTTGACAATGGCGGAACCCTCGAGGAGGATCATGTCGCAGGCGACGCCCGAGTCTTCCTTGGTCCTTCCGACGCTGACGACGTCGCCGGGCAGCAACTTGTCGCTCTGGATCTCCTGCCACTTCTTCTGCCTGTATACTAGCAAGTCGTACGGCTTGATGCTCATGCCGCGGAACTCGTTCAGGGTCCTCTGCCTCTGCCACACGACGGTGCACTCGAAGGCGACCAGCATGAACAGGGTGAACAGCGAGTAGTACCAGTAGTCGTCGAGCATCCACAGCCCCACGCAGAAGACCTGGAAGACGAAGAAGGGCGCGACGGCATGGTCCTTGAAGAGCTCGGTGAAGGTGGGCACGGGGATGTCGAAGCTGTTGTCGCCGTAGTAGTGCTGCAGCTTCTCGACCTCGTCGGCGGACGTCAGGCCCTTTGTGTCCTGGAACGTCTTGATCTGGGGCTTCGGCTCGACGTCGAGGGGGTAGGAGAGCGGGGCAAAGGAGCCCTTGTCGGCGTCGTAGAGGAAGCGGCGCTTCTGGAACAGGAAGGACACGGTCGGCTTGCCGCCCACCGTCTCGCGCTTGAGCGGGCAGATTTCGGCGGCGCCGGCGTTTGCGATGGGGAGGACTTTGATGAGCTGGGCGGTGCGGACGTCGCTGGCCTTGGTCGTGGTGAAGGCGCTCTTGAGGTTAACGTTCCAGTGGGTGGAGAGCCAGATCAGCGCCTGGACGGTCGTGATGCTGCCGACCCAGACGAAGGTCCATTCCGAGGACTGGATGTGCTGCTCGTAGCGTTGGGGCGAGAGGTAGACGGAGAGGAAGGCGGGCCAGACAATCAGAAAGGGCCAGATGTATGCGTGCAGCTGCAGCGGCAGCGGCGTGTGCAAGCTCGCCTGCTTGATCTGCGGGTTGTCGACAAGCGGCATCGTGGGGTTTGCCGAGTCAACTGCTGCTCGAGGGCGTCGAGCGCGCGGCGCTGGCATTTTGGATATTGCGACGCGGCGGGCGGTCGCCGCTAGCGCCTCGCACCGATTGGCCACATCGCCACCCGCGCAGACGCCTCCTCCCACGGCCACGGTAGCAAGAGAAGAACGTGGAAGGGAGCCGACATTCACCGTCGTCTCGATCCAAGATTGCGATAACCCTATCTGGAGACGTGCACTGGTCAGACTTCCGTCTCTTGCCCAAGATTCCCCTCTCCGTCCTTGAGCGTCCAAAGCGAACCCTAGCCCCCGAGATCCAGCCGCATCATGGGCTTGCTGGACCCTGCATCGAAAAACCCTGTCCCCGTTCAATTGCGTGCCCGCATTCATCCACGCCCTGCCACACGTCTCCCAGTACACTCCCAAAGAAAACATCCGTCCAAGCCACCTTCTCCAACATCTCCTGGAGCTCTCTTCTATCCCGCACCCCCAGCTCCTCCACAACATCGGCGAGCCGATGAACCCACCACTCCCTACCACCCCCTGCTGGTGCTGCTGAACTAGCAACAACCAGCACCCAGAGCAGCATCTGCAAGTTGCTTGCTTTCTCCCAGACGCTGACTGTCTTGATGTTCGGCCGGTCAAGCGCCACACGCAATCGCTCCAGCAGGATGCTGAACAGCCTCGCCTTGGGAGGTATCTCTCTCAAAGCTACGTAGATGAAGATCTGCGATGCTGCAAGCAGTGCCTCGACAACACTTGCCGAATCAGCAAGAGCTGCTCCTTCTGCGAGAGCCTCGCCACCTTCATCGTTGGAGTCCAAATCGAAGTCTAGGAAGTCGCGCGAGTAGTCTGGTACCCAAAGTTGCATGTACTCCGTTTCGTAAAGTAGATTGCTGAAGGTCAGCCGGCTCACGCTCCTCATCCATCTAGGTGATACGGCAAGAGCGAGCCGGTGCAGTCGGTAGAAAATGTTGAAGCACTCGATGCCAGCTAGCGAGAGGCCAAGAAGGCACGTTGGGGAGGTGTAGGCAGCCTCTTCGAGAAGCTCCTCTGGGAGTGGAGGTGTGTCTGGATCGAGGTATACTTTCGGGAAGCTTGGAGGTGTGCGGAAGGCAGTCGCGGTGTGAATGTCGACCCTGAGCGTCTGTCGGTTGGAAGACGCTACAAAAACACAGATCAACATACCACAAAATTCCCCTCATCAGCCCGTCATTGTGGCCAAAGGCAAACAGTCCGCCACGCGCATCGACCATGCGCTTCAATGCAGCAATGTGAAGCTGCGCGGCATCGTAGGCGCCGAGAAGGTTCTGCCCACTTGATCAGGATAAAGTCTAGGCATCGAACGAGCTCTCACCTCGCAGCTGGCGAGTGTCGCCACAGTGCCCACCAGCTCGTCCGAGATCTTTCCTCCAGGACTGCCGATCTTGTTGTTGATCTCTTTGATAGCTTCGTTCTTGTGTCTTATCGTTTCGACTTGAAGATCATACATCCCTCGAATGAGGATTCCATATAGCGCCCAGGTCGCTAGAGTTGCATGCAACAGTCCAGCATCGTTGCTGATGAAGGACCACCACGAGTTGCGTGCGTTGATGGCTACCGAGTTGATTCCGCTGCCGGATTTGTCTATCATGATTAGCAGTAGTCCGCCGATAATTTTGAAAGTACGGGTGCTGCTAACAGTCGGCAAAGTAGAACTTACATAGCTTCACGAGAACATTCAGTTGCCACGTTCCCGGAACGGGTAATACATCGAACGGGTCGAAAAGGTGAGCGCCCGGATTAATTTTTAGCATGAACTTTGCCCTCATTCTGCGTGGGGTCCCTCTGTTCTCACGAGGTGTGTTGGGTCCACTCGAGGTGCTGTGTTCAATCCCCTTCGGTGAGTCTTCTGATGAAGTCTGCGAACCCGTTCTTCTGATAGTTTGCTTGCGGGCCATTTCCTGCTTTCTGGTACTTCTTGTCTTCTCGCATGGGGATGCCTACAAAAGCATGAGCATTTTGATTGGGAGATTAGAAGATCGAACTTGCCGCTTCACCCCGCGGTCCTGGCTTCGGCAGTCTGAATCTCGATTTCAAATTCGTCTTTCTCTGCACCGTCTCTTTCGAATGGTTCTCCGACTTAGTATATCCTCCACACCATTGCGCCTCGAAAAAGTTTTTCATTACAACGCTACGGATGCGGCCGCGGTCTTGACCTTCGAGCTGGTGGGGCTCCTTTGTTGTAACGAAGAATTCGTATTGGCGCTCACGCGGCATATTTTCCGCGACTGCTGGGTGTTCGAGTTCTCGGATTGAGGGCGCTGTCTGTGCTTGTGCACTCATGTCGATACTTGTTGCACGCCTCAACCTCAATGTTTCTCAAACAGCACTTCTGATACAGTGCCTCTGGAAATGATGAAGCTCTTCACTCTTCCATTCAGATGACTTGGGCCACTAACCCAAATCGTTTCAGTAATGATATCTCAGGCGCCTGTCCTGACCCGAAGGGAATTCGCGAGCTTCAGAGCGACTTCATTGGCCTGGTGTAGCATGAAATGCTCAGCCTTGCAGTAGCAGCGGAGACACTCGTAGTTGTAATGGTACGATAGGCGAGGCTGCAGATAGGCATTGCTGGAGATAGTAAGCCTCAGATGACATATCCTCGGGCTCCCCTTACAAACTTATGCTCCGATGCAGGGTCTGGTCGGCCACGTTGTAAGTTGAGTAGGGGTGTCAGACCGGAGATAAACCGTTGCGTTGATTCGCCAAGTCCACTGCTGCTCATCACCCTTCAGATGGGCTTGAAAGATATCGATGGGCTGAATCGACGTCAGTGAAATCGCCACGTTTTGTAAGATAGCGTCGATCTTCAGCATCTCCAGGAGAGAGATCGAACAATGCTATTATTTTTAAAGCGGGGTGCAACACCACAGATTGAGATCCTCGCCGATACGATGTGCTCACTAAGCCAGGCTAATCCGTTCTGAGGCTGTGATAAAAACGATTCTACCATGCTGGGTGGCCTGACGAAGAATCTGGAATAGGTAAAGAATTTCGAGGCTGCATGTCTTCTCATATACAAAGATGATACCACATAACGAGATGAAGGATGTAGCAAGGCGGAGTTATCTACATAATCCATAGATACGGCGCCGTCACGTGGCTTGATCGAGCCAGGGTAGTCATCCGGCATGGCAGGACTCACATCCTGTGCATACGTTGTAGAAGGTGCGCTTCATGGTATAACATGGATATCTATGACATTCCTCTCTCATTCCTCAGTCATCATGCGACCATGCCTGTTGCCTCAACGCCGCCTGACCTATGCTTCAACACAATTGCTTATTTCGCCTTGTCTTCCCTCAAAGTAACAATCTGGTTCAGAACAATCTTGTCCTCTGTGGAATCTACATCAACACAGAAGTATGCTGTGCGCAGGGCCTGGAAACGGATGAGATCGTCCGATGACCCGCTCGGGTTCAATGTGTGCTCCTTGAGAAGACCCTTGATGCCAGCTTCAATGACGGCGTTCTCAAATATGACCTCGGATTCTGGGTTCAAGTCATCAGCCCAGCCACCAGTCTTCCAGTCAAGTGCATTGGGCGATTCTGATTTGAAGAGAGAGTTGTACTGGCGAGCCTTTACAGGAACGGCTGTGGCAGCATCTACCCACTGGATGTATGTCTTGGGCTTCTCGCCAGTCGCCTTGACAGCCTTGATTTCTGTGACTTTGCCGTTCTCGTCCTTTGAGTAAGACGTCGCGCGAATCGAGAAGGGAACGTTGTAGAGACCTACAACCTTGTTGGGTGCGAGACGGAAGTAGTTGGGGTCATCTTCTTCTCGGAAATCACTGCGGTCAATGTACGCCTCCTTTCCGAGCTTGACCTTTCGCTCTCCAGGGATAGTGCCCTTCGGGTCATATGGTACGGTGATTTCCTGGTCATCCTCTGCTGCGAAGTCCTCAATGACAACCTTGATGGGGTCTAGTACAAGCATCTGGCGAGCAACAGTGCGCTCAAGGTGCTTGCGGATGGAAGACTCTAACCGCGGGGGCTGGATCTCGGTGAGTGCATCATTCACGCCGAGTTCCTCAACGAAGTTCAACAAGGCCTTGGCTGGTATGCCGCGACGACGGAGAGCGACAAGTGTATACAAGCGAGGATCATCCCAGCCTCGGACCGAAGGAGGTATGGTCCTCTTCTCGACTGTGCCATCTGCATTCTTCTTCTCTGCGGTTGTACCTTCAACAAGCATCAAGATGCGGCGCTTTGACAGGATCGTGCCTCCGAGGTTCAGTCGCCCATACCTTTGCTTTGTCAGTATGGCGTTGATATGTCTGGACCATTTACTCACTCTCTTTGCATAGGTCCCTTCTCTTCCGATTTGGGAGTCTTCATGTCCAGTTGCTCCAATAGCCAATCGTATGAAATGCGCGACTGCTGGAACTCGGTTGTGCACAGCGAGTGTGTGATATCCTCCAGTGCATCGCATATGCAGTGTGTGAAGTCGTACGTGGGGTAGATTCTCCACTTCTCGCCAGTCCGGTGGTGGTGGTTTTTCTCGATCACTCGGTAGGCTGGCAGGTCCCACATTTGAGGGTTGCCCTCGTTGGGGTCCGTTAGACTCTGCTTCATGCGCAAATATGCTTCCCCAGCCTTGTATTTGCCATCGCGCATGGCCCGGAACTCAGCGATGCTTTCCGCGATTGGTCGTGTGCGGTGCTCGCATGCATATCGGGCTCCGCGATTGTCGGGTCCACCACGCTGCATGTTGACTTCCTCACCTGCGCAATTTGTTAGCATTCGGTTGACGGTATGGTGATTATGACTTACGCGAGCAATGGCATACATAAGCACCGTCCTTCTCGATCAGCTGCTCCGCCAATTCGTAAAGCTTGTCGAAATTGTCGCTGCTATAGGTGATCTTGTACGGCTCAAAACCGAGCCACTTGATGATGTCCAGGATGCTTGTGAAGTACTGCTCTTCCTCCTTCTCGGGGTTTGTGTCGTCGTATCTGAGGAAGCAAACACCCTTATGGTGTCGCGCAAAGCCAAAATTGACTGCGATGGCTTTGCAGTGGCCGATGTGGAGATAGCCGTTGGGCTCTGGCGGGAATCGCGATCTGACATCTTTTACGGGCTTTTCTTCGTAGACACGCTTCAACCAGCCTTCGGAGAAGACGTTAGTAGGTTCGGCGTTCGCAGGCTTCTTCTCTGCAGGTTTCGACGGCTCTTTGGGTCGCAGGGCATGCTCCGCCTTCTTAGCCTTTGCGGCTGCTTTCTTCGCTGCTTTCTCGAGAGCACGCTTGGAGGGGCCCTTCTCTTCAGCCTCAGCAGGAGGTGCGGACGCGGTTGCTTCGGTGGGCTCTGCCATGTCTAGGCCATGTTAGCAACTCAAGAACCAGAGCGGGGTGACTCGAACTGGAGCCAATCTTTGAGGCAAAGGACAAGCCGGGAGAGGGTATACTCACTTCTTAGGCCGCTTGTCGGAAGAATAGACGCCTTTGAATCGTTGTTCTTGGAGGATCGTGAATCGAGAGCGCGTCTGGAGCTTTTTGGAGGGGTAGGCGCGACTGACTCACACGCCACACATTGACTGCACCGCCACATCGGGGGGGACGCCCAGTCCCGCTTCAACCTCCGACCGCTTCACGCCTCACGTTCGTTTCACTTCACTCAACAAGACATATGACTAACTTTTGCTCAATCTTGATGCGTTTGAGCCGAATCGTGCTACTGCCATCAAAGTTCAATCTGATCTTTCAGTAGAATCTCGCCGGCATTTATCCCACCTTTCAACCGTTCCTGAACCCTCACACGTATATTTCGTTGATCCGCGGGTATAGCTTCCTGAAAAGTGCGCACCTTCACACCTCGCACCTCGCACATCCTTTCTCAGCGTTCATGTCTCGAAAATATCCATTCCTTCGCGAAACATTGTGCGCTCAGCTTGAAGGAACGCACTAGTTTACTCTCGCACCTATATATCAATAACTGAACACTTTCGCAAAAGCTCACCATCTTTACACTCAGGGACAAGAGCAATCACACGGCCCCACTTCTGAACTCCTCGCTATGCCTCTTCATCCACTCTCATCGTTCCCAAATTCTTCGCCAACTCGTCAGCTCTAGGTACATAATCCCCATCCCCTGGATGATCCCCATCCCCTTCATCACCGCTCCCTAAGGCCTCCCGCCACGCCTCCTCACTCCCACTCCCCAGCCCCAAAACATCCCCCTCAACCTTCTCTCGCCGCTCCCTCACATTTCTCTCCACCTCCTAATTCTCTTTCACCCACTGCGCCCCACCCACCCTCCATGGGTTAGCCACGCTCCTGCCCGCTGGATACGCGTTCAGCCCGCCACCTTCATCAACCCAAACCTGCAGGAGGCCCGAGAGAAATATTTCTACGACGGCAGCTTGTTCGGGTCGAAAAAGCAGGGCCACAATGAACGGCTGCATAGTGAATAGCTGGGAAAACGTGTCGGAGCGGTAGAGATACGCGCAGATGTCTTCGACGAGATTCATCACGTAGTTTGAGCTCTTGTGGGCGCGGTGCTGCGCCAGTCTGACGTGCGAGTTGACTGAATATCCGCATTCGGCTGGGGGGTACTGGAGTGGGGTGTAGAGCTGCGAAAGGGGGTTTGGGACACGCGGCGAGTGATGCCGGCGGTGAGACGCATGAGGGTGGTGATGTGGGCAGGTGAGCGGTGCGAAGGGGTCCAGAAGAACCTTCTGTAGCCGGATGCGGTGGCGGAGCGGCGGACGGAAGGGGGGCTGACGTTGTCAATTTGCCAGGCAAGCTCGGTGTCAGTTAGTAAGCGGCGTGTGAGCGTGCCGTCTACTGCTGCGAGGAGGACCGAGGAGGCGGATGGGAATATCATAATGCACTCTCGCGTGTGATCGAGGCGAGAGAAGAAGGCAGCACGCTGCTGACTGCATATTTTGGCAGCTTACTTTCCAAGACCTCAGCGACGACGGGTTGGTAGTGTTTTTCGTGGAGGAGTTGGGCCATCGTGAGCGCTGGGAGGACAGTGTCGGAGCTTGGACTTGGGAGTTGCTGTCTGTGCCACAACTACCTGTATGTGTGGTTACTATATTACTATTTCCGATACAGAGATATTGTAGCAGATCTACCTACTACCCTGTGTGTAGAGCACATACATACGTTGCTCCATTGAATCTCTCAATGTCATCACTCTTGCCCTGTTCACATTATCACACTGCATCTTCAACATTCGCCCTCAGCTGATGAGGGTCCTCTACACTCAATTGTAACGACCCGGTGTGTCATGAGCTTTCACGCTATCATAGCCATGATCCGCGAAGATAATAGTCCAGGGGTAATGACATTTTGCATTACTAACACGCTTAGCTTACTGCATACATACTACATGACTGAGTGGTGCTTATTAGTGCTATGCCGTTCGGGATAGGAATCTAGAAATAGTAGGGCAGAGGGAGAAGTGTCTTAATATGATCTAATATGCGGGATTTACGGAACAGCATCGAGGCCTGCGGGATTCTACTGCTTCTGATACATAAGGGAAGTGCGATTGGGTATGACATGAGTGAGATGTTTGGGGGTCTAATTGGCAGCTGCAGACAGAAACTAGCGGGTCGAACAATGCGCGCACATCACTGCTGCTGTCATTCATTGTCCATGATTGATATCTCAAATTGCCAATCGCCGTAAGCATCCTTCACATTCATTAGAAACGATGATTTCAACATCGTGGATTCAGAAAGTGTAGACTCGATATATACACAGAACTAGACCCTAGCTGGCACGCACAAACACAGTCTAATTCAAACATGCATCCAAAAGAGATGAGAGATGACTATTGATTCATTCGCATACTGGTGCCGCGGGGATATTAAGGAAGCAAAACGTCCGTCCGTCGGGAACTCCAAACCGCCGTCAAGAACTCCTGTTCGAAAGCCGTGGGAATCTATCGGAAGGGAAGGGCAGGACAGAGGAGATGGCGTGATATAAATTCGCCAACTACTTCTTCGGGGGGTACTTCTGGAAGAAGTAGCTGGCAATTGTTAGTATGCTGGGTTTGGATTCAAAGGATGCGAGGATACTCACTTGGAAACGTAGTAGTCGCCAACGGCGAAAAGCCCGACAACACCTGCCCACGCACCGACAACCTTCCAGGTGAGCTCGTTTGCGGCATACTTCCTGTACGCGCCGACGCCCAGCACGGTACCCAGAATACCGACAGTTACAACATTGCCCAAGACAACAGGGTTGTCAGCGTTCTTCTTAGCGATGTGCGCGTCCTTCTTCGCCTTCTCCTTGGCCTTCTCTTTCGCGACTTCCGCCTGGTGGGCGGCTTCCTTGGAGGCCTCCTTGGCTTTCTTCTCGAACTCGATGCGCTCGGCCTGGGTCTCGGTCTTCACGGACTGCTGCTCGAAGTCGGAGGGGACGGAGGAGACGTGGGGCGAGTCGACGTCAACGAGAGAGGAGACGGAGTCATCGGAGCGCTCGACGATGGGTTGAGCAGGGGCGCGACTGTAGTGGAAGTGTTAGATAGGGCGCGATAAGATGGCGGGCATGGTATAGAGCGCGAGGCCGAGATTCGCGACCTGCCTAGCAAGGCACAGATTGGCGCGCGATGGTAGGAACAAGAAGGTTGACTTACGCCTGCGACACTATTAGCTTCAATTCGACCTTGGTACCCTCTTCCGATGCGAACGTACCTCTTCCGGGCTCTGCTTGGGACCCTTGGCAGCAACGTCGGCGTACGACATGTTGGTAGCTAAGCTTGTTGTGTGGAAAACTTTGGACGGTGCTTTTATGTGCAAGGCAAAGCGATCGAGAGTGTATGGTGAAGAAGGGAGATGCAGCTGCGCGTATGAAGGAGATCGTGTGATGGGGGAGTGACAAGGAAGAGCAGGGCTGGGCCTTGAAGCGAAGCAAAGCATGTGAGGGCTAGAGCACCTACGTCATACGAGCGCAAGTAGATCCTTGCCAAGGCACAACGCGTTGAGCTTGCGCGAATAATACGACCAACACGTGAGGCGTCGCGTTCCAAGGTGCTGGGCTGAGTAGGCTTTACATTCGCACACCCTCATCTTGAAAGGGTGTTACAGTTTCCGGCGGAACATACCGGGCCCAGCTGCCTACATTCAGAAGATGTGCTGTCGTTTCCCATGTAGTGTATCCAGAGCGCGGATAGGCGAGGTGAGACTGCATAAAATACGCAGGCGGCACTGACCAAAGAGTCCCAGCATAAGTAAATACTGTATCTTAGTTCAAAATACTACACAGCGGGGCCTCTGGTTCCAAACGACCAAGGTGTGCCCGCCTGACTATCTGATATCGCAAAGCCAAGACCAGACTTTCCAAAAACGCCTAGGACGCCACAACGTGCCAATGACCAAGTACGTGGTGACATAAGTCGAAGAATCACTCCCTCGACACCACAGAAACTCTTCGCATGCTCCCCTATAGCTCGTGCTTGCCAAATCCTTCGGCGCCTTCTGCGATGGGCTGCACGCTGCCATCCACGCTGTCCCTCTTCACGCCAACACCCTCCTCGCCCTTGCCAACACCAAAGAGCGCAATAGCATCAGTAAGCGCCTTGACCGCATCTTCAGGGCTGACAGATCCAGGTAGACCAGCAGGTCCACCGAGGGTGCTGCTGATCTTCTTGGTTGCCTCTTCCAAAGCACGTACTCGTCGCTGGAAGCTCAAACGATCCATGAAGAGCTGCTGGCGGCGGCGCTGCAGATCGCGACGCTCGGCCGCATGCAGCTTCTCGAAGTCGTTGAAATGCTGCATCTTGAGTTGCAATTTCTGCGACTGGAGATTGACGGCACCGGAAACCAGTCGTGTGATGTGACGTTCCTCGTGTGAGGCTAGGGCTGCGGAGCGGGCAGCTGAGAGGGCGAAGGGAAGCGTGGCAAGAGGGTTGCTCTCCTGCGGGTCGGCACTGACGATGCCCCGCTCTGCTTCAGCGGACTGTGCAGCATCGACTTCCATGGCGTCCTCATTTTTGACTTCACCTTCTGCCGCCTTCTCTTTACCCTTGTCACTTGCACCGGACTGGACGTTGTTGATCTTGTCATTGAGATCTTTCCTCATCTGTGCAACGCTCCGGTTGGCAGCCACAGCAACCTCTGATACATTCGCCGGTGCGAGTCCTGCCAAGAAGCCGACGACACTCAAGATAGGGTTGTCGCCATGGAAGATGGGTAGACGGCCCTCCTTGAGATATTCTAGGTCGCGGAGGAACTTGGTTGATGGTGCACCTCCTTCTGATTGCGTACCTTCTGGCTCGGCGTACTTGCTATCGATCTCCAGCTGCAGGAATTTCATCACGCACTGTTCACGCGTCTTGGTCATGACATGATCAGCGACGCCATTCCAGTCATCGTCGCACATCTCCAGGCCTTCGAGCAAGAGCAGCAACTCCTCCTGAGTCCAGTTATCTTCAACATCGGGTGTAGGTGGGTAGTCTCCTCGGTCAACCTTGACAAAATCTTCCGAGTTGAGGCCCCTGGAATAATGCTTGTCGACCACACATCTCGGGCAGAGCTCTTCGCGGTTTTGACGGCCGGGTACATCCGAGGTCTTGGTGTGGTGGTAGTAAAGGCGGCTGCAGTCAATTCCGCAGAAGTGGCATATGACCTTTTTCGCAGGCTCACGAGTCTCCTTTTCGAGCTTCTGCAGGTCTACCGACCCACCAGCACCGTTGCTCGCACCTTCGCCATTCGCCGCCGGCTTATCAGGCTCGGCAGAAACCTCCTTCCCGTTCGACTCGTAGATGTTTCGGCCCACTAAGGTCTTGGTCTCACTCTTTGCAGTGGGTTGTTGGCTGGCAGCGCGCTCGGTCCCGGCATGCGGCTTTCCCTCTGTGACCTTCGAGTTCGGCGCAGGCTGGAACGCTTGCAGTCCTCGCGGGGTATCGACCGTGAGACGGAAATGGCTTGTGGTTGGAGGACCAATGTTTGAGGGGCGCTCTTGAGGGTCAACCTAGGTCTCGTTAGAAAAGGCTGTTGTAATGTTTGGATACGCATTACCTGGTAATTGATCAATCCCCACTGCTCCAAGAACGCATGCACGCGCATGATGGCGCACACGTCGCCTGCCAGGTTACGACGGCAGGCTGTGACAGTGAGGTACTCATCGGGGTTCAAGCGGTAGGTATTGATCATGAAGTCGCGGTAATCGCGATACACAGCAGGCGTTTTGCTGCGATTGCGGCCATTGAAGAACTCTGGCAGGGCCTTGCTCTCGCGGCGGTCAATGTAGCGCATGTCGAACCATGTCGCGTAGCTAGGGATGATGGTCGCATAGGTCTGGGCAACGAGATGGGAGCGCGCGGTGGCCTGCAGGTCTGCGGTTGCCTGTGCATCGGGGTCTGCAGCAGCTCCGTCCTTGTCTTTCTTTGCGTCCTCGACGCCGCCCATCTCTTCGTCGTCCTGGCCGTCTGCATCTTCAGCCTCGGGTCTGGGCCCGTCTGGCGCATCGAGAGGGTTATCGGAGACGGGTGCGGGCGTCGTCGTTGAGGGTTCGCGCGACGCCTCCTTGGTGGCCGAGTCGTCTACCATCGAGGTATCTAAAAAGAAGGGGCTTAGCCGACCGAGACTACTGCCAGGTGAAGTTTTGCCGTCGTAAATATCATAGCTGTCGTGGGGAGAGGGGGCGTTGAACACGTCGAAGGCAGCGAGGTCCATGGCTGGCATTCAGGGAGCGCCGCGGGCGACGGCAGCAGAGGGGTGCAGGCATGGCACCGTGTCACGAAGACTTACCTTGGTCATCTTGGGCGTGCGATTGCGCCTGTGCGGTCTCGGCTGCAATGTCCTGGGCCGCAGTGGGAGTGGAAGTCGCGTCGTCGGCCATAGCTTCTTCAACGGTCTGCGCGGCACGTCGTGGCGGCTGGAGGGCAGTGAAAAGGGCGGGCGCACGTCGCGACGGGGGATGCGGAAGCTGCGCGCCGAACACGGAGGCGATCAAGAGCGCGACGGGGGGATTTGGTAATGAGTGTGGGGTTGGTTGGGATGATGCGCTCTGGTGGTGGCCGTCGCGAGTCGACGCGATACTTTTCCGCTTAGCCAGCCAGCGGATGCGCCTTGGGTCACGTGCTGTTCTTGGCCGCTGCGCCGCCCCATGCAGACGTCTGCGCGACCGGGAGCGATGCAGGCCAGCCGAGGTGTTCGCCTTGAGCTTCCGACGCTGGCCACCGTCTTGCGTCTTTCTTGCGTCTGCGTCCACCAACCCACTCTGCACGCCGGAATCTTTCTTTTGTTGTGTAGCTACTGCAATTGAAGCCCGCCATGTTCTCAGTCGCCCGCAAATCCGCCCTCTGCCAGGCGCGCACCCAGCTCCGCCTGTCGCAACCCGTTACCGTCCCACAGTACTCTGCCCTCGCCCGGCTCCTGTCGACACTGGCTGTCCTCGAGCAAAGAGATGGAAAGCTTAACCCGGCATCGCTCTCCGCCATCACAGCCGGAACCAAGCTCGGCGGCTCGGTAACAGCCTTTGTCGCCGGGAGTGGGGTCAAGTCTGTGGCGGACGAGGCGGCCAAGGTGAAGGGCATTGAGAAGATCATATACGTCGAGAATGGCGCGTACGAGAAGGTACGAGTGGTAGTCGTCCCATGTGCGCCGTTGCTGATGATTGTCACAGGGTCTGCCTGAGAACTATGCTCCGCTGCTCGTCGAGAACATCAAGAAGGGAGGTTTCACACACATCTTGGCCGGACACTCCGCTTTCGGCAAGAATCTGCTACCTCGCGTGGCTGCACTACTCGATGTGCAGGCCATTTCAGACATCACCGCCATCGAGAGCGAAGACAGTAAGTGGGGGCAACTGCTACATCGCTGTCTGTACTGACTCACGTCGCAGCATTTGTGCGCCCCATCTACGCAGGCAATGCCATCCTTACCGTCCAATCGTCCGACTCACAGAAAGTAATCACCGTGCGCGGCACCGCGTTCCCGGCGCCCGAGCTTGAAGGTGGATCCGCTGCCGTTGAAGAGGGCGTAGACCCCAAGGTTGAGAGCACTTCGGAATGGGTATCCGAAGACCTGGCCAAGTCAGACAGGCCTGATCTTGGCTCGGCGGAGAAGGTGGTGTCTGGTGGCCGTGGTCTCAAGTCCAAGGAGGAGTTCGACCGCCTCATGCCCCCGCTGGCAGATGCACTTGGCGCCGCCATTGGAGCTTCCCGTGCTGCTGTCGACAGCGGCTTCGCCGACAACAGCCTGCAGGTCGGACAGACGGGCAAGAACGTTGCGCCGAAGCTCTACCTCTGCGCTGGTATCTCAGGTGCTATTCAGCACTTGGCAGGTATGAAAGACAGCAAGGTCATCGCCGCCATCAACAAGGATGGCGATGCGCCTATCTTCCAGGTCGCTGATGTTGGCCTGGTTGGCGATTTGTTCGAGAAGGTTCCGGAGCTCACTGAGAAGCTTAAGTCGCAATAGGCTCGCGCATGACAAGGAGGGTCACAGCCGAAGAACGACGAACCAATACGCCTAAACAAGGACTGCTGCATGTCCTTGAAAATATCATCTACAAAGCCAAACGAAGATTAAGAGCCACGCGCTGCATAAGCTGCTTTATGCCCTGCCCGTGTGCGGTACATTCTGCAACAGCATATGAAACGGTTGCGAGTAGGTTGACTGAGTTTGCGATTTGACTGCAGCGTAGTTCTTGTATATACTCCTTATACGTTCAGATGACGCATTTCCTCCATTGCAGGTCGGACATCAAACTATTTCGTTACCTTGTGATAGGTCCTGCATCATGTTCTGATGGGTGGTGCATATCCGTGTCCAATCGGGTACAAAAGCTTGTGAAAGCTTGGTAGAAACCCGTGGTGACGCAAGACGCACGGTCGCGAAGCGATCCGCCGCGTGAACTGTGGCCCAGCGCCAGTCGTTCCTCCCGTAATAGACTTGACCCACAAACGTGGTAACCTACTATTACAGCATGTGCTCTTTTAGACTCAAGTCTCTGGGCCATAATCTCGACATCAACCCTGCTTTTGTTTTTACCCTACGCTTCGTATCCGCCTCCGCAGTCCTAGTTAGTCTTTGTTCCCTTCTAGCGCCGTTACTCAGCACCCGCACTTGAACCTGCATCTATCACCAACTCCTACTAATTACCGTTATTCAGCACCCGCACTAGAACCTGCATCTATCACCGACTCCTGATAATTACCGTTCTCCACACCAACGAACTACCATTCATCTGCTCTATCGTGCTCTTCTGAGCAACTCCTACTAGGAAGGTTCGAGGTCACTCCACCAGACCATGGCTCCAAGACGCCGATAATACAGCGAGCGCCAACCAGTTCCTATCGTTCCGTTGAAACAATGACCTCTGTATCTCCAAACTCTTTGCCCTATGTTTCGGGGACAGAGCTGCCGCGAGTCTCTGAAGGCGAGACCATCCGTCGCAGTAACGAGCAAGACGAGAAGGAGGAGGAAGAGGCGCAAGAACCGCTCGCGAAGAAGAGGAGCAGGCTGATGTTTTGGAAGAAGTATGAACAGGGTGAGAAGAGGTGCGTGTGCTCTGAACTTGCATGCAGTACTACTCTCTTTTGAATGAAAATCGGATGCACAAGTTTCACCATGAGAACGGCGTTGAATGCGATTAGTATCTGCATCCGACTCTGTACAGTCACATCACTACAAAGTACAGTAAATGTGGTGCTAGTGTCAGCTGTAATTCTGTTTGAGATTTCTCATCAAGAAGAACATGATAGCGGCGTTCTTTGAATTTTGGTTCGAGCTTTGCTTGCTTACGGTGTTGAGTCCTCTCTGTGCTTCTTCGCACCTACCATGCGATGTGCTAACATTACTGCAGTGACTGGTGGTTCGCATCCACTGGCATTCCTTTGCTCGCTGCTACTCTCGGACCGCTGGCTAATATCTCATCGCTTGTCGCCCTTGTCACATCATGGCGCATGAATGTGTACATTGACGGTCAATTCGTCGAGGAGCTTGAAGGGAAGTCCTTCGCTGACCCGAGATGGTAAGCTATGAGCAGGGGCAGCTACAAATCTCAATCTTGAATCCATTTGTCGGCGAGGTTACCTATATGCCCTGGCCAATAACAATCACCAACAATGAAGAGGATACTGACGTGCATCTAGGTGTTACTACTTCAACGTGGCCTCCCTGGTTTGTGGTTTCCTGGGTAATATATTCCTCCTCTTCAATTTCACGCAGCGTATTCGATACATTATCGCTTTGCCTGCTACGATCATCCTCTGGTATCTCGCGACCGGTTTTCTCATCGGGATAACAGTGAGCATGGAGATCTACGCACCGCCTAATCGCCCCTACGAAACCTATACGCAAGGCTTCTGGTATGCCGTCGCCGCAGCCTCTTTCTACTTCTTCTGCTCCATGCTTCTGATGGTCAATATGCTCGGCTTCTTCCTCGGACACTACCCAGACAACTTCGCTCTTTCCGATTCCCAGCGCACGCTCATCCTACAAACAATGGTATTCTTCATCTGGCTTGGGGGTGGCGCAGCAGTTTTTATGAAGATCGAGGATAGTGCCGGGCAAGGCTGGGAATACGCCGATTCTCTATACTTCTGCGACGTGACTGTCTTGACGGTTGGCTTTGGAGATTTCTACCCTACCACCGATCTAGGGAGGGGTATCGTGTTTCCCTTTTCCGTTGGCGGCATTATTACGTTAGCTCTGATCGTGAGCTCGATATACAAATTCATGCGCGAACTGGGCGAGGAGAATATCGTCATGAAGCATACCGATCGTATGCGGCAAAGGACCGCCGATCGCAGCGTTACCACCTCCTTCGATCTCCGCCAGCGCGAACATGCTGAGCGGCACCTCATTCGTAGACGCTCGCTTAAGGAAAGAGAACGCCCAAAGATTAGTGCTCCTACCGAGCTGAGGGAGATGCGCACTGCTATGGGGAACACAGTTAGGAGGGCCACTTTCAGGCCACTGCCGAACGCACTCACCCCAGGGAGGAATAAGAAGCAGCGCGTGATTCTGCTCAAGGAAGAGAAGGATCGGTTCCTTGCAATGCGGGGAATTCAACAGAAGTCGAAGAAGTACAGGCAGTGGCTAGCGCTGTTATTTTCAACGTTTGCCTTTGGAATCTTGTGGTGTGTCGGTGCGGTGGTGTTTTGGCAGGTAAGTCGGAGGCAAACGTACACCACATCCGTCGCTTGCGTGTATATGCTAAAACCTTAGCAGGCGGAGAAGAACACCCAGGGCATGACCTACTTCGAAGCCCTCTACTTCTGCTACATCTCACTCTTGACCATAGGCTACGGTAAGTTATCTTCGTTCCAGGAGAGCCAAGATACAGGCCGTATACTCATACTTCCACAGGCGATCTGGCACCCAAGTCAAGCGCCGGCCGCTGCTTCTTCGTCATCTGGAGCCTTATCGCGGTCCCCACAATGACAATCCTCGTCTCCGACCTCGGCGACACCGTCGTCTACAAATTCCATCGCTGGAGTGATAAATTCGCCGACTTCACTGTCCTCCCTAAACAAGGCATATGGCGCACCTTCCTCGACAAGCATCCCTCGCTATTGCGCCTGGTGCAGAGGCTGCAGAAAAAGATCGCGGACAGGAAGGCGAGGAAGAGGGTGGAGAGGGGGTTCGAGCTGGATGATCCGGATCAGCCCGTCGAGAATCCGGGGTGGGATACCCAGACTAGGGATATTTCTGCTGCTGAGGCGCAAGTAGATGAGTCGCCTGTTGAGGCTGATAATAGGGCGACTGCGCCAACACTGCCTGTCCTCGCGGAGGAAGCAGAGCAAGATGCCCTTGGGAAGTCGCCGAGTCCCAAGGCTGTTGCACACCACCTCGCGCTCAGCATCAAGCGCGTTGCCGCTGACATGTACGTGAAACCCCCCGCCCCTCCCTCTCTATACACCTTTCCATACATATAGACAAGCTGACCAGCCATTTCTAACAGGCACCTTCCCAAGCCTAAACGCTACACCTTCGAGGAATGGGTCTTCTTCGTGCGGCTGATCCGCCTCACAGGAAACAAAACCGGATCCCGCGGCGATGAAGATGAGGAGGATGAGGAAGGGCTCGTCGAGTGGGACTGGATTGGGCCGGATAGTCCGTTGATGAGCGGGCTGAGTGAAAGCGAGTGGTTGTTAGAGAGGCTGTGTGAGAGTTTAATTCGGTTGGCGAAGAAGCCGTACAATGTGAGGGGTGAGGTGAGGCTAGAGACGGGCGAGGGGGTGGATGGAGATGATCGGGTGATCAGGTGGGCGGGTGATGAAAACGATCCGAGGGATGAGCAGAGGCTGGACAAGGTTGCAGGTGATACTAATGATGGAGACCCGGGTCGGGCAGAAGATCGTGGCACCGGTGCTGGAGATGTAACATGAGAGTGGATACTAGAGTAATGCAAATATCAGCGTCCAGGGCATGAGTGCACTGATATTTGATGTGATTTTCCCAGGAGCTTCTACTGCAGCCATACTCAATGATTCGTGCTCCAGTCCTGTTTGTCGCTATTGCGTTCTTCGCCTTCCTGCCCTTCCCCACACTCGACACCGATCAACCCCGCAGGTGCATCCTCATCAAAGGCACTCTGCGTCAACAGCGTTTTGCGGAAATGTGCGGGGGTATATCCGAAGCATGAAGCGTGTGCCCGCCTTGCATGGCACCTATCCTTTCCTTTCACTCAAGCATTGTTGCCACCACCTCCACCTCCACCCCTCCCACGACCCCGTCCACGCCCACGCATGCCCCTTCCTCCCCGGTCTCCACGATGCCCATCTCCCCTCGAGTGCATACCACCCCGTCCGCCCCTCGACGCCTGCTCCTTCGCCTGCTGCTCCTTGACCACATCAACAATCTCGTCCGGCACCCGCAGGTATTTTATCTGCGTCCAACCAATCAGCACCACTTCCACTTCAGCTCCCCATGAATCCAGCATGGACAGGACGTACCGTGCTACCGCGGACGTATATCTCCGCCAACCGCCAGAACTTGTCGCCGTCTGCACTCGTCTGCACAACTTCCTTGAGTGTGAGATTCATCCACGTGTCGCAGTTGACCAGCAGGCCGTTGAGGGTTTCGCCGCTCTTGAGCTCGACGAGCATGGGGTGGCCGACGGCGGCGGTGAGGAGGCCGAGGGGGAGCTGTGGATCACATACACGTCAGGAAGAGCACTTTGCGCCGGGGCAGATATCGTGACGTACCATGGCGGTGGCGCCCGCAGGGATCTGTGAGCTGGATAGGGAGATCTGCGCGATCGAATTACGGAGGAGAGCAGGCAGTAAGAGGGAGTGCGCTCATAGAATCGACTGGGAATGGTGATGGAGTTTAGGTGGGCTGTCGTGCCTGCGGTTTGCGGGAGGGAGCTCGGGCCTTTGCTTGGCGCTTCGCGTCTGCATTGCTACGCCGCCTACACGTAGAAAGTTAACAGTATATCAGCAAATGGGCAAAATATACGCGTATATTGATCGTGCAACAGCAAGCTGGCGATATGTATGTTTGATCTCACAGCCCTGGGGGGAATGATGCGAATCACTCACCGTGTGCTGCTCGTGGCTCTGATCCATCGAGCACACGACCTATCCGTATGGTAACTATCAGTGGCTGACACCCGTACCTTGCAACGCATCCTGAGGCTGGTGATCTAGAACAGCATCCGTGCGATACTTGAAACACTCTCCTATGCCAACAGCAGGCTGCATACGTAAGCTGTAGGTACTATCTTAGCGCTCCTTCTATCGCACCATGTGGTCGAGCAATGACATGCTTCCGAGTGGATCGTTGGACATTCGGTGTACCTTGCTCGGAGTACTCTTTCTACTCAAGGAGTTTCAAACTTTGGCCGCAAGTTCGCCGGTTTGAGAGTGCACTGGCTGGTCAGGCGTGGGAAGATGCTCCGACGGGAACGGAGCAACTATGGTACCTATGGTACGGAGGACACCAGTTTACTCGTGCCACATGGCCTTACACATGCAAACACTCTGGCGTCACGTTTGTTATCTTCTCGTTTCTACAAATACAGACCGTTCATTCACTTGAGACAAAGTTTTCGTGTTTGAATCCTTACGCGCAGGGCTGAACGGGGAGCGGATGTGCTGCGCCCCACTGCCGCTGACTCTTCCGGGCTGGACACGCGTCCACTCAAGTGCTGATGCTCGCGCGCCTGCGCCCCCATTAAACATCACGCCCTCCCTGAGTTGGCTGGTGCCTGATCCTGTTCAGAGGCCAGCTTTGCCGTCCTCGCTCGACAGCTGCTGCTCGTGCCTTTCGCGTTGCTGTGTGCAGGCTTACCCGCCGTTCCTTTCTCTGCACTCGCTTTTCTTTCATTTTCCAAACCATGAGGTTTTCCAGGAAGCTCCTGGTGGCCTGTGCCCGGGCTCTGCCAGCGCTCGCAGCTGCTCTTCCTTCCGAGGGTACCCGGTCAGATGTTGCACGTCCAGAGCGGAGCGAGCAGCTTCTGGAGTTGGGTACGTCTTTATATCTTCCCACTTTTGCCATCTCTAGGCAGCTGCTAATACCACCAAGACTCGCAGGAAGACTATGCCCTAGCGACCTTTACCGTTCCATGCGCTGGGTGTCTGGGCACGAACCATGATGACGAGTCCATCGTAAGGCCCACTTCAGGCAACAAAAAGTGACCTCACCGCTTACAACTCCTCCAGGTTCTAAGCGTCAAAACTTACACCAACGATCAACCTTGTGGCGTTTCAAACATCACTTTGAACGGAGCTTACCTCCCTCAAGAATGGAACGGTGATCTTGCATCTGGATCTGGCTCTTACACTGGTGTCACCGACATCGAAGAGAATGCGTGGTTCCTCCAACACGACCTTGATCTCGAGTGGGAGAGCGCATGTCTTCACGGCGAAGCAGAGACCGATGTCAGCGCCCAAGTCTTGACAGTGAACATCAAATCTATTGATGGAAAGGCATTGAGCTCACCGTACCCTGGTTTCACCCTATCTTTCAAGCAGGCGTCCCCGCCGGAGCTTCTTCGCCTCCAGTCCAAGCCAGACCTTATTGCCAGCTCAGGTGCACACGCCGAGTCTTGGCGCAACCCTCCTAAACATCTGCGCCTTTCCGTTCCTGAGCAGGGAGTAGAGGCTTTCGGACCGCCAGGCCACTCTCCGCTCGAAGACGACATCCGTGAACTGAAGGCTCTCGAAGCTGAAGCGGAAAAGCTACACAGAGCCATCACAGAGAAGAAAAAGTACATTGAATCCCGACTCAGAAAGGAAGCACAGAGCTTCAAGGAAGAACTACGCAAGTGTGAAAACATCACCTGCGTTGCGAAGACCATCGCAAGTGGAGCTCGGGGTGCATGGAGGATCCTCTACGTCCGCTTCCGACCCAGTCCCCACCATCACCACGGCCCACCACCAATGGGTCGTCCAAAGGACGATGGCTTCCATCAAGTATGGCGACCAGGCAACAACAAGCAGGGTAATATCCAAATTGCGTCTGATGGTGCCCCCCCTCCACCACCACCGCCACCACCACCTCCTCCTCCGCCACACCACGATGGCTCTGACCATCCACCGCCGCCTCCACCTCCGCCACACGCGCACCACGGTGCACCGCGCATGCCACCACCTGAATCACCCTTCGTAATTGCTATGGAGATAGTCCTCGGCCTCTTGTGCTGTGGTTGCATCTTCACCGTGATCCGACACCGCTGCAGCAGCCTCCGTACCCGCACCGAACGCGCCGCCGCGCGCGAAGAACGTCTCACCGCACGCGAATACCGCCGTGCCGCCCGGCGCTACGCAATTCGCAAGTGGTGGCGCGGCAATTGGCGCGACCAAGAGCGCATCGAGGACTACGAGGAGAAACGCAGCCTCATCCAGCACCAAGAAGACGTGCTCGAGGACGTCATGCAAGAGGAGATCCGCCAACTGCGCGCAGCCCACGGCGTGGTCAATGACCTCGTCAGCTCTGCCGAGGAAGGCCGCGTCGTCACCTACCCGCACAACTACTGCCCCTGCTCCCGCTCACATCCCGTCCCACAGGCCCCGTACTCCCCGCTATCCACAGCGTCAACGTACCCACCCACATCCATTCCCGAACTCCCGTCTCGTCCGCTGTCGCGGACAGACAGCCTCCCCGGATACCGCTCCGACGCGTCGGGCTCGCCGCCCGCCTACGAAGAGGATGAGGATGTGTCCGACAGCGTCGCGAACGGATTCCGCCACTACTCATCCGCCGCCTCCACCTCGAGTTCGAGCTCGCGCTGGACGCCCGACTCTAGCATCATCGACGTGAGTCCGCGGCCCAGCGCGGAGACGCTGCGGTATCCTGAGATCGCGGAAGCCGCCGAGTTCGCGGAGAGCAGCGAAACCGTGTTTGACGCGAAGAACTAGTTCAGCGGGATGTTTTGTGTCTTTCCTTGAATGCTTGATGCCTTTGGGTGGTGTTGGTGCGCTTAGTTTACACGCACGCGTCACCGCAGCGTCTGTCTGTTTGCTTTCTCTCCTGCTTCGCTTACTCTCTGTTCATCTGGCTAGGCGTTGGGTCGGCTCGGTTGGCGTTCGGATTCCCACTCGGTCGCTTGCTGTCGTTTCCTCTCGGGTCCTTTCATGCATTGTACGATTTCTGTAGCATGCCCTCTTCCTCCATTTTCCGGCGCAAAACGATCTCGCAAAAGCAACAGCATGTGCGAGTGGGGGAGGGGCGAGACTATCGATTATGGACGCCCGACTAATAATAATCACAGGTCTATGTGATGTAGTATATATATGTATGTCGAAGTAGAGTAGACGTGCAGATAAATACAGGCCGCGATCATGCTTGAGCACGCGGAGCCTTCAAACAAACCAATCAACGAACGAGTGCCATCCTTATGTGTCTCCAAATGCTGTGTCTATTGTTTGTCCAGTACAATAATATACAAAAGCTCGCTCTTGAAGCGATATCTACACGTATGCTATAGCGCACCAAAAGTCCTTGCCTGTCTTTACCGCCTCCGCAAATACCAGTTGAACGCCAGCTGTCCAGTCTCGATATGGAACGGCGTCGGGACCTCCGCAAGACCCGGCCGCGCAACAGGGTGCCGCAGATACACCGCCGCACACACATTCTGATTGACCTCCAGGTACCGTGGTATAAACGCAAACGCAGGCATGTAGTCCCTTGGCCGCCAGGGCGTCGCATATGGCGCGGACGCATCGCGCTTGTTCCATGTGGAGATGTGGTCGTGCTCAAGCTTGAGCTTCTCAAACGCGTCGCTCAGCTTCTTTTGGTCCTCGGGGGACATCATCGGGGTAGGCTCCTCCTCGGCAGTGGGCGCCAGCTCGGCGCGACGGGCGTTCAGTGCGTCTTTAAGAAACGCGAACTGAGTGTCTAGCGTGGATACGGTTTCAGGCGTGGCCTTGCCCCAGAGGCTGACGGCCTTGCGGACAGTCTGGCGGAAGGCACGGAACTTTTGCTTGTCTTTTGCGCCGACATCTTCCGCAAGGACGTTCTCGACGTCGAGCATGAGGGACTGCATGTGCTCTTTGAGTTCTTTGGGTGTGGGCTCGTCGCGGCTGGCAACGGTGCTGGTTTTCTCCTTGGGGTTGTGGGCCGCCGCTGGGTTCTCTTCGCGGGCTTTGGCGCGCTCGGCGGCCTTTTCTTTGGCGATCTTTCGGGCGGTCGAGGACCGCTCTTTCCGGGCACCGGTGGCGAACATCACGGAAGAGGGCTCGACTTGGAACATGTCGCCCGGATTGAGCATGTATCCGGGGTATGGCATCTGCGGTTGTTAGCTTTCCCTATCGCGTGACCCATCCCGAGCACAGAGACGCCGACCAAGGTGTCGTACCTTCTTTCCGTTGACTTTGACCAAGCCATGGACGACGAATTGTCTCGCCTGGCGCACACTACTTGCGAAGAGTGCCCTGAAGATGGCTGTGTCCAGTCGTCGCTCGATGGGGTAGTATGCCATCTGCATGTACGGCGTCTGCATTGGTGTTCGCTCCTTGTCGCTTGAATCCGCACCAGCACCTCGTCCGGCAGCCTGTTCTGAGCCATCATATCTAGCCAAGTATCTGTGATCCATCGGCACCACGGCGGGTAGGTTTCTCCTGAACAGACGCTTCCACTTCTTCTCCCGGATCTGCTCGCCGTGATACGCACGCGTGTCGGACTTGGCCTTCCATTTCTGCTGGAAGTATGTCTTCGCTCCTGTGTTCGGGGCCCTCAATTGTGATATGCTGTATAGCGACCAGCGTGACCAATCCTGCCTGACTTTCTATTGCCATGTCAGTGCTACCCAGGCGCGGATCCATCTGAAGTTCATTGGGACTGACCAGCTTCTTCAGCGAATGGAATCTCGGCTTCTTCCTCATGGTGGGCGGTGGTCAATGGGTGGACAATAGGAAGAGTCGAAGGGCGTACGTTCGCCCTTCGACGATACGGGACATGGACGCGCTCAATGGCCGCACGGACCATGCTAAAACTTCGACAGGCAAGAGCTACCCCCGCTAGCGTTGCGCGAAAAGTCAATCTGCTCCCCACCTACTCGCACCTTTGTCGAATATCTTTGCGCGCATACTCACAAGGTTGCGCAGTCACATTTCAATCGTACATATACAGCTGCACTGCAGCAAACATGGCCGACACTCAGCCTGCCGCCGAGGCGCCCGCGACCAACCCCGCCGAGGTCTCCAAGAGCAACGAGTCTACCGAGACTGTCGCAAAGCCCGAGACCACTGCCAGCGCAGAGTCTGGCGACAAGGAGGGTGCCAATGGCACTGCTGAAGCAAGCAAGGAGGCGGAGTCATCCACGAAAGAGAAGGACGACCGCTCAAACGGTCGCCAGTTCGACAATAGGCGCGGCGGCCGTGGTGGACGCGGCGGAGGCAAATTCGGAGGCAATAAGCCCTTCCGCAAGTATGCTGACCTTGGGAATCTACTTTGGGTCTTGACTCACATTCGCACAGGCGCAATGACGAATTCGAGAACTTGCCCGAGTCGGATGACCCCAACGAAATCAGGCAACAAGTGAGCTTACTGGCGCACCGAATCGCAACCTTTCCTGACAAACCTAGGTCGAATTCTACTTCTCTGTTGCCAATTTGGCGACTGATGAGCATCTCTTCAAGGAGCTCGAAGGTCCTCGCAATGCGCCCGTCTCAATCAAGCACATCAGCCAGTTCAAGCGCATGCGCCGCTTTACGCCCTACTCTGCCATCGTGAATGCGCTTCGCGAGAGTGAGGACCTTGTCGTCGTCGACGATGGAGAGTTCGCCGGCACTGGCAAGGAGGCCGTCAAGCGCAAGGATCCCTTGGTCGTACCCAAGCGCGATGGTGACGAAGAGTACCCGCCTACCGTCGATGAGCTCTTCAGCCGCATCTACAAGAAGAGTCTTAACAAGCTCGAGAACTGCATCTACGCGAAGGGTTTTGCAGGCGAGGGTGAGGATGTCGGCCAAATCCCCCTCGAGCAATTCTTCCGACCTTACGGCGCCGTCATGATTCGCAAGCGCCGCGAAGAGGATGGTACTTGGAAGGGCAGCGTCTTCGTCGAATTCGACACCGAAGAATCTGCGAACCAGTTTCTCGCTCTTGACCCCAAGCCGAAGTACAACGATAACGAGCTTACGATCATGTCCAAGAAAGACTACAGCGAGATGAAGTGCAAGGAGAAGGGCATCACCCCGGAGTGGCTTAAGACTGAGGAAGAGCGCAACAGCAGCGGCCGCGGACGGGGTCGTGGCGGCTTCCGCGGTGATCGTGGTGGCCGTGGTGGCCGTGGAGGTCGTGGACGAGGAGGACGTGGCGGCCGTGGAGGTCGTGATCGTGATGATCGCCGGGATCGCCGCGACCGCCGAGACCGCGACGGCTCTGCCGACAACGATGACTGGAAGAAGCGCCGAGACAACTTCCAGGACCGGGATTCCAAGAAGCGTAGCCGTGACGACAACGACGCTGCCGGAAGCCCTAAGCGCTCCAAGATTGAGGTCAAGGAGGACGCGTAGACGAACACCTCGTCTTTTAGGTGCCTTCATATCACACCTGCGCCCGTGCCACTGCCTCATTTCGCTCCGATCGGATCTGGCAAACATATATTTATCCGCTACTCCCCGACTGCCCTACATGGATGATATCTCATTATTTGCGTTCAGAATAAACAAAAACGGCGTTGGTGGCATGCACATTCATGGTTGTCTAAAAGATACCATCTTTTCCGGGCGGGACGAACCAGTTTTCATGTTTCATAGCATAGCAGTATTTCTACGCCGCTGTATGATAGCCCATGATCTGATGCTCTGTGACGACCGGTGAGCACCAACGAAATATGCTTTTCGACCTGCTATTCTTGATCACTGGTGGTTCATGTTGGATGACCTTGCCTCTCCATACTCGTGTGATTGGAGTGGAAATTGCAAAGAGGTGATGTCTACCGCCATGAAAAAGTGACAACGAAATTGTTGCTATTACAGCAACATTGCACGCAAAACCCATGTAGATCTTATCGAGCATCTCATGCAAGTATCCGGCATCCGTGACTTATCTCCGAGGCACTTTCCTTATTTGTAATCCCACAGTCTCTGTCCTGTAGACTATGCCGCATCAGTGTTACTTCCGTGCAGTTGCAGCAGGCGCACATGCATGGTGGATCAAAATCTAAGGTTACTGAGTTAGGTGTCAACTGTACTCGGTATACCCCAGGATATGTCGAAGGTACATCGCAATTTCCGCAAACCTGCGTTGACAGAGCGTTTGAATGGGTTGAATTTCCACTCGCTTAGTGGGATCCAGTGTGGGAGGGGAAAAAGGGCGGAGGTTGGGCGCTTGTAAACCAAATCGTACCGCGGCTAGCGAGCTCAGTACTGTCCGTTGATCTTCAAGTCATGTTCGTATTGAATTGACCTGGTTCTGAAGATGTTGCATAGCCCTCGTTAACTGTGACTCTTGCAACGATCCGCATCAATAAGCTGCTGCTGGTTCAATCTGAATGGTGGCGACCCCTGCGCTCGCCGCGGCCCAATCGAGCAGCTCGGGCTCCTGCGTCGGGGCAGAAGACGGAGTCGCTGAGTGAATTCAAAAGCTCTCATGAGTCACAGAGAGAGTATTTCAACGAGCTTCACGGGTGAAAATAGACTGGTTGCTTGTTGCTGAAGCTCCCCGATGTATCCAGCATCACACGATGACTCCCTGGTGGCATTTTATGGGCGATGGGCACGGTGCACTATCCCGAATTAGGCGATAGCGCTTCGCACTCGACGCCCCACCTTGCCCGCACCACCTGCAAAACTCCTCTCTGCCCGCCCACTTCCCTTCTTGCCCTCGCCCACCACTTCACCCGCCAACTTTGCGCCCGGGGGTTCTTAAAGCGTGCCTACCTTTGGTCTGCACCACAGAGCTCTCGAATCCAATTCCAGCGCCTCTTCCCATCTACTAGCCCCTCCGCGCAGGTGCGGGGTACTTGAACATTTCTTACACGAGAATTTTCGGGTAGAACAACCCACAACACCGCCATCATGGTCAAGTAAGTCCATCTCCATCGCTGCCGCTCGCCTTTGCGAACGCAGAACATGCCGCTCTGTCCTTGCGGCATCTGGTCGAGCACGATGCTAACAGCCCGCTAGCTTCACCGTCGAGGAGGTACGTAGCGCCCCGCCACACATCGAATCAATATGCATATCTGGAGGCAAGGAATGAAGGACGGATGCTAACTAGCATGGCAGATCCGTGAGCTCATGGACAAGGCGTCCAATATCCGTAACATGTCGGTTATTGCTCACGGTAAGTGTTCTCGATGCCCCGCTTTAGAGACTACGTAACTAACAACCCACTTCAGTCGATCACGGAAAGTCCACCCTCACCGACTCGCTCGTCCAGCGTGCCGGTATCATTTCTGCAGCGAAGGCTGGAGAAGCGCGGTTTACGGATACGCGAGCGGACGAGCAGGAGCGTGGTGTGACGATCAAGTCCACCGCCATCTCCCTGTACGCCCAACTCCAGGACGAGGAGGACCTCAAGGACATCCCCGTCAAAGTCGAGAAGAACGACTTCTTGATCAACTTGATCGACTCGCCCGGTCACGTTGACTTCTCGTCTGAGGTCACCGCTGCCCTCCGTGTCACTGACGGTGCCCTTGTCGTCGTCGACACCATCGAAGGTGTTTGCGTCCAGACTGAGACTGTCCTTCGTCAGGCTCTTGGTGAGCGTATTAAGCCCGTCGTCATCATCAACAAGGTCGACCGTGCTCTTCTCGAGCTCCAGCTCACCAAGGAGGATCTGTACCAGAACTTCTCCCGTGTCATTGAGTCCGTTAACGTCGTTATCGCCACCTACTATGACAAGACTCTTGGTGATGTCCAGGTGTACCCCGACAAGGGTACCATTGCTTTCGGTTCCGGTCTCCACGGCTGGGCTTTCACTGTCCGCCAGTTCGCTTCGCGTTACGCCAAGAAGTTCGGTGTCGACAAGAACAAGATGATGGAGCGTCTCTGGGGCGACAGCTACTTCAACCCCAAGACCAAGAAGTGGACCAAGAACGGTACCCACGAGGGCCAGCAGCTTGAGCGTGCCTTCAACCAGTTCATCTTGGACCCCATCTTCCGCATCTTCAACGCGGTCATGAACTTCAAGACCGATGAGATCCCCAAGCTCCTCGAGAAGCTTGAGATCAAGCTCACCAGCGACGAGAAGGATCTCGAGGGCAAGCAGCTCCTCAAGGTCGTCATGCGCAAGTTCCTTCCCGCTGCCGACGCTCTTCTTGAGATGATGATTCTCCACCTGCCGTCCCCCGTGACTGCCCAGAAGTACCGTATGGAGACTCTCTACGAGGGTCCTCACGACGATGTCAACGCCATCGGTATCCGGGACTGTGACCCCAAGGGTCCCCTCATGCTGTACGTCTCCAAGATGGTGCCCACCTCCGACAAGGGACGTTTCTACGCTTTCGGTCGTGTCTTCTCCGGTACCGTCCGCTCCGGTCTCAAGGTCCGCATTCAGGGTCCCAACTACACCCCCGGAAAGAAGGAGGACCTGTTCATCAAGGCTATTCAGCGTACCATTCTCATGATGGGTCGTTTCGTCGAGCCCATCGAGGATGTGCCCGCCGGTAACATTCTCGGTCTTGTCGGTGTTGACCAGTTCTTGCTCAAGTCTGGTACCCTCACCACCAACGAGACTGCCCACAACCTCAAGGTTATGAAGTTCTCCGTCTCTCCTGTCGTCCAGCGCTCCGTCGAGGTCAAGAACGCTCAGGATCTTCCCAAGCTCGTCGAAGGTCTTAAGCGTCTGTCCAAGTCCGACCCTTGCGTCCTGACCTTCATCTCCGACTCCGGAGAGCACGTCGTCGCTGGTGCTGGTGAGCTCCACTTGGAGATTTGCTTGAAGGATCTCGAGGAGGACCACGCCGGTGTTCCCCTCCGCATCTCCGACCCCGTCGTCCAGTACCGTGAGACTGTCAACGGCAAGTCCAGCATCACTGCTCTGTCCAAGTCGCCCAACAAGCACAACCGTCTTTACGTCATTGCTGAGCCTTTGGACGAGGAGGTCTCCCAGGCCATCGAGGCCGGCAAGATCGCTCCCCGTGACGATTTCAAGGCTCGTGCCCGTGTCCTTGCTGACGAGCACGGCTGGGATGTCACCGATGCCCGTAAGATTTGGTGTTTCGGTCCCGACACCACTGGTGCCAACTTGCTCGTTGACCAGACCAAGGCTGTGCAGTACTTGAACGAAATTAAGGACTCCGTTGTCTCTGGTTTCCAGTGGGCCACCAAGGAAGGTCCCGTTGCTGAGGAGCCCATGCGTTCCATCCGCTTCAACATCCAGGATGTCACTCTCCACGCTGATGCCATTCACCGTGGTGGTGGTCAAATCATCCCTACCGCGCGTCGCGTGCTCTACGCCGCCGCTCTCCTTGCCGAGCCTGCTCTCCAGGAGCCCGTCTACCTCGTCGAGATCCAGGTGCCCGAGCAGGCTATGGGTGGTATCTACGGTGTGCTTACCCGGAGACGTGGTCACGTCTTCGAGGAGAACCAGCGTGTCGGTACTCCCCTCTTCAACGTCAAGGCTTACCTCCCTGTCAACGAGTCCTTCGGTTTCACTGCCGATCTCCGATCAAACACTGCCGGACAGGCCTTCCCTCAATTGGTCTTCGACCATTGGCAGGTTCTCCAGGGTGGCTCGCCGCTTGACAACACTACCTTGCCCGGTAAGATCGTCGCCGACATGCGCAAGAGGAAGGGTATCAAGCTTGAGGTACCGGGTGTTGAAAACGTAAGTTCTGCTCTTCCCATCGCTAATCACCAGTATGCTAACTATCTGCACAGTACTACGACAAGCTATAGAGGAACAGTGGCAAAAGCACTAGATTTCCTTTATTCGCGGCTTGTGGGCAAAGAGCGGTTTCGAGTCTGCTCATGATCGCTGGTCGCTGTATACCATCACGACAAAAGTTCCTCAAGTAGGCAACCAGAGCAAGAAAATGTCGGTCCGAGCAGATGGCTCTTGATCGCGGATGTCTTTTGGGGGTTCGACGCCTGACACGGATAATGACCCTCGTTTCCTAGCATGTTCTCTCTTGTGATGTAGTGTTGATAAATAATCGAAACTATATTACAATCACATGTTCGCACCTATGGACAATAGAAAACATTACTGGGCCGAAGCATCCAGTACAGATTTTGCGAATTCCACGTGTCCGTTCTGCTGCGTTCGTAATATGTAGGTAATATGACTACCTCTAGTTGGTTGGTGCCTGGGCAAGTATGCAGAGATGCTTACCTACTGCGAACACGGTCTGACTAGTTTCAGGAAATCGAAAGATTGTTTGTTGCCCAAAGAGGATGAATCTGTAGGCCCCTTTGCCGGCTGTGTGTTACTTGGAATTGTCTTCCCACTCCGCGAATGGGTCATAGTCGCTTTGCCTCACAATCTTCGGCCTATCAGTGATCGAACCGGAAATTCCCAGGGATGAGGAAGATGTGGCGGAGCATTCGCAAGCGATACTTCAACTTGGTCGCCCTTGCATATGCATACTCCCCCGCCAAGTCTGTTTGAGTACACGCGAAAGCCCACCTCTCCAAGGACGATCTCTGCGTGTATGCCTTTCTCGCTTCAGTGCGCCCTCATGATCTTATAGGCTCCATTCCATTGTTCATATAATGCTCATGGCTTCCCGGTTTGCAATAATCTTAGTCTTTGTCCTGATCGGCTACCACACCAAGGACATTCACACAATGTATTCAATCAATCAGAAGAAGTAGACGACGCGACCTTGAGCGAAAACGCAGCCGTGAGCGACAACGCCACAGTTTACACCCCGCCTGTGACGGAAGAGAAAGACCACTCTTACGCGTAGGATACTTCGTTGATGCAAGACGTTCATCATGGAGGAGAAGAAGTCGGGACAATTTCTTACTCTTCTTGATGGCAACGTGAGCTTGTCAATCAGAGATATCGGAGGGCCCTGCGTATGTTCCAGTACATCTGACAGCCTCATGTGTGACGGTGGCTCATGGCAGCACGTAATACAGCAGAGGAAATCCGAGTTCTTGACTTTAGACATCCGGCATCTTTACCATTGCTTCATTTCTCACGACTTGCTCTATCTCTGGCTATTCGAACGCGTTTCCTCACGTTAATCATATCGGGTTCATCCTATAAAACTCATCCCATAAAACTGTTACCACGATGGTTGTTGCAGGAGGGATCTATTTGAGGATGATCATTTGACGGCCATCCTCACACCAGCGGCGACCACCGAAGCCAATACCCGATATGTTTCGGAGCAACTGATCAAATCTAAGGCTTCAGTCCATGCCCTGGCAAACTTTCATTATTGGAGACAACAACTCGGGCCATGTGCTCACCCTCTTTAACGGAAACTACGACATGCTGATTAGAGAACACATTAGGGGCACGATGTGGTCGAGTCAATGTCAATAAGATACTTGTGTTAGACGAACGAATGCTATTGCACACACGCGCCTTCATCTGCATACTCCCGTGCTGCATTACTTTTACATACGCCCCAGATCCTCCCAAGTTATGCTCTCAGGAACATCCGTCCCACTAACAAGAGATGAAATAGCTTCCATTAGCGCTTTTTCCTAGCTGTTGATTGCAGAATATTCCGCCCTCCCACCGAACGCCGAAGCGCTGGCCACCCTTCTTCCATACATCTGGTTCAATACACCTTAGACGGTGGTGCTTTTAGCTGTTTCGCGTCGCGCCTTCCCTCATACCCTTCTCATACACTCTCTTTAGCCTTCTTTGGTGGCTCCGGCTACATGGTCTCAGTCTTTCTCTCGCGTTAATGTTTATAAGCGTGGGGCAGCTTTCATGGAGTCTCAGTCTTTCATCAGTTTTATATACACTCTGTGACGTATCTTTCAGAGGGCGGCTTTCAGGGGGTCTTTGGGTAAAAAGAAAAGTGGGGATGACCTCGCGAATGGTCACTCACCCCACAAGCGAAAATCTATGCAGACAAAAACATACAACAGCGGGGATTCTCGCGCCCTCACGGATCGCAATACTAATCCGCCGGTACACTGCTTATATATGGCTGAGCGGACGGGAAGCCTAGTTTTCAGTGTCCTATGGTCGTATGTGGGAATCATAGGCCATAATTGGGTATGTATTCCTTAGAGATGAAGGCTCTGACCTACTCTCTCCTCTCTGAGCTGTTCCTATGTCGCCGGAAGATACGCAGAAAGGATGAGTTTCTGCCTAAGCCAAGCTGAGATTGACTGGTGAACGCTTGGTTGAGATCATGTTGCGGAACGCCGAATCCAAACGATGACAGCGATGTGTTGCCACCAAATTTGATACTATTCTCTACAAATTCCGGATTGAACCCATCACTATCCTTCCGAGTACTAATTGATTTGTCAGTAGAGGATTTTACAGCGTCTTATGCGCCGCCACAGATTGTCAGCAACGCCCTTTAACGCCAAATTCACGATGGGTTCCAGGTGTGCAACAGTTGCCGCGCTGAGGCACGTTCGTGAGTGAGGGGATTCGATTCTGATGGTCGTGATTGGAAGGGCATTCAGCTACGTGACAGTGAATACTAAGGGTGCCTAGCGCCGACCTGAAACGTAATGCTTGCCCGTGATTTGCTGTTGCAGCCGAGCCCTAATTTAAGCGCCTACCTCCTTCCCAGCTCCTCTCTAAGTGTTTCAATGTTGGCTGGGCTGTACCGCAATGCCACATCGCAGGACTACCTCGAACAGGCGCTTGCGATCACCTGGAATCGCGCCATTGTTCAAGTAGAGTCTCTGCAAGTGACATCGGCAGCACAAGCTTTGGAAGTAAAAGACCTTGCCGGACTGGGCCACCTGAAGCAACACAGGGTGTCGCCATTGCTGTTTTGTACGGCTGCAGTGTTCATATGGTCTTGCGACCGGGTCACGACTCGTATGAGCCGGTGTGTGGCCTTCATATGTAGTAATATGGACGGACAAGCTGTTCAAGATACCGAACACGAAAATTTGTATTTAGAAAGTATACAAATAGCCATTGGATCTCTCAATGTAGGCTACGCTAGTCTTATACTAATGTGTGAGTATTGGCTCCCTCCGCATTGCTATACGTACGCTGAATCGGCTGGTTGATCTCTCGATTGGCAGCCTATAACTCAGACTCAAGGCTTTCGTCCTGCCTCAGCACGAATTCAGTGTCCCTCAGAGCAATGACTTCTATGTTTCCTGCTGTCATCGTTGCATCATGTATGAGCATATGATCTCAAAATTCACGCTTTCCTTCAACTTCATAGTGCCGAGGCGACGGTGCAAGAGTTTGAGTGCAGTACCGTTGCTCACAGAGTGGGGTAATTGATGTATCTCAAATAAAAGCGCAAGCTCAGTGTCACCCCTGCTTGGATGATTTACTCAGACATACTCTGTTTATGTATGGCTGATGCCATCATAGTGGGAAACAATCATGATCAACTATGGGTTGCGAAGAAAAGAAAATAGTAAATCGTTGAAATGACGGATCGTTTACTCACGTCATCCCCGCCGATCAACCACCTTAATACAGTGTTGCAGTACTGACGCAGAGGGAGAACATGTATACAATAACTTCATTCCCTCTCACGCTGCCCTGCAGCACGTGCTAAAGTACTGACGAGAAAAAACAGGTGTATATATACATGTACATCGGAATCGTGGTCAAAGGCGATTTTTCAGGCCGTTACAAGACGCTATTTGGCTGTCGGATGATTTCAAATCATTGATTGGTCAGGCGCGGACTCACAGCCCGAATTTTCGAGGCGTGGACCCCCTCCGTGCGTTGCGAATGTCCGAGCTGATGGAGACACATACAATGTCGTAATGAAGCCAAGTGCAAGAAGTAGGCGATTCATGAACCCCATATGATCCAAGCTTAATCTGGCTAAGAATTTGTCATTCTCCGAGCGTGCATCCGTCCTCAGTTTATCACCATTGCTTTGCCCAATGTACAAAGAGATGCTGTTTTTCCTCTTAGTAAGTTGTATTGGTTGATACTCGTTGACTCCTGTAAGAATAATCAGTGTTAAAGGGACCTTGTGTCACCTTTACTTGTCCAAAGGTCTTTACCTGTCGTCCTGTCCTTTTCGATATCTTGTTTCTTGCGGATATCAACTTTGCCGCTCTCTAGATCGTATACTATAGCTCTATCCCAGCTCCCAGTCCGCGATGGCCGTTTGATGATAGGTTCTCTCTGTGCTGAATCTTGTCTGTGTATATCTGACATGGAAGGCGTGAATGAAAACTCCAACGTTTGAAGGTAATAGGCTCGGAAAAAGAGAAAGGTCTTCTCATATTCATGCAGTGGGAACAATTCTCAGTGCGTGTAGATAGTTGTTAGATTGGGGATCGTCCTCTTATAGGTTCGATCAAAGGACGGTGAATCAACAAGGCTGCGAAAGGCGGACTGTCTCGTGTTCCAGCCGCTCAGCCCGGAAAATGACACATGACACAACAATGCCGCTGATTACAGGCACAGGCAATTTGGCGCTCGTATCCGGTCCTCGTGGCTATTTACTGATAAAAGCCCCATCTCAACGGACACAGTCATTGTGTCGGTTTCGGCGAATAAGCCATGACCACGCCATGCGAAATTTGATGAAACATGCTTATGGTTGTAGCTCGCGGGACAACTAGAATCATTTTAATAAGTTCATTCCAGCTAGATGATTCTTGAAGTATTCGCGTGTGGCTTGCCAGCCGAGCGAGCGGATTTATTGCGCATTCATGAAGGTGGGTAAGATCACCTTATTGCGCATGGACCGGACAAGGCTGATGACGATTCGACAGGATGCATCCAATCTTCTGGCAAGCCAACCCTCCTTTATAGTTGAGTGGCTGATTCAGTGCTGCGTTGGTGTCAGGTTCAATCACCGGTTTGCACATCGGGAACGATAGTTCACTCCTTGTGGCCCTCTGCATTTGCTTTTGCAATTCGTAAATCTGTCCCACCCAAGAGCCTGAAAAATGTCATTGGTGCGCCGCGGTTGAGGGACCTCGAATCTGTGGAGGCTCAGCCTTTGGTTGTTGCCGCCTTTGCTCGCCTACAAGGCTGTGTGATGGCTCAAGCAACCATTCTACGAAGTGCACTCCCATGCTCGAGGCGGCTGAAAGACCCAGGCCTATATATCGTTATGCCGCAAGGCTAAAACCGTGAGACATGTTTAATATTGTATTCCCTTGTTACCAAGCGTGCATCGAACGTTACCACGAATAATGGACTCAAGTATCGCATCGGAGTTTTCAACCCCACCACAGCATGGACGCCTATCTCGCAGAGAAACTACTGCAACTATCGCTAGCCGTGATTGGCAAGAGCAAAACATTTTAAGCTTGGGTATGCGCAAATTGATCCTTGATTACGCTGAAACGCCGAGGCTGATAGCCATATAGATGGCGGCGGTATCCGCGGATACTGGACTTTACTCGTCCTTGAGAAATTGATGGAATATATAGGCGAGAGAGAACGGCTCGAGGAAGAACAAGGTTCAACAGCCGACCTTCACAGTTTCTTGCCAAACCCAGAACCCGCGAATGTCACGCAGTGCAATATTGATCCCAATACGAGCGTGCGCTATACAGCTGCCGTGAAGTTCCTTCCTTGTCACTACTTCGATTTTATTTGCGGGTCTAGCACAGGGAGGTTGGTTCTTTTCTAGTCACACAACGATGATAGTGTACTGACGAACGCAGTTTGATTGCAATAATGCTTTCACGTTTTCGCATGACGGTCAAAGATTGTTTGTGCGAGTATGAAAATATGAGTAATCAAATCTTCGGGAGGCCACGGTTGCTTTCCCAGCGGAACGCTCTTATCCCCGGATGGACAAAATACAGCGCTTCAAGAATGGAAAAGGCTTTCAAGAAAGTGACCACACGGCGATGCAACCAAGCCGACAGGAACGAGCTGGACTCTGAACGGGGTAATGAACCAGGATTCAAAACCATCAAGGGCACTTGTTCAATGTAGGTACTTCCGTCCAAGCGAAATTCGTTTTTCCAATGGTTTTACAGGTTTGCAACAACTATACGCGTGCGTAGAACAAAAGGCGGCTCAGGTAGCGAAAGATCCCTCTACCTCCTTAGGTCATACGATCACCAGAATACCTCCGATAAGACTCTAGAAGAGACGTATCCAATCCTGAATTTCGATCTCGCTGAATCGATGTCCATATGGCAGGTCGCTCGAGCAGCAACAGCCGCACCATTCTACTTCAAAGAGTTAGTCTTTCGCCCAAACGGTGAAAATTCGAGAGTTTCATATTCAGATGGTGGATTCGGACAGACTAACAACCCCACGGAAGTTGCAATTGAAGAGATCAATCTGCTTCATAGAGAAGGTAATCTCGGAGTCATACTGAGCATCGGAACGGCGAAAGCCGATAATAAAAGGGGAGGTAGTGGTGCCCGTGCTCACATAGAGCAAGCGTTCGAGACTGCTACAAACCCAAAGGTCGTACATCACAATGTTGCCAAACGGAGGTACCCTCATTATTGGCGATTGAACGATGAGAGCGGTCTTTATATATCACTCGATGACTGGAGACCCAGTTACTTCACCCGCCAGCCCGGCCATCGTACGATAAGTGTGATTAGGGAAAGATTCTCGGAATGGATGCAAAGGGCAGACGTGGTCCGCATGCTCGACACGTGTGCAGCGGAGCTCGTGAGCCGCCGAAGAAAACGGGCACAGCATGAACATCTCTGGGAACGGTTTGCGACCGGTATATCTCAGTTCCAATGTCGAAATCGAGAATGTAGCCAAAACGACGACTATTTTGCACATCGTGGGACGTTCGATAAGCACTGGGAGAACGAGCATAGCCAAAGCGAGGACGCTGAGAAGCTTAGAGAGCCTATGGTCACGCTATGGGAGTATCAAGCAAGACCCTGAAGACACCGCACGGGTTACATATGAGCGTTCAATGGGCACAGATGGTAATTCGCAATGTGCCTTTGGGGTATAAACATGTACATTATCTCTTTCCGGGTGACTCTTGTCATAGATCTCGTACCATGTAAGCCAAGCGTTACACATTTATGGTTCTTTAGCATACATAGTAATACATGTAACAAGATCAAGAGCTGAAGGCGTTGCGCTCTAGCAATGATACTGCGAGGCGAGCGCACCCTGTCGAAAACCACTTTGTCACCTTGCCCTTTATTGAGTCTCACATTGGTGGCCTCTGACCTTCTACTAAGTGATACAATTCCCAAACTCTGCGTTGAAACCTAAGGCAATTCACGCTTCAGGCGTTTCGTATTTGCGCGCAAATCGTATAGCCTACGTAGACTCTTATGATTCGAAGAAACCTGACAGTGCCTGGCCAAAATTCACAGACCGACCTCGGGCGGTGCAGGAGGAGGCTACAAGGCTGGAGCTCGACTTGGCCAATCATGGCGCAAAACCTGATGATTGTACAAGCCTCGACTCAGCCCCCTAGGCTCTCAGCCTCATAGCTTCCGAGGTCCGTCATGACCAGCACGTTCATGACACGTTCACTATCATGTCAGGTGTGGCTGCCAACACGTCCACTACGTTTGTAACGCTACAGCCTCTAATATCCGTTGATTCCAATTCCGCCGCGCCATCCCTGCGCTGCCTCAAAGCGGCGATGCAGGTGCTACGCACTTTCCAGCATTTTGGCAAGGTAAGTTGCAGAACGCTGAATATCATGAACAACAATGACACAAATTTAGCAAATCATACCATCCCTGACAACTCTTCTCGTCCATATCGCAACCATACCATACTACCGCCTCTACCAGTTCAACACCCGCTCCCCAATGCGCAACATCGCAAAACTCGCCTCCGAAGCTCCACCGGACGATGCCAAACTCCTCCACGCGCTCCTCTCCTGGCGCTCCCGAAAAATCACTGAATTTCAATTCACCACCATATCTGTAGGTCATCCGTTCTCGCACTAGCAGCCTTTCAACTTATAACCTGACCCCCAGTGCACCGTCCTAGCCGCCGCCGTAATCGGCGCCTTCTCCTGGACCACCGTCGAAGAAGCACACTGGCTCACCCACGGACTGTGGCACTCAAGTCTGATCCTAGCCGTGCTAGGAATCCTGCTCTCAGCCTCAGGAGTCACCGTGTTGTATATCCTCGGTCCGACACAGACGACCATCAAGCCGTACCGCTCCCGACTCATTCTGCAGAGATACAACCCTTTACTCTTGTCGAGAAGTAATGACTCGTCACAGCTTTTCGTCCCGCGACGGAAAATGATGTTCACATGGCAGGGCCCGCTCATGTTCATGTCGTACTCTGTGTGCACGTTTCTGGGCGGTCTAACGATACTAGTATGCACACCGCTGATCCGGTACCAGCATGGCGACAACTGGAATTCTGGACACAACGTACGCTCCGGCCTCTCACCTTTTCACTTTTCCAAGATCTAACGACCATCAGATAGCGGTTGTCTACTTAGTTGTTATGACATTGGCTGGCGCGCTGTTCGTCTTCTGCTCGTTTTGGATTTATCATTACGTTAGCCCAGGAGTGGACGGTGAGGACCACTTCGCTGAGAACAGGCTATGGAATGAGGAGGATGGAAATGAGATAAATTTGAGGGAGTTGAGCGGTCGGGGTTTACTTACGCCCATTGGTGAAGGTAGACCGGCGACGATGCATTATCGCCCGCGGGCCGCCCAGGAAGAAGAGTCGAAAGGTGGGCAGCGAGAATGAGGCATGAATGACCAAAAGATGGCGAATCCATACCTTAGGTTGTTGATCTTAAGAATGGCCCTGTTACACTACGTGGCAGTACGGACAGTAACACGAATATCTTTCCGTAGATCTATTTACACATCGTACAGCACATGTCTAATACAAGGTCTTCCGCATATATACACAAGTAAAAGTAGTATAGATACAGACATTAACTCAGCCATCGTACATATCTTACACGAGATACTGCATCTGCAACTTATCTCCCGTCCTCGGCATCGTCTCAATAGCCCTAACTGTATCGGGCGCAATTTGCTCCACCACCTCTCTCACCCAGCCACCCATGTCGGGATTGAATCCTATGCCGTTCGACTCGTCTCTTCGCACCTTCGCGTACGTGGCCGCTAGAACCACCAGTGTCTTGTAACGCGGTAGTACGCTGCCTCTCTTCATGTCAAAATGCCGGAGCTCCATGAAGGAGTAGCCGGGTTGGAACTTGCGGATCAACATGGGGTGCAGGAACGCCCAACCCGGGAACTGCGGCATGAGGTACATCTCGCAGGCGGAGAAGGCATCGATGACGCGGTTGCGGGTCGCGAGGTGCTGGATTAGTTCGTTCCAGGTGAGGTTGTCGACGATGAAGCCGTTAGAAAGCAAGCTGTTGATTGTGCGCTGCGCTTTCTGCAGTGCCTCGGGCGTGTCTTGTTGCATCAGCGAACGAATATAGACCCGCGCAGCACGGAACAAGACCTGACGCCGGTTCATCGCAATCCGTGACGCGTTGAAGCGCTCCAGAACGGCGGGATCGGTGATGGCGTCGAATGTTGGAGTTGGTGGCTCGGGGGACATGACCTGGCTAAAAGTCTTGGCGAGGCGGCTGGCTTCTCGGAAGACAAGCTCCCAGCATCGCTCAATTTCCTCATGTTCGCCGGCCCTGTAGTGGGTTTCCATGATGGTGGAAAGAAGGATGATGGGGGCGGAGTAGTTTTGGTCATCGATTGGCACTTTAGATGCCTTTTCGATAAGCTCCTTGGCTACCTCGAGCGCACCGCGGGTAGTGTATAGCAAAATGAGAACGGAAAAGTAGCTTTGGGGAACATTACTCAGTTCGGGCGAATCGATGTAGCGTTTATGTGAAGGTTCATCGTTGGCGATTTCGTGGCCGTAGTCGGACAAGAGGCTTTGCCTCAATTCCTCTTCCACACCGACCAGGCGGGCTTTGGAATCTTTCACATTCTCAGCTCTTAGCTTCAAAAGTTCCTCCGTTCCCTTAAAGAGCAATCCCATCTGCCGTAAACTTGGCGTTTGGTGGAGTCGCACGTGCTTCATCCGTTCATACACGGCTTTGGCTCGCTGAGGTTGACCCTCCCGTAGGAACCCACTTATGCAAATAGCGTAGTGGAAAGCATAGACACGCATATTCTCATTCGGCATTGTGTTTCTCAGGATCTTGAAAGCGCCATTCGTCTGCCTCGCTTCGATGAATGCGCGCATGAGGGCTCCGTAGGTCCAGGAATCCAGAGGTATGTCGAAATCCTTCATCTCTTGGTAGAGGCGTCGAGCGTCAGTCAGTCCTCCGCCTAAAGCATGGTGGGTAATGAGCATGTTCCACACGTGAGTGATTTCAACGTCGCCAAGGGTGCCAGCTTTCCAACTTCTAAGTATGCCCAAGGCGACCTGTTCAGCACCGTCTATGTCGCCAGCATTTAGAAACGCTTGAACATATCCTGATCTCGCCCGTCTGTCGGTCTCAAGAGGGACGTCGAGCTGTTTCGCTCTGGAGAACAGTGCTTCAAACGCTTCAATGTCTCCTCTGGCAGCGCACAGATCTAGCATGGGGCCAAAAGTGAAGACATCAGGCTTCGCTCCTGACTCTAGACAATTATTGAAGCATTCCAGAGCCCCATCGAGATCATCTGCACGAGTGAACGCAAGTAACAAGGCGTTCCAACTTGCCGTGTTGGGCACCAAGTTGAACTCGTCGGTGATGCGTTTGAATTGTGCGATTGCGCCGGGCACATCAATTCGCCGAGCGTAAGCGTATGGTAAGGAGGTAAGAATGTGTAGATCAACTGCAGATGGGAATCGCATCCGGAGAATGTCGAAACACTCGTGAACTCGATCGACCAATCCACCTCGAGCATATAAATGTATGAGGCTGTATAATACTGCGACATTGAACGGCTCACGTGCATGGAATGATTTTAGGTCTTCTACCATGGCGTCGACCCGGTCGTAGCTAAGATGTCTAGCATGCTGAATAATGAGCGTATGCATCACGGAACGCGACGGTCGACGGCAGTGACCGTCTAGAGCGTGCTGGCGCCAAGTCGTGTACAAATCGAGGAATATCTTCCGTTTGCGTGTGTACCCTTGGTAACGGGGTATTTGCAAAAATGCCGGGATAATATACTCGTAAAGTGGTCCCATGGGAAGATTGAGAGCGTGAAGGTCCTTGAACAGGCCGGTGAAGAAGTTATAGATATATTCTTCGTCCGGTTCTGGCATGTTGACCACTTCCCACATGACGCCAGGCACGTAACCATGAACGAACAGTTGCAGGGCTTCTGTATTTTCCGTGGTGGAGTTGAGTTCGTGTTGGAACTGGTTAACGTAGCTGAAGAAGTTGCGTAGATGCTCCCTTGGCTCCAAAACATCCTGAGCCTGGCCAAATAATGGACCCCAGTTGTCCCAGTGTTTCTGACCGTGGGCCGCCGTTTTGTGCCATTCGCTGACTTTAATGTTGTTGCGCTCTGCCCATCTCAGAAACCCCTTGAAGACACGGAGACTGAGATCCCACTGGTCGTCCTGAATTGTTTTCTTCAGCACTACATCGATGCCAGCACGTGTCGGATCGAATCGCTCGGAAGCTTCCTCCAAATGCTGTATCGCAGGTCCAATCATTTTGAGAGCCACATACGCATTCACGGCCAAGCGATACGATGATGCGCGCCGATGTTCCGGGGGAATGCGTTCGAACAATTGCAGTATCCGGTTTGCGGTGCGGGAACAGATGTTGTTGTCCAGATAGTCGAGGAGATCGCAGATGAAGTCAGTAGAGAAAGAGGTATCGACCGATGCGGAATATAACTGCCAGGCCAACTCTTGCTTATCAGCTTCTTTCGACCAAAGAAGCTTCCGGAGTGCCTCGTCAGGAGCACTCTCTAGTAGGAGCTCTTGCATCTCCTCTTTGGCTTGCAATGTTTCCAGATCGTCCACAGGCTCTTCGCTCGATGGTTGCCACTGAGAAGTGGAATACTGTCGCGTTCCAGCACCCAACATGCCCCTCCTGCGTATCTCAGCCGCGTCGGGTCCATATGAAGACAGTCTCCGTATGAAAGCGAGTGTCTTCTCGGGGTATAGAAACTCGAGAAGCGGCCCCTCGTAGGACCTTGTTGTCGGTCTGCTCCGTCCGGAATCGTCAACGTCACCGGCGGTGTGATCTGGGACTGTCGAAGCGGCCCACCATGAGGGTAACGCCAGGTCGCTCGCACCGTGGTGCCAGAAGGAGGAGTGGAGCATGCGCCGGGTCCGCAGGCACGGTTTGGGAGCTCGGAGGAGCTGTCGGCCGCCGGATTCGAGGCATGTCGAAGCCCGCTCAAGCATCACCCGCCGCGTCAGGAGCGCAGCAGATGACGCCGCTAGGATTGCTGGGGTCTGTGGCGATGTGCGCGCGCGATGGTTGCGGACGAGGGCTGGGAAGAGCTCGAGACACGGGAGAGGCGATCGCAGCTTCGCATGCCTTGTGTGGGTGGCAACAGTGAAAGGGGGCCAATTGGAAAGGCACAAACTCCGGAAATGCACAGTGCAAGGAAAGACAGTATTATACAGGCGCGAAGCGGCGGCCAAAGAGAGAACACGGGCAGGAAAGGCGATGGCGTTGTGAAGGTGCATGGAACTTTTTCGACCACGGATCACGAGATGACTAGACGGGCTAGCGCAGGCCCACGCTGCTACACACGGTGCCCCTCCACATGCCACCATTGAACAATACGCCGCCATGGACATCACCAAATTCGTCGCCGACCACCGGGAGGCTGCCTTCCTGGTGGGCGACTACAGCTCCTACCGGGCTCAGCTGTCGCGCCGGCTGCGCATTGTGCGCAAGAAGCTAGGTCGCGCGACCGCCAAAAATGCGAAATACACGGGGAAGGCGCCCGTGACGGCAGAGGAAGTGGGCAAGAACGTAGAGTATGAGCGCACGCCGTACATGTATATCATCAGCTGCTGACGCCACCAGGTTCCTCCATCTGCAGCTCCTTACTTCGGAGCGGGCTTGGGCCCATGCCATGTCCATGAAGACTTCCCACTCCGAAGACAACGCAGACCAGAACATCAGCGGCTCCACACGGCAGCACATCATCTCGCGACTGAGCAAGGCATTACGTTACGCAAACGACACGGTGAAGCTGCTGGAAGACCGCGCGGCCAGCGGAGCATCTGACATCGACGTGCTGGAGGCTCGCGCATATGCATATGCCCTGGCTGGAGCGCAAGAGTTTGAGAAGCAGGCTGAGGGCATCAGGGCCAAGGATGCCGCAGCGAAGCGCTGGATACCGTGTCTGGCCAACTTCTCTGCCGCCCGTGTGATATACAGCTCTCTCTTCAAGGCAACGAAGAAGGATCTATTCAAGGAAGTGCTTGTCGGAACAACAGACCCCAGTATACGCTATGCTGCATATCAGCACCGGATACCCCGCACCGTTGGTGTGCCCTCGGTCGCGAAGAAGTTCTTCCCCAAAGAGGACGCGGATCTCGTCAAGGCAGTAGAGAAGCTGGACCCTGCAGCGTTGCAGGATGAGGAAACCACAGCTTCGGGTGCGCACAGCTGATCAATGCCCTTTTCTTCGCTGACACTCACTGCAGGTTCCACAATTACATGGCGGGGTCGGACAGCAAACATAGTTGATGCCGCGATTGGGCAAGCGCTTGTGTCACTCGAGTCTGCGACTTCGAAGCTGGCTGAGAGCCTTCCCGCATCACCTTCGACCAAAGATAGGGCCAACGCCTACGACGATGTCGCAATATATACCCAAGATGCAGCCGACGCCACACGAAGAGCGATCGAGGAGCTAGAGAAAGAAGGCGTCGATGAAGGTGACTCGCGGATGCAGGATCTACGTGTCACAAGCCTCGCGGTCAACTACGACCTCATTGCATGGCGCGTTGGTCGCTACCGTGTTCTGATCGGCACAGATGATGGGCTCACCTTCCCTCCCAACTCTCCGCAGAAACCAAAACGGGCGCGCAAGGATGGCAAAGAATGGGTGGAACGAGAGGAGCCAACCGGCCGGAAACTGGCGAGGCTCCGAGAGCGAGTTGCGTTGTACGATGCAATCCTCCAGAGCATAGACTCGGTCAAGGATTTGAAAGGTGCTACGCGCGATGCTGGCTTTGTGGCTGAGCTGGACGGTCAAAGAGCTTACTACCAAGCTTTGAAATGTCTGAACCTCTCACACTCCCATGCATTTCTCTCCGCCCCGAGACAGGCGCTTGCGCTCTGCAACCGCGCCTTGTCGCTTGCGTCCCAAGCGGTCAGCTCCCCGAAGCCCACGGCGTCATCGTCAGACGCACCGAAACTCACTGTCTCTGATAGCCAGGCGCAGACGCTCCAGCAGAATCTTGAAAATCTTACGCTACACTACCGTGGTCTAGTGGCTCTTTCGCAGCTGTCCTCTAATTCGGACATTGCTTCAAAAGCAAACCTCACCAACGCCGCACCTGTTGTTGAGAGGCTGAACGAGTACCCAACTTCTGGCAGTGTTGATCTAAAGAACCTGGTTACCTGGCCGCCCAAGCTCAAGCCGGTGCCTGTGAAACCACTATTCTTGGATGTGGCGTGGAACTACGTCGAGTACCCCGGGCAGCAGAAGAAGGCCCAGGAGCCGCCCGGAGAGAAACCACAAGCAGAGACAGTGCAGGCAGAGGAGGCGAAGCCAGCGAAAAAGGGTTGGTTCTCATTTGGGCGGTAGTCGAGGTACACGTAGGCACGCCGCAGGGGCTGTTGAGAGTCAAATCTCGTGACCCCGGACGGTTTTTATTGGAAATCTACGCCCGCTTTGGTGAGCCTGCGCGGGGCACTGTAGCCAAAATAAAGTTGTTCAAGACGAGGATACCGCTTGCAGACATCGATCCTCTCTACATTGTGCAATAGTTTTCTGCGTTGCCTTTATTCGCCCACAACAGCTCGTATGAGCATCGACAGATGGCATCGACATGCAGCTCATTGGACACGACGCGTGACGCACGGGCATCAAGTCGCGGAATGATAGCCGTTGCTTGTTGTGGGGTTGGCCTAGCGCGCAGAATTGTTTGCGTGCCCCTGAACGATCGGATAAGCGCCGAACCTATGCGGGCACCTACTTTACGAAGATGGAGCTAGGAACCTGTCTCATTGAAACGACGAACCGCCGTCAGCCCTGAGGCACGGGAGTTATATCAGGCTGATGGTTCAGCTGCACTGCGAGGCTCGGAGTGGTTCTGTTTCAATGGGTGGCCGCCGCTGCGGCGGAAGCTTGTACCAAAGAAGGAAGCCTGGGTGTACGCGCATGGATTGACGGGGATCGCGGTCGCGGCGATCTCTGCACAACAAACGTAAAACGGGCAGTCTCGAAGAAGACTGGAGGCGCTACACGGTCTTGTGAGGTCATGCAGGTCACCAAATTAGTTCTAATTACGATGGGGTGGGTGCGCGATAGTGCCTATCGATTCTGATTAACACCCCTAGCATACGGGCTTTGACCCCTTAAGCTTATCCCGCGAACGCGAAGAAATGCACCCTGTCCCTCACTTCTGCTTTGTTGCTTGAGTCCTACACGTTCGTTTGAAAGCCTGCTCGCTCGAGCACCTGTCGTTCTTTATTCACGCTCACTTGGTCCTTTCCAGTCGCTCCTTCTCTGCTTTGCCCGCGACGTGTTTACCCAGCGTGTCTGTACAGAGACCTTTGCACTCCCAGACCCGCACGCCTTCGACCTTCGGTATCTCCGCGAGAGACGTCCAGCGTTTCTCGCTTTAATACACCACGGCCTCCGCAACGCTGGCTACATCAGTGCTCCCGCGGCCCCAGGCCAGCGAGACGTTCCGCCGACCCTCGATCCTGCAGGCATTCGACCTGCCCGCCTTCAAGACGGCGCCCACGTTCGACGACAAGCCCTCTCTGCCGTCGATCGGCCATGAGATCTCGCGCCCCTCTTCAACGTCGACGGTAGCCTCCTTCTCCACGAGCCAGCGGCACGGCAGCCACGCCTCGGTCCAGCTGCCCGCCCTTTCCACCCTCGCATCGGCAGCCGCACCCAGCCCCGCAACCGGCAAAGACAGTAATGACTATAATGATAATACCATGATGAGTGCACGCACACCGCCGATTACTGTGTCGCCTCCGCAAAGGTGCGTGCAATTGATGCCGTGAGCGGGTCGACGTTGGCAAGCACCTTGCTCGAGCTTGGAGCTGCCCGCCAGTAGCGCCTTCCCGTCTTATCGGCCTTGGCGCCGCCTCGAACTTTTCATTTCGACATCTCGCTGACCGCTGTGCAGACTCCCTGGCCACAGCATGACCTACGCAACCGCCGCGCCCGCCACCGCTGGTGGAAATGCAAACTCGCCGGTACGTAAGCACTCCTTGCTGCTGTTGTGGAGGCCGTGCCCCTCGCAACGTGTGCTCACGCAGATGTTGTTTGTCTTATCACCTTATCGCAATCGATAATGCCTGACCAACATCGAACTGACCTCTCCCAGCCTGTCTGCCAGAACTGCACGACGAGCACCACACCGCTCTGGCGACGCGATGAGTCCGGTTCCGTGCTGTGCAATGCCTGCGGCCTCTTCTTGAAGCTGCACGGTCGTCCGCGGCCCATCTCCCTCAAGACCGATGTTATCAAAAGTCGAAACAGGGTCAAGACGGGCGGGCCTGGCGCTCGCAAGAAGGTACGTAGCTTCCCATATACTCACTATAAATACTGATTTTCCATCCAGCCTGGTGAGATGAACGGTCTCCCTGCCGCGCACCCCGACGCCGATGCCTTCCAGGGTCTCGCGCAGCACCGTCGTGCATCCGGCAAGATCTCCTCGGGCATGTCCGATCGATCACATTCGCCAATCTCGCGCACTGGCACTCCCGGCTTCCCCCACCCATCCAACATCGCTCCCCAGCACATGTTTGACGGTGCTCTACATGGCGATTTCCACTCGCCTTCTTTGCCCAACTTTGGCTTCCGGCAACCCTCTCCCGGTGCCATGTCCCTGTCGAACGGCTCTCATATGGAAGCTCCACCGCCATATGACACGCTAGCAGCGCAAAATACTGCCCTGAAGACGCGCGTATCCGAACTGGAACTCGTTAACGACCTGTTCCGGGGGCGTGTCACTGAATTGGAGTCAAGCGAGCAAGCTGCACGAGAACGGGAGTCGCAGATAAGGACCGAGCTGGAGGAGGCCAAGCAGCGGGAAGCGGACCTGAAAAGGCGGTTGGACGAGCTAGAAGGCGAGGGTGCTGAGGGCCCGCGGCACAAGAAAATGCGTCTTAGCGACCTTGTTGACGAGAGCCGTGCCGGCTCTCCGATCAGCTCTCTGACGGAGTGACATCCGCCAATGGCTCGGTCCGCTTATTCGTAACTTTAACGACATATTATGCACGCTCCTTTGGGATTGCCATTGCTGCTCTCCGGGCCCAGAGCCTGGTTTTGCTACTTTCCCAACGAAAGCAGGAACTCCTGGGGCTCATCGGACCCACATCACCTTCTCCTACTCTGTTAAAGAGCTGTGCGTCGACGCTCAAATGCTCGCCTTAGGTCGTCCTGACCACTTAATGTTTTCAATACCACTGTCGAGCCGGGTCATGGCTCTTGTACTCTAATACCTCTCTTCGTTTCAGTCTTGTGTTCAGTCTCAGGGGGTCCTGCGACTGTGGGTGTGTGGTTGCTCTGGTAGATGTATGGATGGTTAACGTTGGATGGGCTGCTAAGTTTCCATACGAGGCATGAGATTGCTTCCAAAAGTTTAAATGGGATAGCGAATGGGATACGCCGTAACGTCGGTTCTGAGCTTTGCTTTTCGGTGCTTGCATCCTGCGTGTTTACAGATTCCATTCTCACTTACACACAAGCAGTGCAGTGTCCCAAACACCGGGAGCCCAGGCTATATCTGACGCCACCGATCCAACAATGGATTTAACCGTAGTTCTGGGACGAACATCACACGCACGTGGAGACTAGATTTGGAAAGCAGTCGGGGTCTTGGTCTACACTCGCTTGCGGTGCATACGAATAAAGTGGGGAGCAGGCGACTAGCGATTGGTGCGAATATAGTGCTGGAGGATGGAGACCCTAGCTAGGCTGGGCTGGATGTCAGCCATGGCTGCCTCTGGGAATGGAACGCCGGGACGAGGATGCGGTGGGACGTGTATAAGAGAAGAAGACGACGACGGGTATCAAGACCTTCAAGAGTGAGCACCGCAAAGGTTGTTAAATGAGAATGAGGGTCTTTGAATTTCTTGCTGTGGGAGCGGCGTTGGGCCTTGCGAGCAAGGTGGAAAGAGTGGTGGATCTGGGATATGCTAAGTACAAAGGGAGGAGTGTGGGTGATGGGACGACGCAGTGGCTGGGTATGCGGTATGCGGCGCCGCCGCTGGGTGAGCTGCGGTTCAGGGCGCCCGTGGATCCCCTTCCCTCCAAGCCGAATACCATCCAGGATGCGTCGAAGGTGAGTTTACTTTCTCCTTTCCTTCCTTCCAAAGCAGTCTTCTTCTTCATGCCTCCCCTCCCTCCCTCGAGGTGATCTATCTGCTGACGAAACACATGTGTAGTTTGGCAATATTTGCCTTGCCCAGAGCCCGGATGACTGGACGTATAAGCCCACTAAGAGGTTCACCGTCGGCGAGGATTGTCTTTTCGTGAATGTTTTTGCGCCGGAGGGAAAGAAGAAGGGACTGCCGGTGATGTTTTTCATCCAGGGCGGCGGGTTTACGAGTAATTCGAATGCGAATGCTAATGGTAAGTTTTACCTCAGATTCTTGGTAAGATGAAGGAAAAAGAAGATCTAACGGGTGAACAGGAAGCGACCTTGCGAGGATTGGTGACATGGTTGTCGTGTCGATCAACTATCGGGTTGGACCGTATGGGTTTTTAATGGGTGATGAGGTGGTGAATGGGGGTGGGTCGACGAACAATGGGATCAGGGATCAGCTCAAGGCGTTGGAGTGGACGAAGAAGCATGTTAGCAAGGTAAGCCAGCGCCATATGAGTTTCTTAACATGACTGCTGATGAGACCAAGTTTGGCGGTGATCCGAATCACATCATTCTGAATGGCGCCTCTGCGGGTGCTACGTCGATTGTGATTTTGATGGGTTCGCCTTCCGTAAAGGGTAGGAAGTTATTCAAGGGCGTCATCGCGGAATCGACAGCTCTGGTTCAGTTGAAGACGCTCGAGGAAGGTCAGGTGCAATATGATTGTCTGGCAAAGGCGGCCGGGTGCTCGGGGAACTCTTCCCTTGAGTGCCTGAGGAAAGCAAACACGACCGCATTATTAACAAAAGCCTGCAAGTATGTCGCCGTTCGTAAAATTCCTAGACCTAGTGTTGACACTTCGCAAGCTTCTCCCCATCTTCCGACAAGGATATCCTTCCCTCCCCTCTCCTCATGAACGCCGCCTACGCCGACACCCTTCGCAACACCCCTTCAATCTTCGGCACCACTGCAGACGAAGGCACAGACTTTGCCCCCAACACCACGAACTCCACCGCCGAATTCCGCGGCATCTTGGCCTACATCGCGCCCTTCCTCTCCTCCTCCGCGCTTGACGGCCTCGTCGAAATGTACGCCTCAGGCCCCCAGCCAGCCTTCCCAAACGTAGGTAATTACTGGCGCGCAACCAGCAACGCTTATGGCGACATCGCATTCAAGTGCCCTACGCGCGCCTACGCTGGCCAATCGTCGTGGGTGTATGACTGGGTTGTCCCCGATCCAGAGGACGAAGCGAGCGGCAGCGGGGCATATCACACTGTCGAAAAACACGCGATATGGGGTCCTAACAACACGGACGGGAATCCGCCGAAGTCATATCGACCTGGTGGTGTGAATGCGGGTGTTGTGCCGCTGATGCAGGGGTATGTGACGAGTTTCGTGAGGTGGTTGGATCCGAACGTTGGGAGGGCGGAGGGGGCGCCGAGGTGGGAGAAGGCGAAGGATGGGAAAACGTTGAGGATTGGGGGTGTAAGTGGGTCGGGGATGGGGAGTTTGGAGGAGGTTGAGGGGAAGGGCTTTGCGGAGAGATGTAAGAGGTTGCGGCCGGTGCTTGGGGCGTTGGAGGTTACGCCGCCGGCGGGGACGAAGGTTGATCTGGCGGAGGGCTGAGTGGTGCATTCGGGATCATTTGGGCGCTGCTAAGTACACATGAGCGCAACTCAATGTTGCGGAAATGGTTCGCCAACGTGCAATTCAGTGACGATCATTTAAAGAGCAAATGACATTAAGAAGTAATAGTGAAACGTGGATAGAAATCAAGCACAGTACTCTTCTTAACTACGCACAACATACTATACCCAGACCATCGGAAAAGATCGAGAACGACAATCTAGTATATAGGCATGTCGTCCTCATCATCATCAGATAAACCCTCGGGTAGCAGACTTGTTGGTCTTAAGAAGTCGCTATACGGATCCAACGGTCCTTCATCGATATCCTGGGACACTTGATTTTGGTCGTGCTCATTCGACGTCACTTCAACGCTATTCTGAGATTCTTGAGTTTCTTTAAGTTCCATCCTAGTTTTCGCCCCCAGGCTGCGGAGAATTTCGACAATTTCCGTAGCGTTTTGCCGAATAGCAATATCAAGAGCCGTAGTCTCCCTGTGCCTTCCAGTGGGAGCATTAAAATTGATCTTCGATCTTCCTTCATGCTTGAGAAGTAGCCAGATGATGTCGAGGTTTCCACGCCACACAGCGGCTGTTAAAGCTGTGTCAAAAGAACGCCAACTTTCTTGATTTACGTCGATTCGGGGACAGTCAAGTAGCATCTTCACCATCTCAATACTACCATTTTCCGTGGCCGTGACTAAAGGGTGATTCCTGTTGGGGTCGATCCGTTCTTTCGAAAGTAATAGTTCCAGCGCTCGGGGATGCCCCCCTCTAACGGCTTCGTACACAGAACTTTCACCTGACGAAAAACTGGAATGTCCTAAGAGTAACAGCAAAGAATCAGAGTCGCCGTTTGCTGCCGCGATCTCTATTGGCGTGAAGCCATATTCACCATAGTTGACATCGATGGCAGGGACATCCATGAGTCGTTTCGTGATTGTCCTGTGACCTAAAGCGATTGCCCAGCTGAGGGGAGCCAAACATGTATCATCCAAAGTGTATGTCGCAGCAAGGACATCTTTTTGGAGCAGATCAATAATCTTGTATTCGTGGCCTCGCGCGATTGCTCGGACAAGTGAGTTTACCGCATCATTGTTCTGAACTCTGCTATCTTCGATAAGCACCTGCCCTGTTTGGTATTGTCGATAACACGCGGATGCTATAATTTCGTGCATGGGCCATGGAATACCTCCAAAGAACTTAATACTGTCATGGGATAGTAGAATTCTGACTGCGACCTCTTGTCCCCGACGTACCGCAATGTCTAAAGGGGTATCATGGTGATTGAATTTACGTGTAATAGGCCATGCGTTTACGTCAATCCCAGGATACGCAAGCAGCAGTTGTAAGATCTCCGCTATTCCGAGCTTTGCCGCATAATGTAATACTGCTCTTCCAGACCGATCGCTTGCGTTGATATTGAGTCCTCTATGGACAAGGAGATGACGCAGGACCGCTACACTTTTTCTGTTAACAGCCACGTGCAGTAGTGGTTCGTCGCCTTGGTCGATGACTTGTCTGCCATAATGCTCGATGAAAGCCGCGATCGCATGAAGGTTCTCCGATTGTACGAGATAGGAGCCTAGAAGTGTGGCTGGAGGCCTACTGATTTCCCGTGACAAGAGGACGCTCATGTTCTCCCAGTTTCCAGCCCGTGCAGCTTCTTGTAACGGTGTCCGGCCCATTTTGTTGCACTCGTTTGGTCTTACGCCCATCGAGAGAAGGTATCGAATAGCCCCAGAGCTTGTGGCTGTAGCCGCAGCATGTAATGCATTGGATCCATCTGCAGCGATCGTAAACAGGTCCACACCAACCTCATGCAGCTGTTCCAGCAATGCAATATTACCAGCCGCTGCTGCATCGAAGATTGAGATGGAGTACCTTTCAAGTGCAAAACTGGCGGCAGTGGCATCTGGCTTGTCGGGGTAATGCCTTACAGTATTTCTGAGTTCAGAGGGAGGATTTGAAGCAAATTGGTGCTTTCTGCGTATGTGCTGGGCTAGATTGTCCTTGCGCGTTGCTTCGAAGTCACACTCTGCAACTGTACAAGAATACATCTGCTGTGCAACACGATGACGCAACCTTTCGTGGCGGCGAAGATCTGTTCGTAGCCCGAAACCTTTTTGGCATTGGTTGCATCGGTGTGGCTTTGAGTGTGTGTTCTGATGTTGACTTGGGTCTATGTTAGTATCGGCAATGTCCACTACTACAGTGACCCTTACTTGTACAACTGCAATTTCCTGAACTGCTTCGAACAAGATTGACATTGGAACAACTCCATGGGATGTCCGCAAGTGGGTTCAGTCCGTATCGGATTGCTGCAACCGCGGCCGCGTTGAGAATTGTGAAGCCTAGTTACGAGGTACTTTTGGCATCCGCCGACAGTGTATATCGACTAAATAGCTGACTGTCTGTATAAGTATATAGATTTTCTGCGGCGGATCAGCCTTCAGCCTTGGTTTAATGACTAGTTGCATACCCGGAGCTTCCAATCAATGGACACAGGGCACCGAATCGCTAAACTATTGGCGGATTCATCGTGCAGCACGGAAGCACTGGCATCCGTTGACGGCGGAAAAGATGGCATCGATCATAAGGGACCTCGTATCCGCTGAATTCACACTTTGTCTTCGTTCGAGAGGCAATCACACTTCACACACGTTACTGTTTCCACACCCACAAGCGTCTACGCTCTTGACAAAAGGTTTCGACGGGCAACACACACGATCGTCAACGGCCCAGTTCCAAGATACCAGCAACTGAATTACCAAAACTCCGATACAATTTAATTCAGGTCGTCCAAATGTCGTTTGCGGAATCCGATTCTGTTCCTCGCGAGGCTGATGAGTGAGTTTTTTTTTTTTTAACATCATGCAGTTATGCCTTTTTCCGCATCCCCAGAAGCGCAGATACCAGAAAAGCTCAGCCGCATGTCGCTCAGCAATGCTGCTACAACCTTGCCATTCCATTCTTAGCGATACCGGATGCTGGGGTACAAGTTGAACAAGTTGTATTTCACAACGCCCTTCCCCTCCGCGGATCCCCCAGTCTTCATCAGCCCTATTCGGGTCAAGGTTTCCATCCTGTCTCCGTACCAGAATTCGTCGCTGCAGGCACCCAAAGCAGCTACCCTCAAGGCGCCCTTCTTCATGGAACGGCTACATCCTTCGGAAGCAACCCACTCAACTTTGGTGCAGCAGATGTACCCTTTGGAAGTGTCCAATCCTACGCCAACCAACCCGTTGATACCTCGTTCGATGGTACTGCATTTGGCCTTCCGCCTGGTTATGGCGAAGCTTACACTGCTGGACATCCAAACTGGATGAATAACTTCCAGATGCCTTGCACGCCTGGCGTCGATGTGCAGCCTGTGGCAAATGCCTTCGAAGTCACGCCACACGAGCATGGGTACAACTCGAGTGCACAGCTAGGATACGACTTGGAGGAGCTGGAGATGACGAGTCCTCCTAGCCACGCGAGTGTGCAGACTTTGAGACCGCTTGCCCCGCATCACCCATGGGCCGAAGCTGCTACTCGCACCATTGGGACAGCTGCCCAGCCGCGCAGCCAGCGCCGATCAGTCCACGATTGCGACGTCCCCGGGTGCAGTGCGACCTTCAGACGCCCAGCTGAGTTCCGTCGCCATAAGCGCACCGTGCACATGCGGCATGAGGCCCAGGAATTCGAGTGTATCGTCAAGTCTTGCAACTATACGTATCCTCGTCTCGACAAGGTGCGTGAACACATGAAGAGAATGCATGGTATATGTCTTCGCGTGGAGAAGCCCTAGAACTTCCTGGTAGTGTTTGGTTTGCCCTCATTGTCGCGTCTTTCATCTCCTTGCGTCAGTCTTTACAGGTGGTCTTCCGAGACGTCCACTCCTTAGGTAGTTGGTAATTTACTGTGTTTTCCTAGCTTCCGTGCGTCCAAACTCACCAACGCCTCCCGAAACATGTCGAAGTCTACGATGGCCATCGTCCACGTCACCCAGTGGCGCTCGCTTTGCGGGCATCAGGCTGAGATTCTGCGTTGACCGGTTCTCCTGCAGCTAGGCGCCTAACCCTGCCGTGATGGTCTGAGCTTGGGACAGGGCACCATCTCGCCATACCACCTCTTTGCCCTCTGAGACAAAACGTATGACCTGACAGCGGAGATTGGTTGTTGGTGGTTGCCTTTTTACACTGGCTATTCGAAGGACGTTGCCCTCCTACCTCGAAGCTAACCCAATAAAGTCTAGCCAGCTGCCAGCGTATCTTGTCCCTCTCTTCTCTAACAACGCTACGAACAACTGGTCTTCATCTTTTCGTATCTTTTTCGATGGTTCATCTTATTTGACGTTATGGCATCGTCCAGGGGCTTGTGCTTTGGTGCTGTGCCCTACTCGTGGCTTGCAGCAGAGGGCAACTCGCCGACCTTTGATTGGTCGAAAGTGCCCTACTGGCACTCTCATCCCTGCGACGGCACAAACAAATTGCAGTTCAGAGTCTCATCGCCTACCGGTAGCTGTCTTTGCGTTAGTCTCGACAACATGAGTTCCGAATTTTCGTTCAATGGCCCCGAAAGTTCGACATAGGTCACGGCATTAGGCTAGCTCTGGAGCGAGGCATTTCTGATCTGCTTCGCTACACATCGACTTCACTCATCTGTGCAATTGTACGTTCAGGGCGACGTATACACATTGTCAAGTGCGAAATAAATGCTCTGTCCAGCTAGGAAAAGCGTTAGAGTACAGACAGTGAGATGGCGGAGCTGGCTGGACATTGCTGAACGGTTTGGATACCAACAAGTCGCTACTTATATCCTTGAGAGTTTATGAGATCATTACCGCTCTTCAGATGCGTCAACAACTAACCCATACTCTGTACAGTCTATCGGCTCTTGCCTTTTGCGTCACGCACCTAGATCACGCCGTGCCCACTAGACCACGCACCCGTGCAAACCCCCTCACGACAATCCGCCCAACCCACCTTCCTTTTCCCTCTCATGGCTGCTGCGCCCCCGGCCCACTCCTCGTCCCCGGCCCCCCATTCCTCTCCCAATCCAACCAACTCCCCCGATACTCCCCAACCTTCGTATACCCAGCCAACTTGGCCAGCTGCGCCGCCGCACTACTCCTCACGCCCGCCTTGCAGAAGAACACCACATTCTTCTCTTTGGGCGGCTTCTGGAAGCCGAAGCGGTCCTCGAAGTCCTCTTCGGAGAGGAGCAAAGCGTCCGGCTGCGAGGTGATGGGCACGTTGAGCGAGGTGGGGATGCTGTTCGCCGCGAACTCGGCAGGCTCGCGGACGTCGATGAGGATGGTGGATGAGGACGGGTTCTCGACGATGGAGAGGACCTGCGGTGTGTTAGATGGGGACTGGGCAGGTGCCGAAGGGCTGTGTGGGAGAGGACGTACGTCTTGGAACTCGTACACCTTGCTGCGCTTGTCTGATGGGAAGCTGGAGTGGTGTCTCCGCTGCGCGACGCCAACCTGCGCGCTGGCAACGTTTCTCGCGACGGTGCGTTGCGGCGTGGAGCATGGCGTCGTGAACCGGATTGAAGCAGCCCTGGTTGCGACCGCTTGCGGGGTGCGCAGAGCGAGCAATTGCACGGCTCTTCTTGAAGCCATTGTATTTGTACTAGTCGAAAGAGCTGCACGGAAGCAGGCGCAAGACCTCAAAGGTGGACGGAAGTGTGATAAGCTCACGCTGTGGAGTTGTGGAGGTATAGAGCTCCGCCCGCGTCGCAATCGCCGTAGGCCTCGGGCCCGCGCCGTCTAACGTCACCTCTGGTTCGTAGCCGCACGTGCATCGCTCCCGTCGGAGTTAGCCACCGAGATCGGAGCTCCACGGCACCATGCAAAAGCGCAAGATAGTTCGCTGTGTGGGTATAACTTGTGCTTGATTATCAATATCCTCCCTCCCGTCCCGACAAGATGGCCCGATAACATTGCCATTAAACACCCAGCCGCCTTCACTCAATTGCGATGCATGCCCTGCGTAGAGAGGAGAGAAGCCACACGAAGTCTCGCCACTTTATAGTCCCAAGTATACCATCCATTTCCATACCATACACCGTCGCCAGGAATCCGTCTCACCACGGATCCGGGTATCATCCATCCCATTCCGTCCCCACCAAAGCGAAAACATGCAAATCCAAGGCAAAAGCAGCAAACAGCAGCAAATTGGTATATTTCTTTTGGCGCCGACCTGGGGGAATCATTGCTTGCACTTCCGCAAAACGCCCAAACACAAAGAGCAGAAACACATATCAAGATCCAAATAACTGCAGAAACACGCGAAGATAATGGAACAGCGCGAGCAAACCAACCGAAGGCTTTTGCAATTCGCCACAGGGGTATAATTCTTTTGGTTGAGCGTTGCTACAAGTCCGGAGCTGGGGTATTTGTTCGTCATAAAGCCCGGTACAAAGTTGGGAAATGGTGTATCGTTTAACGAGGAGGGCCAATAGGGCCCGGGTATCCAGATGCAGAATGAGAAGTAGAGGGGCGCCCACTGTCGACCGACGCCCTCGGGTCATACCGGGGCGTCACGTCTCCAGGCGCCGCCGAGGACGCCCCAAAGGGAAACTTGCTTTCAAATCGCGGCGTTGGCATCGGCCAACTGTTAGTATGGTGTTCGTCGTCCGCAAGGTTGATGCCGCTGTCGTTCCAAGGGTTGCGGTAGCCACTGCCCTGGGATTCAAGACTGGCAAGAGAGGCTTTCGAAGCGTTGCTAGAAGCATGCTTGAAGAGAGAGCCCGGGGAGTTAGTCCCGTTTCTGCGCGAGTTGAACAGGGAAGTGAAGGAAGACATGCTGCCCGGTTTGCGGAGACGATCCAACATGCCGGGGCGCTCTTCATCACCGAAGTGAGAACGAGTGGGCGAATCAGTGCTATCAACGGGTGGCTCGGCACGCTGAAGCAGCTTGGATTCAAAGAAGGGCAAAGACTCCTCGAACGAATCAGACTTGGGTCGAGGAAGGGCTCCGCGGATAGTGTTGGTATCGAGACCGTGCATGACGAGGTTGTTGATCAAGAAGTCAAGGGCATCCTTGAGACCACCAGCGTTGTTTCTGGTGAAGCTGAGGTGAAGTGTCTCGATCTGTTGTTCCTTGCCGTCTTCAGCAGTCTCAGTCTGGGTTTCTTTGACATGAGCTTCAACAACATGTTGATCCCTGAGCTTATCGAGAACGTCAGTCTTGAAGTCCGCAGAACGCAGGTGTTCGCCAAGCTCCTTGGAAGCAGGGAAGGCGAGATCGTGAGTCTCAGGAACCATACCCTAAGTGATGTCAGCGTGTCATAGTTTCATCAGGCACAATTCTACTCACCAAAAACTCATCAACTGCCAGTGGCACCTGGTATTCAGGGCCAGAGACAGTGACGATGTCGCTTGCTTCTTCGGTGCTTGGAAACGTGATCTTGCAGTTGAACTTCTTCTCAAGCTCATCGATCTTGTCCAAGCGGGCAATGAGCTCGCGATGGTACAAACGGTTGATGTTGATAGTCTCAGAGACGAACTCGGCATCAGCCTTCTCCACCATGTCCATGATTTCTTGCTTGACCAGATCGAGATTCTGAGCATTGCGAGCCGGGGTACGGCAGATGACGTTGTCAACCTTGATGTCATCTTCTTCCTTGCCAAAGCCCCCGCGGTCCATAGCGTTAGAGAACTTCACAAATACTGAGTACTTCTTCATGATGCGCTGGATGTGTTGACCGCCAATGCCAATGATACGCTTATGGTATTGGTCGGGAACGTGGAAGGAGATTGCGGCAGGCATCTCCTGCTCGACAAGATCTAGACCGTTCTTGGTAGCGTCATACTGAGCACCGCGAACAACGATGTAGAAGTTGTACTCGTTGAAGCCATCAAAGACAATCTGGACGCTGCTGTGGCTCATGATCTTGTTGATCTTTCCGTTCTTCTTGCCACTGACGAACTCTTTGTGTTCGTTGGCGAGCTCAATCTTCACGCTCATGTTGTACTGCGATTTTTTCACAAACGGAATGTTGTTGATCACCATCATTGCGGCTTTGACAGCATCGTCGGAGCCGTAGATGTGGAAGTTCAGCTTCTCGAAGCTGATTTCTGCGCCAGAGTTTATGCAGATATCCGAGAGCATGGCACGCACATCAGCAGCCGTAGGAGGGCGCTGCGAAGGGTCAGGGTGAGTAATGAACCACGAGGCACTGTAGAATTGGCCAGCCTATTCGAGGTAAGCACTGCATCACGCATGGGTGGGCTAATCATCTTACAAGAGCCATCAACTCGCGCACAGTGCGCTCGACATGGAGAACATCGGTGCCCTGAACACGGACGACGCCGCGTTGCATGCCCAATGGGGGCAAGAGGATATAGGACCCGTTGTTCTCGATGATCTTGCGCACCTTGTCGAGACGTTCGAGCAGAATGGCATCGAGCTTTGTGTCCGTGACCATGACGGGCTTTACAAAGACCTTGGTCGACATGACCAGGTCATGAAGACGCTGCTTGGCTCTCAAGATGCATTCTGAGTTCTCACCAGTAATGTAGATCAAGTCATCAGGACGACGCTGTGCGCCGGCCGGGGTATAGCCGAAAAGGCGGGGGAATGGCGGCGGAAAGTAGATGGCGGTTCCTGTGGCAGACTCGATCAACTTGATGTTCTTGCGTCCTCGCCCGCAGATGAGCGTATGCATGGTCAGCTCCAGCTTCATCGTATCCACGTATCGCTTGAGCTGTGACGATATCAAATTAGCTTTGTGCGCTAGTCCAGGCCAACTGCGGGGCAGCAGAACTCACGATCTGGTCGATCATGATGAGCACGCGAGTCTTCGCGTGCTCCATGGTCTCCATGTCGCCGTAGATGGCGCAGCGGAGACGCGAGTCCATGCCAGTCTCGAGGTTGCCGTTGAAGCTGGCGGACTCAATGTCGGGCTGCTTGGGCATCAGCACAAAGATGTCAGCTTTGGTCGTCTTCGCAATGAGGTCCAGCTGGTTGAGCACGGGGCCCTTGACATGCTGCGAGGTGCGGTCAATGATGAGATCAGAGTCGATGTCGACGAAGGACGACCGCTATGCACTGTCAGACTTGGCATCATGGTTCGGTCCCAATGCGGCCTACCAGTGAGATGGGCGTCGAGTTGAGCACCTTGCACCGCATCTGGTTCACGATCTCCAGCTCGCCGGACAAGCAGACGTTTGTGACGAGCGCGCGCAGCGGCCCCCGCTGCAGGCCGGGTAGCGGCTTGGACTCGGCCGACACGACGGCGGCGGCCACGCGCCCCTCGGTCTGCTCCTGGACCTCGCGGCACATGAGGCGCAGGTTCTCGACGTTCTGAGCGTGGACGGGCAGCTTGTGCACCGGGGTGCCCTCAGCCGTGCCTTCCGGGAAGGTCCACCGCGCCTTGGCCCCGGGGCTGGCGTACATGATGTCGTCGACGTCGGGGCCGGCCAGGTTGGAGGCAAAGGGCACGTTGAAGGACAGATTGACCTGCGTGCCGGGCGGGATGACGGGCGGCGCCGACGTGGCCGTGGACGGGCGCTTGATGGGCGCGGTGACGGGCATCTCGTGGTTGGATCTCGAGAACGGGAAGCCGGCGGACGGAGCCATCTTTTCCCAGCCGTGTCGAGCTTGGCCCGTGAAGTTGGATATCTTGTGCATAGCGGGGGGAGAGGCGCCCTGGGGGAGTGTCGGGCGGCGGGTGATGGGAGGAGAGCGAGGGAGACACGAGAGGTCGAGGTCTGTCCAAGCCAAAGCCAGGACCCAGAGGCTGAGATGGCCGCTACTGGCAGCACGGTCCCTCGCACATCCCACACCCATCCCATCCCGTCGATAGCTGGCCCAGCGCCCGCACACGAGCCCTCGGCGCGCAGCGTTGCCGCCGCCCGCTGCCTGCGCTCAGTGCGTCGCTGCCGCCCGCTGCCACGGCGCCCTCGACCGCAAGCAGCGCGTTTCAGTGCTGCCTCTGCCCGCGACTCTGGCGATCTGCGTTGTGGCGCCTGGCGCTGGCGGGCGCCCGAACCGGCCTAGGCCCATCGGGCAGGCCAGCGTTGATGACATGCGCCCTGCCCACTGCCCACTGCCACTGCGCGAGCCTCTTCCCAGTTCCGCTGCCGTCCCGTTGCCAGTGCACCTGCGCGAGCACGCAGTTGCGGTGCCCAACAACGGATACCATGGGCACTGCCTAACTGCTGCCTGGCTGTGCGCACCGCGGATGTGCTGTCGGCCAGGTCGTGGTGCTGCCGCGACGTTTCACTTGCACTCCCGAAAACATTTATGCGACAGCCTCAGCTCACATGCCTGTCTGCCCACGGTCACGTTGTCGCTTGTGCATGCCCCAACACTTTCCAGCGCCTATTCCCGATTCCCTCGCGAACAGACCCATCGTCTCACCTCAACAACCTCGGGCCCTACGCGTGCCACTCCTCCCGGAAACGGCGAGACAGCTGCACTGAGCCGCGCCATGGGCTCCGACGCGCTGACAACGGAGCTGCATCCCCCCAATGCACAGGGCCCGGTCGGGTAGGCCGTGCCGTAGCCGACTACTTCTCCTGTTTAAGCTTCGAGCACGGCAATTGCGTGCCTCAATCTTGGTAGCATCTCTACACATCGCTCCGGTGTGCAGCTGCAGGTTCTACTGCCTTCTGTGTACACGCCCACAGTTCTTTGTAACCTGGGTACGGTCCCACCGATGACGTTTACACATGCCGCCCGTGCAACTCGCCCTGAATCCGGTCTTCAGGTCACTAGGAGCGCCTCTATTCTACTGCTCCTCTCTGGATTGCTGCATTGCATTCATATCCTTGCCTCTCTACAAAAGGCATTGCTTCAACCCCATCAACTGTCCATGTGATGACGACGACGAGGCTGCTCCGTTATTGTGCAAGCCTGCAACTAGTCCTTAGGCTAACGTCTGCCATACGAACGAACCCGCAACGCTGTGTGGCCAGGCCCTTACTACTATCGATACCTCTCCGGCTGCCGGCTTTCCACGTTTCCGACGAGCTGGGCCGCACGACACTGCGAGCCTTCTGTTGGACAGCACACCGCGCTAGGCACCACTTTATCAAATGAATGGAACACTACTCGTCAACACGACTTTTGTAGTACACGATTTCGAAGCCCATTTTCGACATGATATCAATATATTTTCCCGTGTTGACAGCAACACATCCGCGTCGTCTGGGCCTACGCGAGACCGGGTACACTGTGCAATCGTATGCTAATCAATAGTCCTTGCTCCCCTTTCAATACTACAATGCCAATGATTACAATCCATCCACCAATCCTTCCTATCTTGTTACTGCCCGAGGCTCATCTCGCGGCCACGCACAGAACGGTGCGGGTAGGTAAAACGCTGAAGTTGGACACTCTTCCCAAACGAATTGACTAGTAGCGGTAAGTCGGTCGTCGAGGAGCTTCGGTCGCATAGCGTTCTTGTACAACCTCCACGGGACGCTCCAGGCCGCTCTCATCTGCATAACGTCTCTGGGGAGTTGCAAAGGCATATTGGCGATCGTCTGAGGGTTCATGGCGAATGACACTCAATTCACGCAAGCGTGGCGCGGCTACCCGGACATGGCCAGGCTGAACACTCTCGTGACGGACGTACCCCTCTGGCACCTCACGCCGAATGACTTCCGGACGAACACTATACGCTCGACTCGGTAGGTACTCACGCGGAGGGCCCATTTCCTCGTACTGGGCGGTCGGCCGCCGTTCCATCAATTCGTGTGGTCGGTACTCAACTTCCAAGGGGCGGTGCGAGGCTTCTCGCCGATATGCGCGCGAATCGACCAACTCAGTTTCGGAGACATCAGCATAACGGCGTGGCGGTGGCGGCATTCTCTGAACATCGCCTTCCTCGTACAGCTCTGTACGCGCAGGTACCCGGAGCACTGGTTCTCGGGTCATCGCACGTTCGTAGTATGGGTCCATCTCGATTCTTCTGGCAGATGGGGCGACGGAGGCCCTGGTCTCCACTGGAGCAGCGTAGTACTGATTGCCGTACTGATCAACCACAATGCTGCGACGGGGTGGAGCCATGGGCATGTTGTCAGGTGACTGGGCTCGAGGCAGATATTCCATCTCTTGCGGGTGGTCTGGAATGTATCGAGGTGCTGCCGACGGTCGAATAGATGCTTCCCGGTAGACAGGCTGCTCGATGGCACGCTCTGCATACACATTTGATGCTGCGCGGCTCTGGCGAGGGGATGGTGCAGCATACAGGTCAGTACTAGTCGGTGAGTACGGTCGACGAGCATATTGAACGCTTGCCACGCGACGCAGATCCTGGTCATCACGTCGCTGAGGCAGACGAGCAATGCTTGGCGATAAGGGCTCCTCATAGCGTCGGGTTGGTCGAGCAGCAGGCTCTGGGTCACGATAATAGACGGGTTGTACCCTGTCGACAACCTCGACCTCTTGAGGAAGAGGTTGCAGGGCTCGTCGCTTGCTGGACGGCGGATCCGAATACGCCGCGAATGTGGGAGGTGACTGTGGCTCTTCCTTGATGTATGGTTCTGGTGACTGTGCAGCGCGCTGTTTGTTGTTGCTGCTGTTGTTGCCCTTCTTCCACTCCCGCTTCCGCTTGCGACTATTTTGGATCGGCGGTACTGGACCCTTGGGGCTTTGGCGTCGAGAGGACCTGTTTCTGAATCAGCATTCTGAGAGTTCAGGGGTGGGGTGAATCGTGAAGGTCTCGATTTCAAGATTTGTAACCGGAGTATGCAGCGCATTTCTTTGCCATCCTACACCAGGATCTGAAACCTATACGTGGAAAGGGCATCATGCAAAGGAAGTGGAAATGAGAAGAAAACCAATCGCTACCGTACCCGTTCGCGCCATTATAACGCCCATGCTGCCTTCTAGGCTCACTAGGACCCGCGTCGGCCGGTGGAGGTGAGTAGTCAGACTCCTCTAGATCTTCGTTCGCACCAGCATCTTCAGGCTCATAGATCTCAAGAATGTCATCGCCAGGTTCGTAGGGCTCGTCATCTAGATCGATCACTGGAGGACTGGCTGGGCCTGACTGAAAAGGCGCCACAACCTGTTGGACCTCATTGGTAGCACGTTTGCCCTGCTGTGTGAGTGATTCTGCGACATCAGTATTCGAGTTGTGATTGCGTTCAATCTCATCCGATGACCAACTGTCAGCTTTGCTAGAGTAGTATGAGTTGTCGAAAGACTCTCCGTCGCTATCAGCAGTGGGAGGTCGCAGGCCAGAGATTGGCTTCACCAGTCTGTGGGCCTGGGCAAGCAGGTCATCCACGTCTAGCACCTCTCGCTCTTCGTCGTTTGCACGACCACGCTTATCCACCTGATCCTTCAGTGCCCGTTCGAGCTGCTGGCGCTTCAATTGAAGTTCAGCCCTGATGAGATGATCAGACTTGGTGAGCAACACTGGATCGATGCCTGACGATGCAGACTTGGCAGAGAAAGGCCGCGATGTATGTGCGACAGGCGAGACAAACTCGTTTGGCGCAGGAATTTGTGACAAGGAAGTCTCGGGACGCGGCGGGAACATCTGCTGGTTAGACGTGCCGTTGGGAGTCCCGTTGATCGTGAGTCTCGCTGTTGGGGCGGTTTGCGGCGGACGCGGTGCAACCTGTTCTAGGACTCTGGGTGGGAGACGAATGCGCGGATGTTTGCCTGCGAACACCTCATCGCGAATATGCAGCAGCTTCTGGAGGAACTCGGCCTCTCGCCAATCCTCGGGGGGTACCACGCTGGTCCCGTTCACGAGCGGCGGTGCTGTACTGGTCGACATGACTGTGGCAGCCCAATGTTTGCTTACCCCACAGCACGCTCAGATTAAGCTACAGAGGTCGCGGGGAGTAGATCAGTAGGAGCGTGGTGTGTATATAAATATAGAAGGGTACATCGCGATGGCGCGTCGAGGTGAAAGCGCAGAGGGGGTTGGGGAGAAATCCGCGCTCAAGCTGTGTCCATCCGCGCGGTTGAAGGCGGCGCGAGCTGCCAAGCCGCGCTATGCCCATCGCGGCTGCTGCGTTTGCTCTTGCTCCCTGCCCCGAACGCACCGTCGCACCTGGGAGGCCCAATTTAACAACACGGAAATCACAGCTCCAATATCTGGGGCATAGTCTCCTTGTCTCTACTTTCTCCTGCTTGGCCCCAACTCGTATTAACGCCGGTTGGACGAATAGGGAATAACCCCCCACAAAAGTCTTGAAGTACCAGCGACAACCTGCATGTTTACCTGTAAGCACACCATTGGCTCACTTATGCGAGTCATTCCTTCAATCCCTCGACCGCACGGGCTTAAGATACCAACCTCACAGATCCGACACTCATCACCGGGTTGCCCCGCTCCACTAAGATGTCGCAAAACGAGAAACTAGTCTTCTTCTTTGATATAGACAATTGCGTACGTAATTCACCTTTCAAATTTTGGCAGGCACTAACTGGCCGATTAGCTCTATCCCAAGAGTATGTGTTCCCGCGCTTCCTTAGGATCGTGCGGGGGACTCATTTGTACGCAGGCTACAAGATTCAACACTTGATGTCAGACCTTATAGGTATGGTTCCTTCGACTTCTCCTCTTTTCCACGCGCCATTCCAGTGGATGCAAAGCTCAACGGTTGCAGACAAATACTTCCAAAATCATCTATCACTGTCACAAGAGGAGGCAAACGATTTACACCTCAAGTACTACCGCGAGTATGGCCTTGCCATTGAAGGTCTTGTCCGCCACCACAAGGTCGATCCCCTGGAATACAACGCTAAAGTAGACGACGCGCTACCACTGGAGGATATCATCAAGCCCAATACAGAACTACGGAAGCTACTCGAGGACATTGACAAGAGCAAGGTAAAGATGTGGCTTTTTACGAATGCATATGTCACGCACGGCAAGAAGGTGGTAAAATTGCTGGAGGTTGATGACTTATTCGAAGGCATGACTTACTGCGACTATGGCTCCGAGAAATTCTATTGCAAACCGCATGTCGAGATGTTCGACAAAGCGATGGAACAAGCAGGAGTGAAGTCGAACGAGAACTGTTACTTCGTTGGTGCGTACATTTTGGGGTGATTATATGATCCGCACTAATATGCCCCAGATGATTCTTTCATCAACACAAAAGCGGCACAGGAACGGGGCTGGCATACAGCCCACCTACTAGATCCAGAGGACCCTGAGCCGTCAACACGTGCTGCAAAGCATCAGATTAGAAGCTTGGAGGAGTTGCGCACCATCTTCCCCCATTTGTTCAAGAGCAAATCGACTACGAATGGAACAGCATAGGCGACCTTAGTCATCTCACGATTTGATGAGGTGCGGCATTTTGTAGAAGACTTGGATCTACATCTCTGTGTATAGGCTTGATAGAATGTTAGATTTCACCAACTTTCCAAAGCACACGTTTCATGCCGAAAGGAACCTTGAGTCAGTCTATTTATACAAATGTGAAATAGGTCCGAACAAGTTACAAGTTCATATGCATATCATAGACCAGGACTGCCTGGGGATCATCGCACATTTGACTCAGTACTGTAAACATCAGACTTATGACGGAGTGTGTTGAATGCGCAACGTAGAACCCCCACCTTTCTTGGCATCGTGAGTCTATCGATAAGAGACACATCATCCGTCCACGATGGTCATTCTTCAAGCCCCTCTCGCCAGCCTCACCGAGTCTTTCGCTTCTTCCCAATGACATCCTCTTCGACGCCTACATATTTCCAGACCATGTCCCCTGCACCTTCGAGTACTGCATCTGCTTCACAGCCTACAGCCCCGCAGCCGTCAGCTCTCCCACCATCTTCAGAAACGTCGCACCTCCCTCAATGCGAGAAGACAACGCATGACGCCACTTTCGACTCAAAAGTGAAGCCAAACCGCAAGCCCCTCCTCCGTCTGGAGCTCCGCGACCTTTCGGATGATGGCACGCGCGCCTTTCTCCGCCTTCTCCATGCCACCACTGCTCTCGAAGACGCCGTTGACGCCGTCCTCAAGCAGCTATATATTGGTCTGAAGACTCATTGTATTCCGCCTACCCGCTCGATTACTTTGGTGCTCCGGTCCATGGATGGTGTTGCATACACTACCGGTCGCGACATTGACGAGGACCACAAAGAGATTCACCTCAGCACTAATTATATCAATCACGTACCTGACAGCCGAAAGAAAGAAGAGATACAGGGTGTCATCGTGCATGAGATGGTTCACTGCTGGCAGCACAATGCACTGGGCACAGCGCCAGGCGGATTAATTGAAGGCATAGCAGACTGGGTCCGCTTGAAAGCTGGATTTGCGCCCCCGCATTGGAAGAGAAGTGCCGATGGTGATTGGGACGCGGGCTACGAACGAACCGGCTTCTTTTTGGAGTGGCTAGAAGCGGCACACGGTGAAGAGATCGTACGAAAAATCAACGATGAACTGAGGGGCTGCAGGTACGACTCCGACGAGTTCTGGCACAAATGCTGCGGCAAGAGTGTCGGTCATCTGTGGAGCGAATACAGGTCCAGCCTTGGGGACGGCGACTCGAAGCAAACCGATGCTAAATCCACTTAGCGTGCGAGACATGCAAAGAGAATGTTCAATGGCTGCATGTCCACGGTGACCTACGAGTGTTAGGCCGGCATGGGACGATAGTCGAAGCTTAATAATTGCCTAAGAGATTGTTCAATGCCGAACGATACCACAAGCAGTCATGCGCCAAACATGATTTCAAGCGAACCGCGATCAACTGCAAGGATCCGGACGCGTCGAGACTCCAGTCACGAGTTTGAAGTGGCTGGCGAGTAGACTCAAACGGAAATCCTTCGGTATACCATACCGGAGAACATGCGTACACTTTGGGGCTGTGCTATTCGCTTCAATCGCCGCGCTTGTCCGCTTCGAGAGTATTGCCGTCATGAATATCCACTATACCGACTATAGCCTCAGTGTGCCAATCGAGAACGACAGTTTGGCAAAGCGGAATCGAATTACTCTATTAACCTCGCCAAGATGACGCATCTCCAGCGCGAAGCGACGCTACATGCGATAGCCTTCACCTGTATCTACAGCGGTCATCCCGTGCAAAAAACCACACGTCTCACACGTGCACTGGTCATGCACCACTAGCCTTACCGAGCAATATCTCCATTTCTGGGGTTGTGAACGTGTGTGATCGACAGGGATTTGGCGTCGTTATGTGAAGTTAACCGATATCGATCGTGGCAGTGCAGAGCAACCAAACCCCAAAGCGCCTTTCTGGCAGTATTGGATCACGGAGTCACATCTCCTAGGTTGTATTGAATAATGCTCTACGATTTCAGGGGAAACGCTCGTATGACATCAAACAAAGCAGGTGCTGTCAGTATCCGGATTTCTCCACCATGAAGCAGCAAGTCCGGTTGTGGAGGGTACAGCCCGACATCACTTCTTCGACAGCACGAAGTATGATCCTCCAAACAGCTATTACATCAGCTTCTATCAAATGACCGCCAATGCGGGCTCCCGACACGCACACTAACCGGATGATCTTTTTACCAACAGCTCGTGTGCTGTGTCGAAGTTCACCCCTGTTCGCTTCAGCCCCATGCGATGTGACTCAACTCGCATATACTGCAACTCTTGACTCCATTCAACGCCACTTTCACATACGTACCTCTGATCAGCAACAAAAACACTCTTATCCGCAGGTCTTGCATGCGGGCGTAGCATTGGGCTGGACTCCCGGTATCCTACGCGGCATGCAGACCTTTCAAGGCATCAGCAAAGCAACGACTGCTCTCGACCCTGAGCGACCCCGTCGCTACGCCCTGCTCGAAAGTACGCAACCCGATTCCACAGGTACGGTCCGCGGACCATGCCTCTGCGGACCGCTTCCCTATGTCAGCACTACGAAAGAGCTTAATTCTTGCCGTTCGGGCTCTAAGATCCGTGTAATCCTGCATATAAGCCACTGCTCCGCCCCCAAATCCCACATATCATGCTCAATTATGCTACACCGATTAGTTGAACCAGTCATCTATAGTGGGTTGTTATCGGATCTACCGCGAGGCTGTCATATGGGTGATCACCAGGACTACGCTCGCGAACTTGTCCGACGAAGCTTTTTGTGATTTTACATAGACTCACTCGCGACAGGCTTACTCACGTGGGCCTGCATGTCAAGTGCAAGAGTAAGATGCATATTCGAACCCGTCTCCACGTGCATCTCCGACCCTGGAGCCAGATCTGAGGCAGCAAGTCCTTAAGATGGAAGTAGATAGATGGGGCAGGTCCATCCATCAACGTTCGCATAGCTGGTCCCGGAATCGGGTATGTTGGTCAATGGTGTCCTTCAACAAGTAGGATCGACCTCGCGTACTCTACGCCTTTTTTGTCGCAGAGAATCGCTCAGAGTTCAAAACAACGTCCATGAGAGTAACTACAGGGATGTGCTTGCCGTAATGATTTCGAAGCAGTACCACCTCGAGTCTATGCGCTACACTGATGCATTTCTGCCTTGCAGGATTATGTCCTTCGTACTTGCTTGCGTGTACCTCCGCGTGGCCGCCAAGTCACGGAAGTTCTCGAAGGAACACTCCTTGGGAGAAGGAAGACGCAAAGAAGGCTTAGAGCACGTGTCACGTCACAGATTAATGCTTTTGTAATCCACGCTATACGGAAACTCCCGACTGTTTACATAAGATTTCGGAGCCATCGATCCTAGAGGGCACTAGTGGGCATTCGCGACCTTCTGTGACCATGGCTGCTCGCGGACGGGCAGTAGGCTTGCGTGCGATCGGCACAAGCCTTCGGCGCGGATGAATTTCTGCAGGACAAAATTACCGGTGGTTTCATCGAGCATGGAATGGAGGTGGCCGTGCAGGCCATGGTTCCACCCCAGAAAACCAATGTATCGAGTGGACTATTGCCAGCCTTGCACTCACTCCACATCCATCGTCACCTTCTAAAGATATACCATCGATATCCGAGAAGTCGCATGGCACCCGTAGCTACTTCTTGTCACGGGCTTCCAAATTCTAAATATACGCTTCTCGATAGTCTAGAAAACGTCCACACGCTAATGTAATCGATATCGATCCACATCCTTGCATCATAAGCCTCTTGTGGCGTAGTTGCTGCCCTTTGAGGAAAGCCCGCTCCTCTCCCACCGTTGGACGTTAAAAAATTCATGCATGGATTTGCCCGTGACCACCTGGCCACCTCGTATACACTGTAGAATAACGTACCATACAGCAGCCACCACACTCCGTTTCGGCGAATGTGCCGAGGACATGCAAAGCGACAGCCACGTCAGAGCAGGACCACCACCAGATCTTAACCTCTTGGGGTAAACAATCAAGATCGTCACCGTTTACACAGCGAGTCAACCTCAGTCAACCTTAGTCAACCCTACAGCAGCCCGTTCCGAGTACATTGTAAGGTACGCCATGTGCGTTCCGTTCCCACAAGGGCCCATCGCGGATACCGCTCCCATTGCTCGTACTGGCTGCCGTATGCCGTTAGCAGCGGCACATTAGCCGCGCATTAAGCTTTCGTTCCGGATACCCTTTAGGGAGAACATGCGAGCGTGAACCCTGCCAGGCCTTGGACACCCCTGCCCCGCCCGGCACCCGACGACGCCATCCATGCACGTGTTTAACATCCCTGTCGTGCTCAACCGACCTCCAACGGACGGCCCAGTGAGTGGCCACGCCGTTTAGATCTGGGACCAAGACGGGCGACCTATACGCTGCGCGCGAGGCCATTGGGCGAGCGCGGAAGTCTCGGGCTGCTATTCTGGGCGTGGGCCTCCGAGAGACGATGAAAGTCGCCGACAGCAAGCGCGCCGAGTGCTGACCGTCGAGACGACCGGCTGCAGGCGTCCGGGGCGGTCAAGCCTGCCGACCAGAGGGGCCCGGGGAAGGAATCACAGATGGGTACGCAAGTGCGGCTCGCGCCTCGCAATTGGGCGGCGCTGCAGCGCGCGCGGCCTGTCTAGCTTGCAAGGCAAGTATGCGTGAGCTGCAGTTCGCAGACATACGAGGCAGCAGCGAGGCAGCATCGAGGCAGACACGCCGACGCGGACGTCAGGTAGAGAACATGACAGGCCATGTGTCACGTTGTTTACGGAGAAATGCACGCCAGGCCAGTGCCCGAGTCCCCGGGGCCGGCGAACGGTTGAGGCGTTGCGTTGGGCACGCTGGCATCCACAGCATCAACGCAGCTCGTCGATCGCATGCGAGTCGCGCGCGCCAGCCAGCACGTGCGCGAAGCGTCTAATGATTCATAATGCGGGCGCTTTCTGCCCGGCCAGAAACTAGTCCCGCATCCCGCGGGTGGCGAACAACGTCGGGTTTGGCTGTTGCAGGTCAACTTCGTGTGCGAGCACAGTTGGGATGGAATGGAGAGGAGAAAACGCTCGCCTTGGCAAAGGCCTCGCATAGCACTGCATGCAGCGCTGCAGTCACCGATGGCGCGGTAGCGAGGGCTGCCCCCCGGAGAGGCATACCGTCCGACATGGTACATCACGGCCAGTAACACAACATGGCCTTACCCGTTGTGGCACCTGTCAAATGCCAAACTGCCACGGGCGAGCCTGAAACCCTCGCGAGCATGGATACGGATTATCAATTATTGATTGGATGTTCGATACGTTCGTAAGATGGTTAGCGGAACCTTGCTTGGTTTTCCGGCCAACGGATATGGAGCTGTCTATATCGTTTCTCTCTCCTCTGCTACGCTGCACAGCCTCAACGCTAACGCCATGCATCATCATCCCCATATTAATATTGGTAAGGAGGATCACGCCGCATCTCGTATCTCATGAACTGGGCCATGGCATGCGGATCCTGGTACGAAGGGCTCGCGTTGCTCGAGATGGGCGAGCTCGTCGGGCCGCGCGCCACATGCCCGCCATAATTCATCGCGGTCGTCGGGCTCAGCATCGCGGGGCTGGCGGCGTAGTGGTCGTACGGCGAGAGGGTAGCGTGGTCCGACACGTGCGGGTATATGTGTGGCGAGGCGAGTGCCATCATGGGGGAATGCGAAGTGTTCATAGAAGTCGTAGCCCAGTCCCACTGTGCACCCTGGCTGACATTCACGGTCAGGGGCACGTGGGGATACGTCGGGGCGGTGGAGGTCATAACGTCGAAGGATTCTTGGGATGTCCAGGCAGAATAGGAGCTGTCCGTGGGCCAAGAGTGCTGTGTTTCAGGGGTGGAGACCTGGGTCGTGTGCGCGGGGAGCAAATCATCGTATGTGGTAGATCCATAAGACATATCGTCGTCATCTGTGGCTGAGTATGTGCTCGGTTCGGGTGTGCCTGCGGGCTGGGGTAGTATGATGCCTTGGTTTTGATACCGGCGGACGAGAACAGTGTAGCTGGAAACGTTAGAATTTTTCATTGGACAGAGAAATCATACATACCGATTCTTGATACAGTTCTTAGAGCGTCCTTGGAAATGATGTCGTTGGATGTCTTTCCAGTGTCGGCCAAGTTTCTGGACTGCATCGATGAGAACTTTATCCTGGGATTGAGTGTTAGACAGCTACAGTTGCAAGGCAAATAGTTGCTCTTGTAGGTTCACCGGATTCTTACATCTGTATCTCGCCACTCGCTACGGTCAAGATCTGGGTCAAGCGATTGCTGCCATCTTTTCGCACATTCTGGTCTTGCGTTAGAGCGTCCACCGTTGGCGAATCATTCAACTCACGATCTGCACTTCGTGACCCGACTACGTTGGCTACCAAGGTCCATCTAGAGTCCAATTAGTTTGTAATTTGTTGAATGCGGAAAAAATCTTGCCTTTGGCCGTACTGCTCTACTCCTTTCGCAAGTTGAACATCTTCGCTTTTTGACCACTGTCCCTTTTTCAGACCTCCAGCTACTGAGTTGTGCCACCTTTTTCTGCAGTCTTTGTTTGTTCTGCCAGGGAGCTTGGCTGCTATCCGACACCTAAGCCGAGGTCAGTGACGAAATTTTGTACGGTAATTTCGCGCAACCCACCAGTCTTTCACTTCGCCTTCAACCACTGCAGATCTTTGTTAGTTGTGTATTTGATATATTGGATGCAACATGTGACGTCAGGGGGGTTCTAAATATGGCTTTACGGACGAGACGGTCTGAAGCCTAGTCTAGGCATGTGCGCACTAAACTGTGTGCACTGTGTTGTGCGCGCGGCAGTACGAAGAGGATTGGTGTGGGAAAGTTAAGCAACGTACTCTGAGCCTCAACCTCCTCCTTCAGCTTATGGTCTTCCGCTACTGTCCATTTGCGAGGTAACCGGCCGCTGGACTTTGCGGAGGACGACAGCATGCTGAGAGTTGGACAGAGAGAATCTTCGGGATGTGGAGAGAGTAGTTCAATCCGAGGTATCGATCCGCTGGTGAAGTCGCTGGTAATTGTGATGTCTTTCGCAGTTGGACCGATTGCAGTATTACGAAGGCAAGAAGAAGAGCCGACGAAAGCAAATGGACGCGCAAGGTTGGATGGAAGCGAGTGTGGATGTAGCGAACGTGGGTTGGTTGGTTGGGTCAAGTATGAAGACTGTACGAGGATGGCAGGACAGGGAACATTTGAAGCTTCGAGGACTAGACTAAATCCATTCCGGGGTCGATGGATGTGTAGGTATGTCAGAGTCAAGTCAATAGCTGCAGCGCTGTAGGATCGCACTGATCAAGTGAGCCTTGACCCGACTGTTTCAATTAGTGGCCTATCACTCGGTGAGCTAGGACTGGCCGAGCAGGCCGCGCCTGCAGATTCCACAAGTAGGCGAAGGGGACTGTGCGCATGCATTGAGGCTTTGCACCGCACTGTGCGGTAATAGCGGTTGGTAAGGCTAGGACCCTGCACTCGTCGCGCACCCATGAAGGGCCCCAGTGCGGCAAGCCCTGGTGCCCTTCTGTGGTAGGGCTGCATGGTCCATACACCGCTAGATGTCGGACCATGTTGAGCTTAGCATAGCTCTCTATACATGATAAGCTTATTGCTCCGTTTCGACATCATCGTCTCGGTTATACAGGGTTCAACACTGGCAGATGGCCTCATTGGCCAACGCACCATGTTTGATGTGAATGTAGCACTGGTTCCGCCCCCATTTCGCGGAAGACCTCCGTCTAGGTGCTGCACGCGATCGGTCGCTGAAATTACGCCTAGACGGAAAGTCAAAACAGACGTCTACAACACACTGGCGGTGCTCACAGCGGCTGCCAGTTGCACACGCTGCAAATGCCACAAAGCGGTGGAGAGGAGGTCGGCTGGACTTGCCCCTGCTGGCCGAGATAGAACCGAGACGATGCAACATGACTATCGGCAGTGTGAAAATAGATAGTTCCGATCGTAGCGTTCAGCTCTCTAGGCCAGTGCCTCGGTTGGATCGCTGGATCCGGTGATCTGAAACGACTCTGTAAAAGTGAATTGCAACGTCATATTGGCAATTGTCTTCTTTCGCATCGCAGCTGCTTGTAACCTCAGTACTGCTCAGCCAGCCGCATGGCGATCAGTGGCTCTTGCATCTTTTTCGAGCTGGGAAAGTCGCCGTCATAGCGCGCTACGACTATTGTCACGTTCGCTTATGCTGTGGGAGCTGAAGAAGAGAAAAGTCTAAGGGGCAAGGGCGTAGCGCTGAAGAAGTGGAACACGTCGAGAAGGTTGAAACCATGTGTCGAGCCTGGAATCACCTGATTGCGTCTATTCTCGGGCCGTTGGTTCGCAGTGTTCGACGCTCAACTCGGAGTTTTGGGCCGGTGCGCAAGCACCACTCAAGAGCAACAACGTACGCACCAATGCAGCATGATTCCGAGGCTTTGGTGGTAGTTATGATTGTCTTGGCCACAGGCGCAGGATTTACGAGTTGTCTACAGTAAAGATCAGATGACCGGAAAATAAGCAGGTTGGCGTTCTCTAAAGCCTAGTGCCCGAACGACTATCAGCCCTGCAAAGATATTATGCGACCTCACAGGGTACAAGACCCCACCGCCGTTGTCCGCACATGCCGAGATGCTACCCGTCGCTGTGCAATGAACTACAGGTGGTGTCACTCACACCACTTTATTCCTAGCCATTCAATCAAGCACCCAGCACCAAGCACAAGGCATGATGCAAAATAGCGTGTCGACCCATAACCTACAGCTCTTCTAGAGTGTCAGGTACTGCACTGCACAGCCTCTAACTCGGCGTTGACGGAAGCATGGATGCAGAGGTACAGAATCCTAAGTGGCCCCAAGATGACAGTTGCGGTTCGTGTACCAGCAGCCTCGCGCACAGTTCGGGGGTCCAGGATCAGTGACCCGAATCCGAGCTGAGTATCCCGGCTCACGCACTCTACTCGACTTGATAATCCGCAGGAACCAACACTGCGCGTGTCCTTTGGTAAGGGCAGCACTTGTTTATTTTAAGAAAGATGGCGCGCGGTCGTCTTGTTGGGGTATCACGGATTGGTAATTGTTGAGCAATGAACCGAGTGGCTTCAAGATTTTCCGACCAGGCGTCGTGCCTTCTCCAGCAGGACAGTGCTCTCGCGACCGAGCTTCCTCTGGCCATTTGGACCGCCATGCCTCGCCTTGGCCATGGTCTTCCGGAAGCGCTCCCTGTCTGCCAGCTTTCTTGCACGCTCTTGCTCGGCCTCCTCGCGCGCTTTCTGCTCTGCGGCAGCCCGCTCTTTCCTCTGCCGCCCAAGCTCCGCCTCTTTCTCAAACGGCTGCGGTCGCGGTCGGCGCTGTTTCCGCGGCCCCGAGGCAAATCTTGGTACTGGTTCGGGCTCGGGTTCAGGCTCCTCGAGCATCTTCACACGGTCGGGATGTGGCTCCAAGGTGGGCTCGGGCATGTCGGCGCCGGGTTCCTCTTCGCTGTTGCCATAGTAGGCGGTGTTCTGGGCTGGAGCATCTTCTTGCGCTTGCACCTTGCGGTATTCCTTCTTCAGCTTGGCTTTGTGGATGAGGCTTTTCTTGATCTTTTGCACTGCGCAGTCACCTTGTCAGCCGGGGCGGTCAGGCAGTGCGGGCAACGGGTCATGCTAACCTTTGCGCCTGTGGGTGCCGTCGGGCAGATTGGCAGGCCCGACGGAGAAGCCCTTGTTCGCCTTCTTGGAGGGCCTGCCGTGGTCGGCGTCGTCGTGCGGCCGTTTCGGTGCCATGGTGTGGACAGCAAGTGGCTGTTTCGTGCAGGCGTTGGCTGTGCGGCGCGCAACGAAAGTTTCTGCCGAGGCCTGGATGCTTGGCGCGCCGCAAGCAAGGCGCGACGGAGCGGCTTCGCTGGCTGGCGTGAGTCAATGAATGCGCGCACACGCAAACCGGCTGGGCCGTCCCGGCCAAACGCTGGCCATGGCCATCAACGCGAGGGCGGCCGTCACTCTTGCGTCGTGTGACCAGCACGGTGCGGGAGCCACGCCCGACCCTGTCTGCGGCGCTTGCACTGCGTTGCGTTATCATCGGGCGGCCGCAGCGATTAGCACCTCTGTCGAGCGTCATCGCCGTCCCGGCTGGTCTCCGCATCCTCCAACACGCCCGCCGACAGTCTCCACGCCTCCAGCCACGCCTCACCGCCGGGCACGCTGCGACGTCGACTGTGAAGCTGCGGGTGGAGCCAGCGCACCGCTTATTTGCGCAGAGACTGCTTGACGCTCCTTCCTGCCAGCACCAGTACCACCACCTGATCAAAGTCCCCGTCCCCGCCAACCGCCGCCGCAAGCCTCCGCCGCCCCATACTCCAACGCCCTCGCCTCTGCGCCAGAATCTGCCTTCTTCAGTGCCCATGTTGCTGTGTACACAAGGCCATCGGAATCATGCCGATATTTCATGAGCCAGACGAGGGCCGCGCGGAGCGGTCGCCGCCCGCGCAGGTGCCACCGGCGCTGCACCACTTCGAAAGAACATGGAGACTGAGCAATGGCTGGGAAAGATCGCGCTTAGACTGTATGAGTCCCGGCCCTGCCGCCCCGTCTGTCTCCGGTCCAGATGTTGAAGCTGCCTCTCCGACTCAGCTGCGTAGCCCCCCGCTGCTGGATCGAGTCGAGTTGATAGAGCGTCTGAAAAGAGTTCAGAGCCCGCCCTGGCAGCATCGGGTCTCTGGCAGACTGCCCGCTGCCGACCTGGTACACCAGGATGGCCATCGTGATGGTGACACTGACTCTCGGCCGACTTCGCAAGATCGACCCAAGACGCCTCTGCTCTCGCACCCTCGCTACAAGACCTCCCGTCCCTGCACGCCTGATCCGCTCCGAGACCATGCTTCAGCAGGCCTGGAGATAGAACGCCCGCGATCCGCTTTACACTCTGGAGATTTCAGGGAGGAAAAGGAGCAACAGCTCCGGCAAGACCACGCGCTGTCTCCTACGTTACCACGATCTACGTCCCCCGTAGTTCCATGGCACCACTCATTTCCGGCCGCTGCCAGACCTCCAAGCCGCCCCGATGCTACATCGCCTTTCGAACAAACTCCGACTCCTGAGCAACGCTCCGCTTCCCGAGCCCGTGCAATATCACAAGCCTCTTTGAGATCCTTTGCATTCTTGCCGCCGACCAGCCCACTTGTGCAGCAATCCAACAACACCGATCTCGATTTTTCTTCCCGACCGGGCTCAAGGCAGTCGTCTAGAAGCCCAGAGCGAAGCAACAGACGCCATACCTTCTCTCCTCAATCTTTCGGGGCGTTCAGTTCGAGCATTGCAGTAGCATCTGCGTTGGGCACTCCCGCAGCTCGTCATATCAGAAAGGGAACGGCATTGCCATACCAGGCACACCAGCCAAGGCGGTCGCTCACCTCTCTTCACCAATTCCAAGCCCACTCGAGTCCACAAACACCTTTGTCAAGACCGCACAGGCCATCATTCTCATCCGAAGCCTCGCCACTGCATCATGCGCCCATGGTAGGCTCCTACGAAGAATCAATACTTCGCGGCAGGATGTCTACAACGCCATCACGGCCGCTCAACTTCATCGCTAAGATTGGTGTTCTTGGTAGAGGCCAGTGCAAGTCCAACCTGAAGTGCCCAGCTCACGTAGCCGTGCCGTTTCCCGCTGTCTTCTACAGCTACAACACTAGCAATGCACGCATCTCGGATGACTCCCCCAGTCCTTATGTAGGCCTCGTGGACTTGGAAAATTCGATCCCCCCTCCGGACGAATGTTCCGAAACTATCAGACGCAAGCGGCGCCACACTGTTCCAGATCCGGGTCATGATGATCTCGATATTCGGTTAGGGAACGCGGACGACGCAGGAACCAAACCTCAGAAAGATGTTCGACGAAACGAGAAGAAAAAGAGACGGTCAACGTCACCCCGAGCCCCACCGGGAGGCAGCTATCGCATCCCTCAACAAGGCCAACTGCAGATTGTCATCAAGAATCCCAACAAGACGGCTGTCAAACTCTTTCTAGTCCCATATGATCTTTCTGATATGGAAGCGGGCCAGAAAACCTTCATTCGCCAGCGCAGCTACTCGGCAGGGCCAATCATCGACATGCCGCTTTCTTCTCGTAAAAATCTGGGTACAGATCGTCCAGAGGCTGCATTGAGCAACTCAGACGATCCCAACGATCGACCAATCTTGCGCTATTTGATTCACCTGCACATATGCTGTCCATCCAAGGGTCGCTTTTATCTTTACAAAAGCATTCGTGTCGTGTTCGCCAATCGCGTACCCGACGGCAAAGAAAAACTCCGCAACGAGATCCAGATGCCGGAGCCACGGTACAGTGTGTACAAACCAACAAGAGACTCTTTGGCATCCCAGGCAACTTCATCTGCCGCGGTCCAACTCACATCGGAAAAGGCCCTGCGTCGAGCCAGTGCAGGATTGTCACTGTCGCACCAATCCTTCACCCAGGCAGAAACAATGGCCCCGAGACATCCACAGCTTCCCCCGCCAGCCGTGAAGTTCACAGGCGGTCCTTCCCCTAACGCAGATGTGACTTCTCCCATGCCAGATATGGAGCCGATTCCGTTCAGCTTGACCCGCACCTCTTCGATACCTTCTCGACCTGTGTCTCGAGAACTTATGGACATCGACGTGGTGAGCCCTTTTAGGTCGCGGGGCGAATGCGCTTCGCCGAATGCTGTGGACGCTTCGAAACCACAAAGTCGGGACGATGATAACACAGTCTTTGGTAAGCTGAACAGAGGCGACATAGGCTACGGAGGAAACGCATTTTGTGGCGTCGGAGGCTCGCCCCTATCCCCTCGCTCCGGACTACTGGCGAGACGACTTCAGGGGCTCGATGTTGAACCCGATGACGACTTTATGCCCTAGACTACATTACGACATTACTCCGCTCTGGCTTTACCTTTGATCAGGCGTACATGGGCTGCTATTTTTCTCTTGGATATAATACCCTCGGCGTTTCCTCTTTGTGTTTTGGGTCACGGCATAACAAGAGTTTATCCACCAGGTCCGTGTTTTGTATATACCCTCCACTTTGTGCTGGCTAAGTGTCCACACTGGAATGATGCACATAGCCATTGAACATGACACATATACACATATGGTGCACGCAATGTTGCTGTTTGAAGTGGCCTATGAATTAATCATATCAACAAATCTCGGCTGTGCTCAGGCGCTGCTTTCTGGATCGGTTTTTCCTAGGTGACTTTGAAATCGACAGTGGAGTAAGTAAGTAACCAGCCCTCTCAAGCGAATTCAATCTTTGTTCACTGCTACCGGCCGTTGATGAGCAGGCAACGATCGCAAACCAGCTCGCGGTGCCCAGAAATTACCAAGCAGGCATCCAAAACTGACTCACGAAAGCACGTGGGAGCGCGTCACACGCTGGACGCGATTCGCCAGCGACCCCGCTCTCAGCCCCCATTGGCCGATATGTGCAACCCCAACTTCCCGAATACATAATCACCGAGAAGCCCAGCAGAAAGCAGATATGGTGCACGCCCTCTGCTCGACACCCTCATTGCGACTCGTCTCCTACTTTCACCATGCTCGACCACTTCACCTTCAATGTCCCGGCTGCCCAATACGACGCCATCGTCGCCTGGTACCTTGCGGCCCTCGCCCCGCTCAACTACACCAAGCAGTTCGATTATCCCGGACACGCCTGCGGTCTTGGCACGTCCCCTTCCTCAGCGGTGTTTTGGATTGGCGTCGCCAAGGACGGTGCGGCGGCCGCGCATGGGTTCCATCTTGCGTTCAAGGCGGAGGACCATGAGACTGTGGATAGGTTTTATAAGGCGGCGGTAGAGGCGGGTGGGAAGGATAATGGGACGCCCGGCCCGAGGGAGATGTATGGGCCAAACTATTATGGGGCTTTTGTGCTGGATCCGCTGGGGTGAGTGGTGTGGGAAGGTATAAGACGGCCGGTGCTAATGAGATGCGCAGGAATAACATCGAGGTTGTGGATAAGACGGCGCATTGACAGTTGGGCGTTGGAGGAAGAGGGACTACGGAAGCGTAAAGACACTGTGTGAGGAGGCGCGTGGCTGTTGTGCGGCAGGCTTCGAGAGGCCGCGTGTTAATGACTTTCCGAATCATAAGAGCAGTCACTCTCACGCCTCTTATTGTGGCGACTTGCTCGCTTGTCCCAACTTTCCCAGGGATTACTCCCTCACCAGCTCACTGCAGACCTGCCTACTTTGCTACCCACCCCAGTCCCACACTCATACCAAGCTCGCCATCCACTTCGCCGCCTGGTCCGCCATACCATTGTTCCCATACACAAAATGCGGCGGAAGCTACGGGCATCGTTAGCAAAACCCCACCTAGAACCAGCCCACAATTTCACTTACCACAAGCCACCTCCTCACATTCCCGGTTGCGACATCGAGCAGGAAGTACCGTGAGACGCCAAAGAAGCCACTGAGTATAGACACAGGTAATGCGGCGGCAGCTTTCAACTGCGCAGGGTTCGTTGCTACATCCTTCAGCAGCGCGAGATTATCGTACACCTCAGCTTTCCATGCAGCGATGCTAGAGGGCAGGTCGACACCTGACAGGGCGCTTTGCGTGCACAACAGGTCCGGAGATGTGTTGTCCTCGTTGCAGTATGCTTTGAACGGCAGCCCAGACGGAACAAGCTCCGGCTCGTCCATCAGGGCGTTTTCGTCGCCGAAGGTGGCGAGCCCTTTGAGCTGGGTGGCTGCGTTGGGCGAGATGCGGTTGACGCATTTGTGGGCGCAGAGGGCACCTTGGCTTTAGCTGTGTAAGTCAATCTGTCCCTTCTGGAATACGGAGGCTCCAACAATAGCCCGAAACCTACCTCCACCCCGACACAAACACATTCGCCCCTGGACACTTCTCCACATACGCATCTACCGTCCTCGCGCACGCGTCTGCGCAACTTTCGCTCCCTCCTTCTTTGACGTAGTCGGCGAGATTGGCAGCATAGTCCCCCGCGTTGACGCCTTGGACGTGCACGTCGCCGGCCAAGGCGGAGAGTACGCTGTCTTTGAGAAAGGGACCGACCCACACGCCTAGATTCCCGGAGTCGAAGGTGCCGCGGGCGAAGAGCACGGCGTGCGAGGCGCAAGGTGTGCCGCCGCGGATGACGGCGTCCATGTCGGTGGATGTGTCGGAAGCAAAGCTGGGTGCGGGTGTGGCGAGCGTGAGCGCGGGGAGGAGGAGGGCGAGCGGGAGCATGGCGGCGGTATCAGAACACAATTAAACGATAGTATAACCGAAAAAAACCACAGTCCCAAAATGCAAAAGGAATAAGGAATAAGGAACAAAAGAACTGGTAGAGCGCTTGCAAGATGGCAGAACGTCTGCGTAATGAGGCGTGATCGAACGACATGGGAGAATAAAGCTTTATGGCACACTTTGTTTCCTCTGGAAGGACCTGCCCAACGACAACTGCAATCTCCGCCCAAGATGGGGATGCTGGAAATGCTCACACCCGTGCTGTATCGAGCCTGGTCGCACTCCTGTACACCGCATCCGTACGTCCCTCGCTACAATCGCATCCTATTCGGGGCTGTGCAGTCACCACACTGTGCGGTAGGCCACGCTTGCGGACAACTTCTGCTGTGAAACGTCGGGGTGAATTATCCAGGTGAGCGCTATGGGGTCCGGAGATGGACGTGGGGGCGGAGGAATTAGCGCGGAACGCAACGTACGTAGGGAAAGAAACGGCGAGCCGCATCGCCACTTCCACCTTCGCAGCCTCTCCATATTGTTCTGTTCGATTGAAGCAGCAGACTAGAAGCGGCGGTACACAAGAGGCGAGGAGCTGAACGATGCGGCAGCGAGAAATGGTGAGTGTCCGTTTCCTGTCAGCAGTGCAAATAGTACTTCCCAGTCTGCACCAGAGGATACCCCCGCCCCGCTCCTCTCACCTGCTCACACGCAACGCTTCAAAACCCTACCTTTACACTCTCCGGCGGCCCAAGATAACTATCCCTCACACCGCCCAAATCGACAACAAGTCTATGAACCACCGTCCCCGGTTCAAGCAGCCACATCTTCACCTGATGCGCCCCTTTCTCAACTTTACCTACATCAATCTTGACTACTCTAGCCCCGTTGATGACGCTCTTGCTCCACCCTGAAGGCATACTCCCCAGCGTGCTACCCGGAACCGGACTCACTGTAACCGGCGTCCCCTCGTCCACCTGCACAGCGAATTTCAGCGGGGATGAAGGATTCACGTTGAACGAGGGCGGGAGGTACGCCACCACCTTTGCGCTGGCGGCGGAGGTGAAGGAATAGAAAGAATACACGGCACTGGGTCCTGACGTGGTTGTCTGGGTGCCAGCGCTCACGGGGAGCAAAGTAAGCCCGGAGTGCGTGCGGCCGTAGTGAGGGATGACCTCGAGCGACGCGCCTGAAGACGATGCGGTGCGGGAGGTGAAATAAGCCATCTCCATGGCCACGGCCCCGGCGGAATCGACGTAGCCTTTGAAATCTGTGGGGACGGCGACGTTGTTGAGTGGCAGGCTGAGCGTGACGGGTGCCCCGGATTTGGGCGTTATGGCGATGGTGGAGGTGCTGGTGCCATTGGGAGCGGAGGACCAGTCCACGGATATGGTGGCGCGGATGGTGGACGTACCCGATGGGTAGCTGATTGTGCCGTGCGAGGGTGTGATGCTAATGTAAGGAGAGGGGGATGAGATGGTGAAGTCTGTGGAGCCAGAGCCACGGGCGTAAATGTCAACTGTGCGGTTCTCGGGGGTATAGGGGGAGAGGGCGAGGAGGAAAGGTGTGGAGTCAGGGGCGGAGGCTGTGCTGCCTTGGACGGAGACGCCCATGAGGCCGGAAGAGGGGGCGGTTGTGCTGATCGTGGTGACTGATGGCATGGTGTTGGAGCTGGGATCTTGCCTGCTTCAAGGTTAATTGACTTTTGGTAAGGGTCAATAGAGAGAAAACATACCAGTTGTTGTAACCAAAGTGAATCTGGTCCATCATATGATTCCACTTTCCGTTTAACAGTCCATGGTATCTCTTCTGGATTACGCCATCTTCAGCATATGCCGCCTTCACATCGGCAGCAAGCTCGTTCGCACTCATACGCTTCTGTGTCGCATACGCTTTGTTCCTCGCAGCGTTGATGTACACTTGCTGCACAACTCGTCCTGCCATCACCGGATGCAACACCATCTCGAAGAATGAAATTTGGGTAGCAGGGTCAAGCTGATCGTACAATTTTTGTGCCTTATTTTGAAGATCTTCCCACTCGTGGAGCACATTCTCGGCCTCGTCGTAGTTGGTCGTGGAATAGAGGAACGGCGACATATTGAGCAGCTCGTACTTCCTTCGTATGATGAGCTTTCCGTAGGTAGCCATGACTTCAGTGGTGCCTTGCGCAACTTTGTCGCCGAATTCGCGTGTTGCCCAAGACGCAAGCCATTCGTCTGTGCTGTCAGGCTTCATGAAGTTGTCCATGTCATACGCCATGTCCAGGAAGTGAGAGATGGGTATCTCGAGGGGTTTCAGATCGCCGACATTTACGATCCATATCTGCGTGGCGTTCTTCTGGTGCGCAAGATGCATTTGCTGCCACGTCTTGGAAAGCTGGATACTATTGATCCATTTGTAATTCCGTGGGTCGCCGACGTAGTCGAAGTGGTAGTATACACCCGCATTACCGATTCGGTTCGCCTCGGCAGGGATGGGTAAACGTTGAATATTCCCACTGTTATCATCGCTCCAGAGGATCGTGATCTCTTCTGGTACTTTCATCCCAGCTTGATAGTACCCTCCGACTTCTTTGTATACGCACCACATCTGCGGCACAGCATTGAGACTTGAGACGCCAAGGGTGCTCTTCAATATGCCTTGCTGTGCTGTGAACACATCGACTAGGGTCTTCGCGTCTAGGGTCGGGCTCGCGGTGTCACCATCGCCTCGCATACCCAAGGTCCAGACGACCTCCCAGTTCTTACTTCGCGTTGCACCGTCCTGCATGTACTTTTTCAAATTGCTCTGATTACTCTTCCAGTCCCACGGCTTGACTTTCTCTTTATCTGCGCGGGCCATGGGTTCCGTGTGGCTCGTCCCCATGACGATTCCCATCTCATCGGCGAGCGGTCCATTCTTACTGTCATCGACATGGAACTTCGATGCCCACATGGCGGGCCAGAAGTAGTTTGCGCGCAAGCGCAAAAGAAGCTCGAATACTTTTGCATGGAAACGACTGTCGTATACGCCGCCGAAATTCGATTTCACCCAGTTCGTGAGCGCAGGCTGCTCGTCGTTGATGAATAGGCCCCTGTATTTGATGGAGGGTGGGCCTTGGGTTTTCGGTTTGGGCAATGCGTATAAAGCATTGTGTTTCTTTGGAGGGACATCGGCCCACCAATACCAGGGGGATACGCCGATCTGCTCGGAGACGTCATAGATGGCATATATGGTGCCGCGTTTGTCACTTCCAACAAGCACAAGTGCACGATCGATACCATCTACCGGATTCTCCACCAGCGTTGACGTGAAAGACTCCCATTTCCCCTTGACATTGGAAACGTCGACCTTGCCAGCAGACACTAAGCTGTCAATGAGAGGAGATTTCCCGACCGTTCCTTGACGAGCTTGTCAGCGAGCATACGATCGGCCTACCGCATTTGGCGCACAATCCCTACCTGCAATGATGACCGAACTATTGGAGAGCCCGGAAGTCCCCGAGGCGACTTTCCCTTTCGTGCCTGTGACAAGGCCGAAGTCATTCGCTAGGTCGTTGCCCGCTCGCGCTACGCCTGGCCAGTCTTTGCTATCGATGACTATAGTCGGCGCTTGACCAGTTCCACCGAGCTTGAGGGTACCTTCGGTTTCAGAAAAGGCGATGCTTGCTGGTTGTCCGATGGCAGTGGTGCCGCTGATGACAAAGCAAAGCAATGCGATTGATGCGAAGAGTTCCATGGCGGGTTGATCTCAGAGCGCGAAGTGCCATGTGCAAGCGCCTTCGCCTTCCCATATTGTATGCCTGGCTATAGACCCCACATGTACGATTTGTGGTGGTGGTCGTACGGAGCAATATAGAACGTTACCGGCAAATATGGTCGTATTTCGAAGCGGGATCGTTGGCATTGGCGGAAAGAAACATCAGTCGCCACTGAATTATAGTACTGATCCACACGTTATGCCGGGCGTGTATAAAGGGGTACTCTCTGCAGACAATGTAGGCGATTATGCTTGGTAGCAAGCTGCATATCGAACTGTACCCCTTCACATGGAATCACAGATACGAGCACATGCCCATGCGTCAATCTTCCACGAACCATGGCTTCACATCCACTTGTGCGAATTTGGATGCGGTTCGAAAAGCATTTCCACGCTTGCTTCTGAGCTTTGAAAAATGAGACGCCTGCCCTCCGGTCTCACGTGGTAAGGAGCCCGTGGGCATGAGAGGATAGCGATGTCGTGTGACTGGACGGTTTTGAGGGCCGAGGCGAGCTTGGACCTCGACCTCTGACGACACACCGCGGTGGACATTATCACATCCACCGCACGATCCACTGCCCGCGCTGCCCGCCATTGCGCCCCACGATGCAATGATGCTTCATTTTCAAGCACGATGAGACGATAGAAGATACAGGCTCGGCATTGTTTCTGCCCACGCACATCGGCAAGACGGATGAGCCCGCGGCCGCATACAAAGTCTTAGCATCGTGAAGCTGCGACGCTCGGGAGCAGATGAACATGGCACACGCTCAGCGCCCGCTCGTGATCCAGACGCAGTTGGTGCGCCAGTTTTGCCCGCGCAATGTCCGCCGGCCGGGCGCTGCGCTCTTCGCTCGGGGGCGGCAGCACCGCGCGCTGTCGACGGCCAAGGTGACGGACCACGACATCTCGCGGCTCGCAAGCCTGCCGCTGCACCCACTCACCCTCGCCGACCTGGTCAGGTCAGTACACCCGCGCCTCCTCCCGCGTGCCTGGCTGACTCCCCCGCGCACGCAGACACGGCCGCCCGCCCCTCACCACCCCGCAGCTCCTCACGTCGGCCAACTTCACCCTGTCCATCCTGCCCGCCCGCCTCGCCCACCGCATCCAGTCGCTCCGCAACCTGCCCTTCATCGTCGTGTCCAACCCGCACATCTCCAAGATCCACTCCAACTACATCCACAGCCTCTCCACGCTGCTCCCATGGGCCGAGCGCGAGATCACCACCCTCGAGGACGAGGTCAACTTCACAGAGGTCATGGCCGACCTCGTCAACACGCACTCCAACACCATCTCCATCCTCGCCCGCGGCTTCCTCGAGGCCCGCAAGTACATCTCGCCCACGGACGTCACGCGCTTCCTCGACGAGCACCTGCGCGCCCGCATCGGCACGCGGCTGATTGCGGAGCAGCACCTCGCACTGCACCTGTCGTCGCAGCCGCACGCCGAGACCATGCATGAAAGCGCCCACAGCGAGGGCTGGAACGGCGTCATCGACACCGCGCTGCGCCCCGCCCGCATCGTCCAGCACTGCGAGAACGTCGTCGGCGACATCTGCGAGCTCAAGTATGGCGTGCGGCCGCACGTCGTCATCAACGGCGAGCCGGACTACGCCTTCGCCCACGTCCCCGTCCACCTCGAGTACATCATCACGGAGCTGCTCAAGAACGCGTTCCGCGCAACGGTAGAAAGCGGCAAGGAGAGAGAGCCCATCGAGGTCACTATTGCGCCGCTGCCCGAGGAGATTCACGAGCCCCGCGACGCAGACGCCGAGGATGTGCGCCCCAGAGTCAAGAATGTGGACCAGGGGACCACGGATATCGCGAGCAACCGCTGGACAGGCAAGACGCCGACCGCGCCGTCGTCCGCGCAGATTCTGCCCCTCGCACACAGCACGCCCGGCGTCACGATCCGCATCCGCGATCGCGGCGGCGGCATCTCGCCTGAGACGCTGCCGCAGATCTGGAACTACAGCTTCACCACCTTCAATGACGACAGGGCGTCGTCGACGCTGTCGGGGCGCGGCAACAGTATGGACACCTTGAGTGCCTTCTCGGGCCCGGGCGGGGACGGCGCGAACAGTCTTGCGGGGCTGGGGTATGGGCTACCCCTAGGACGGGCGTATGCCGAGTACTTTGGCGGCGGGATCGCGATACAGAGCCTCTGGGGGTGGGGCACGGATGTGTATCTGAGTCTGCGGGGCGTGGGCAAGGTCGAGGAGGAGAGCTGGAAGTATAGATACCAGAAGAAGGACGGGGACGCAAAGTAGATACAGCATGCATCACAAAAATCGACAGTACATATACACACATGCACGGAGTCCACTTCCGAACTGTAAAAGGTGAACACAATTCCGCGTATTTACAACCGAACAAAGCCCAGCCCAAATCTACCTCCTCCTCTTCCCACCGCCCCCCTCGCCACCCTCCTGATGCCTCCTCTTCTTCCCCTCCCGCTCCCAGTAATCCTGCTTCTCCTTCTTCTCCCGCTCCGCCTTCTTCTCCATGTTCTCCGCAATCTTCCGCTTGTACCCCTCCTTCCGCACCTCCTGCGCCTTGCGCCTCTTCTCCACCTTCTCGTTCCGCAGCGTCATCACCTGGTCCAGCAGCCTGCGCGCCTTCTTCTCCTCGCCCCCAAGCACGACGGCGCGTTTCTGCAGGTACGTCTTGTTGCGCTGCGGCTTCATCGCCGCGATCTGCGACTTGAACGGCAGGTCCGCGGCGAGCTTGCGCGGGACGCGCAGCGGGTTGAAGTGCCGCTCCTGGCGGTCGACGGGGCGGTACGCACTGTTCTTCAGCGCGGGCGTGGGCAGGTTGAGTTCGTGCCGGACCTGCCCCGTGAGCCGCATGCCGCTCCACGCCGTGCTCTCGCCCGTCTCAGGCGACAGCACCGCGTCGAGCAGGTTCGTCACCGGGTTGTAGAACCGGTGCGGCTTGATCGGGTACCACGCGCGCAGGAACACAATGTCGCTCATGAGGATCTTGTCCTCGAAGGTCGCGCGGAAGTTGCCCTCGGGCTTGCTCAGCGCGCGCTTGATCTGCCCGCGCACCCCCGACACGGTACGGATGGAGGCGCCCTCGAACTTGGCGACCTCGAGCGCCGACTGGAACATGTCCTTGATGAAGGCGGTGTTTTTGAAGATCTTGTAGGGATGCCCTGTGAGCTTGAGTTTCTTGACGATTTCGAAGTTTTCGTCGACGGCGAGGACGACGCCCGTGGCGGCGATGCGGAAGCCCGGCGTCTTGTTGCTGAAGGACTGAACGCAGCAGAAGCCCGTGTTGGGTGCGACGAGCGGGCCGTAGAACGTGCCGTGGCAATGCATGTGCTCGGGCGTGTACTTGAGCATGCGATGCCGTTGTCTGTTCTCGTGGATGCTGTAGATGGGCGTGACCTGGAAGCGGCGCCAGCCCAGGGAGAAGATGAGGGGATCGCTGGTCTTGAGGATCTTCTTGTGCCAGCGGTGCCGCTTGATGCGGACTTGGACGAAGCCGAAGCGCTCTTCTGTGGGAGTGAGACCGCCGATGACGACGGGGAAGCGGGGGCTGAAGTTGGCCGAGAACTCGTAAGGTACCTTCTCCAGAACGATGCGGGCGTACGTTCCGGCTTTGTGCCCTTCGACTCGGATGCGCGATGCCGTATCCAGTTGGTCGAACTCGGCACGGTTGATGTCGAGCTGCTTTTGTATCTGGGCTTTTTGAGCATCGTACCAGTCGTCTTCGCCGAACTCCTCTTCCTGCCCGGAGTCCTTGCGGGCATTGGCTTTGTCGTTCATGAAGCCTTCCCGGTCTTCTTCCTCGAACCGGAGCTTGAGCTCTTCCTTCCGCCGAGCATTCTTTTCTCGCTCATCTTCAATTGCAGCGGTTGCATCACCATCCTCTTCGGTGGCCTGTTCGGTAGCCTGCTTTCCGCCAAACTTCTCCCCAGTCTCCAAATCCTCAAACTCGCCGTCACCCTCATCGCCATCTTCTTCGAAGCCCTCAAACTCGTCGTCATCGTCTCCATCTCCGCCTTTCCCGTCCATATGGCCTACGGCAAACCTGCTCTTTAGTGCCTCAATGTTCTCATCGTCTTCCCACTTCTCTTCTAACGCAGCGTAGTCAAACAGGGGTATATAACGATCCTCCGCATTAGCAGCATCATCCACTTTTGATTTGTTAAAGAAATCGTCCTCATCTTCGTCGTCCACTTCATCTGCATCATCTTCTTCGCCGCGCCACTCTTTCAAAACCTCAGCTGGCGAGAGTTCCAGGTTCTCCATCAGTTTTGCGAGGTCAGCGGGTTGGTAAGCCCGCTTCCGACCGTGCATCTTTGCCGCGTTCTCTCGGAGTTTGTCTTTCCATCGAAGTGCACCGTCCTCGTCCTCTTCGTCAAAGTCCACTGAGTCTAGATCGTCATTCTCAAGCTCGTCGAGGTCTGGCTCTTCGCCTGATATTGAACCGAGATCGGAGTCACTGTCTGCAAACGCCAAGTCCTCAGCTGTCGCATCTTTACGTTCAGAATCTCTCCGGCGAGCGAAAGCGGGTTTGCCATTGGGTATTGAGTCGCCTTCCAAGAAACCAGTGTCGTCCTCGTCGTCTCCGGACTCGTAGTCTTGTTGTAATTCTTCGTAGTCGCTGTCGATGCCATCGAGATCGGCTTCGTCTACGTTCTGCTCATCTGCCATCCTCGCGTGGCGATGCGCTTTGCGGCCCGAGTCTGCAGCGTCGTCGTCTGCGGTGCCGTCGACGGTCTTTCCACCGCTGAACAGCCTCATTCCGGCATCATCTTCTCCCAGTAGCTTCCTGCCTCCTTGCAGACCAATCATCATCTGCTCGCCCAGCCCCCGCTCCGTGTAGTCTGCATCAGGATCAAACGTTGGATTCTTGATATCAATGTACACAGCGTCCTTGTCCACCAGGACACCGCCAACATCCGACATGGGCGCAAACAGGATCTTCTGCTTGTCACCGAGCCTTGCTCGTTTCTTCTTGCCAGTGACCTTCTCCAACTGCTTCTCGAAAAACGGCGTAGGGCACGGATCGGGCAGTGCCTCTACCGAGGAAACGCTTAGGTCACCAACACCTGGCACATGAACTCTGGACCCCTGCGCAGGGAAGTTTGTTCCGCGTAGGTATCCATACAGGGCTATGGTGCGATCGCACTTGGGGTCTTCTTCCATATCGGTCGGGGGCGTGATGTCCAGGAATCTGTCGGCCAAGCAGTACGGATGGGAATTCCTCCACACCAAAGGCCTTGGGTTCTTCATGACGCTCAAAAAGCGCGACAGGTTCATGATCTCCCTGTCTGGATATCGGCCATTGGCCACGCCAGAGAGGTAGAAGAGCTTGGCGCCCTGGTACAACTCGCTCCAGAATCTGTGCTTCAACCTCTTCTTCTGCAGCTTCAGGGTTTCTTGCTTTCGGAACAGGTCCAGATGGGTGAGGATGCCGAACACGTTCCCGGGCATGCCGCTGGCTGACAAGACGTTGAGAAACTCCATCGTCTCCATTTCGAAGCCATAGTTGCCGTCGATCATGAGCAGGCATATGTCGACCACCTTGGCGATGTCGATCATGCTTGCCAGCGAGTCGGCGGGGCATTCCATGAAGGTGAGGCGTCGGCGCTTCGAGGTGACGACTGTCAGCGGCCCGGTCGGCGTGGAGAGGGTTTGCTTCGTGTATCGGCGGATCAGAGACTTGATCAGTGTCGTCTTGCCCACGCCCGGGGGACCGACGACGCCGACAACGATGGGAGGGGCCTCTTCGGGGAGGCGGTCGACGAGCGGAACATGGAGGCGCTTTTCTTTGACCTGCAGCGCTGTCAGCATAGCACCTGGGAGGCTGTGCGGGCGGTCCTACATCGTGCGATCGCGCGGCTTGCTTGGCCAGTCGTCCAGGCGCATTGAACGCAAAGGCCTTGGGATTCCGCTCCCCGGTGGTCGGCGCCTTCTTGTCCTTGGGCTTCCGATGCGGTCGATTCGCCTGAGCCTCCGACATGTTGCAGAAGGAACGAGTGCAAACACCAGGAACAGCACGGAGGCGATCAATGGGCCAGTCGGTGTCGCGCTTCCAAAATTTCGTGCTAGCGGCGCGCCAAGAGTTCGGCAGCAAGGGTCTGTTATCGATAAAGCAGCCGCTATCGATAAGGAGCAAGCTGGGCTGGCGGGGCAGGCGCGAAGTGGGCTGAGGCGTACACAGCGAGGGTACGCGTGATGCCCCGACGATGACGTGCGTGTGCTGCACCGAGACCCTGTTATCTATATAAACACACGCTGGTACTCTCCCGCCCGCACCCCCTACCATACCATCACCGCGAGACCTTCATACACCACCCACGCATCCGCAACATGCCTGCTGTCAACGTGAGCCTCCTGGCCTGCTCTGAAGAACCTAGCTAACCGAGCCATTTGCAAGGTCACCCTCAAGGACGGAGCCTCCCCCGACCAGCTCGAGCAGGCCAAGAAGAAGGTCCAGGACCAGGGCGGCAAGATCACGAACGAGTTCACCCTCATCAAGGGCTTCACGTACATCATACCGTCCCCGTGCTTGCTGCAGCCTTGCTAACACACCCGATTAGTGCCGAGTTCCCCGAGGACAAGGTGGGCGCCCTCGAGACCAACGAGCACATCACCGTAGAGGCAGACTCCGAGGTCAAGACTCAGTAGATGCACCCAGTGTAAGCGACAGCGCTACGAATAGACGGATACACCATGCCGCGTCAAGCATGTATGCATCATTAGCACCTTATTTCAGGGACGCCATGTGGAAGCGGGCCTTACCCTAGCTAGCATGTAGTCGTGGTTTCACGACACCATAATGCATATCTTCGATTCTTCAGCTGCTCTGCTTGCTGCGATATGACGTTTTCCCCGTCAACTCTCGCGATCTCGTGCCAGTTGCTTTTCGTTGCAACTTGTAGAGAATTTTGTTGCGGATCGTCTATCGAGATGCACATTCCCAGCGTGGTCTGTGGGCTCCACAGCCGCATGCTCAGCTCCTTGTGTACAAAACCATGTACACCGGAGTAGAGGGACGCTGTATTCAGTACATCGTCGTTCTTCTGACTTATTTGCCCGTTCACCATGCAACATCTTGGCAATTGCCATTGGGCATGGGTGGAGTGATTCGACACGTGTTCATCTTGTAGAGGTACAAGAGCGATATGGGCCACTTGCGGAAATCTTGTAGCCTTGCCTCCATGTGCTTGTGAGACATCGTGCCTAGAAGCACGATAGCTTGCTTGGAAGGGTTGTCGAGTACCATGTTCGTGCCTATACCCGCAAGCGGTGCCCCAAGGGTTGGGATGAAGACGGAAGTCCTGTAGCGGTCATGGTGTCTTGATCAGACAAGCTTCCATGCGCGGTTGGGTCAGGTCAGTGCGATGGAGCGCTTCAGGACCCCCACTCTGATCTATCATCTGGGCCCGACCGAGCTGGGTGTCAAGTTGTAAATGGCTTGTAGCACGTGAATGGCATGCCCTATACGACACCTAGAGGACGAGCTTCTAGGTGCGCCATCACCAGAATGTTCGCGACGTTGTGCTTCAACTCTCGCTTCTAACCCGCTGTTTTCGGCTCAACAGCGTTGAAGTACACTACACTCTCCCAGGAGTGGCAGGTGCATGGTGACGTTGTGGAGATCATGCTTTTGGAACCTTTTCCAAGGAGAAACTAGAATGGCACTGGGCAGCTGAACCTGTCAGTGGTGCCGGTGCATTGCATAGCACGTGGACGCCGCATACGCCGTGTCTCGTCCGAAGTCTCGACGAGACAAGTTTCGAGCTACGTTCACGCCAGAATGCCCCTGCGTTAGTGTGGGCCCTGTGAGTAAGTCTGAGGGAGCTGAGAGCGCGGTAATGATTCAGTTGACCACGCGATGATGTTTATTGTTGGAACTGGGTCCACAGATTAGAGGAAAGAAAAAAGAAAACGTACTTGGCGTTCTCTCTCATAATCTCTGTGAGGAGGGGCTGTTGCTGCCTTTCATAGCCTTCTCATGACTTGGCAGCGTTCTGGTCTTATCACTTTCGATCAATCCGACGCGCCGGTCAAATGCATGCTAACAACGACTAACTTACGGACGGTATCTCGGTACATCTGTCTCGGCTTTTTTGAACTTGCTGATTAGGTAAAGTCAGTGTTAAGTCTGTGATTCGACGAGTTTTTGAAAGCTCATGTGGTCACTACGCCGTCCGTAGGTGCTTGGGCTACTATGTTCCTGCTCAATTTGGTCTTTGGTTATTTTTACTTCCCGGCAATGCCGCGCGGAGTCGCCTGGCCTAGGTCTGTCCGGAGTGGTGTGGTTTGGCCAATTGCAAATCGATCACTTGTCTAACAGCTTTTAGTATTTCTTCTGACTCGTCTTGCGCGTGACCTGTGCAGCAGCCTATTTTTTATATGAAGATTGAACTCATTTATTCGAGAGCGATCTCGCAGAGAGCAATCTTATAGAGATGCAAGGACTATATGAATGCGCGTGCAGAGGCTTGTAGCGCGCAGAGCTGAGCACTCAACATCTGCGTGCTTGCCTACCGGATGACAAGGCACGAGATCACCGCGGAATGCCGGGTTAACGTCGACCGGCTCGGTGCGCATAAACGACCGACCTAGTTTATGCTAAATAAGCACGTGCTTGATTAGCAGAACAGTCTCTAATGGGGTAATGCTCCGGTACCGATGTACGTTCCTGTTCGCTCTCTGGTTAGTGGGGAACCTTCCTAAGGGGCGTTTGGATCGCTAGTCTCGTTCGGATCTGATAGGGATCACTGAATGGGTGTTTCGCCACGTGTGAATACGAAGATCCCAAGTCGGTGTAACAAACCATACGGTGATCTCCGAAAATCGACGCGGGAGGACGGGTGTGGAGGCGCAGATCCTGATGTAGCAGACCGTTGACCTACTCGTGAACTTCGTCCACAATGTTGTTGCAACGCTCTACGTTGTCCGCGTACGACATTTGAGTCGTGCCAGAGCCTCCCGAGCATTTTTATCCGTTTGCATTTCCAAGTGCAACTCCTCTATTTAGTAATATCGCCCGCTCACTGGATGGCTAGCAATAAGCCCGCTGCTTGACTCGTCATGAAGGGCAGTAGCTACCTCGCAATGTCGTTGCTTGCGATCCCTCTCTCGAACCAGGCTGATGTCGTTATATCGACGAGAAGGACATACGGAGAGACAGGTCATCATTCATAAATGCGTCCCCTCGCCAGGCCAGATCTGCCTGCGAAAGTCATTTCGAGTATTGGGTACACTTAGCCTTGAAGGTACCTTGGTACAACGTATAGCGATATATTGGAAATGTCGTGCTGCATCCATTCTTTGATTGGTACAATTCGGTCCAGATCCCACTTGCTTTTGTGTCCGTCGAACCTTCCGATCTTAGCGCGGTCGGCACGGGAGATCTGACGCGGTCCGCTACCGCACCATCGTGATGTTGCACATTCGCTAGTCTGCAGGGCCTTGAACTCCACATCAACGCTGACTTCTGGCTGTGTTTTAAATCCATCTTCCCAGCGATAGGTCGTGCGAGCCCACCGAGTCATGCCCCCACGTTGTATCGCTAGAAGTGGCGTCCGTGTGTCGCTCAGCGGCGGCGTGCCCGCTGCCTGATGATTCGCCCACCACGACGAGCTGGTTCCCATGGCGCAAAGTTTCCCGGAAAACCAACGAATGCGGTAGTGCGTGAAACTTTGTGCGCCACGCTCTACCAAACCTTGAATGTCGTTTCCTGATACAATATGTCTTGCGCAGAAATAAAGCATATGGACTTCCGCCGTCCCTTACAGGTTGAGATGCGGTTTCGTCAACATGGGTATGCGTGTGCTGGTATTCGCTTGGCTGTGCCTTCTGATGCTGGGAAACGTCAGAGGGTTGCAGCAAATCCATTCACGCGAACTGGGTATCGCTGACATCCCTCCTTGCGGCGTGAGTGTTCTCTTTTCAGGCTTCAGGATTAACAGTTTGCGATTGTTAACATTTTCGTAGCTCACATGTCTGCTTCCCAGCATAGCTGACAGCGGATGTGGAATCACCGATTATCAGTGCCAATGTGGGAATACAATTCTTGCCAAACGCGTGTCGGCATGCATGCTTGCAAACTGCACGATGGAGGACGCGCTAGGTACGTAAAAGGATGCTCTGACATGAAATATTGACTCATACATGCAAAGGATTCTCCCAAGTGCAGGATGACGTTTGTGACCTCTCAGAGGATTCCAAATCGAATACGGTTCTTATCTGTACCTGCGTCTGCTACCCTCTCGCGATCTTCTTCGTCACCCTGAGGCTTGTGGGCAAGGTTATGTCTAAGAGAGTCCGCTTAGAGGATTGGATCATCGTCAGCTCGCTCATTTTGGCTGCCATGCCTATCGCATGTGTGGTGAAGAGTCAGTCGCAGCAATCGGTTGCTTCGAATATGCTGACGCTTTCTAAGTGACGACAATTGGCTTCGGTGAGCATTTGTGGAATCTGAAGCCAGGTCAGCTACTTCACAGCTTACGATATTGTACGACCTTTTCACGTTGAAGGGAGCCACAGTATACTGACAATGATAGTCTACATCGCGTGGTCAACATACGTCATTGTGCTCGCCATGATGAAAGCATCTTTGATTATGTTCTACCTTGAGATCTTTCCGCTGAAAAGAGTCCGCATCATAGCATACATCATTCTGGGTTGGATCGTCATCAACTCGCTCATACTGTTCTTCCTCACCATATTCAACTGCCGGCCGGTGAATGCTTTCTGGGACCGGGACATTAAGGGACAATGCATGAACATCAACGCGCTGGCGTTTGCGAATTCCGGGACAGCAATTGCACAAGACATTGTGCTCCTCATTTTCCCTTTGGTCTGCATTAGACAGCTGAAGATGCAACGCGCGCGCAAGTTTGCAGTCGGCCTGATGTTCAGTATTGGTACATTGTAAGTTATATGAAGAATGCAGCAACTCCAACAGCTGAATGAAACAGTGGATGCATTGCGAGTATAATCCGCCTACAATCTCTTTTCACGTTCGAAGCCACCCTCGATCCGACGTGGGACTACGTGCCGGTGACCATATGGACCGAGATCGAGCTGGCATGCGGTTACGTCTGCGTCTCGCTCCCTGCCATTCGCGTACTCATAGGACGCGTCTTTCATACAAGCATATTCTCATCTATGGCTCGCTCGCGGAATACCAACGACATGGCCACGCCACAAAACTCCGTCCCCAAACAAATGCCCAAAGCCATACCTACGCAAGTGAAGAAAAAGAGACAGACTGTCTGGATGCGGCTTTCAGCTGCAGCCTACAAAGACAGCCCAGGTTCCCCTGCAGCGGTGGCGTGGCCTGCTGGCTGGAGTCCGCGTCCATGGTCTGGGCCTCAGCGCACGCCAACGAAAAGCCACCAAAGGCTGGGTAGTGACCACGGGTCTGTGTGCAACTTCTCGCATGTGCGAACCTGCACGCCTCCCGTCCCAGATCAAACCTCACGTTCGGGACATGATGTAGAGTTGGGAATTGTTCCACAGCCTCCGTCCAAGGCCGCAGCATGCTTAAGTTGTGGGACCGACAACGGGTACTTGACGGCATTGCCGACGCTGGGGTGCCTGCCCGATCGGAATTTCTCTAACACCGATCTCAGGCGACCGGTGACGAGTAATTCGAGATGGCACAAATGTTCGGTGTGGAACAGGACCGCTGGTCAAGGATAGTAATGTGTAATGAAATTCAAGTTAAACGACCCTACACCACATCAGTGCTCTTCCCAGGCGGAAAGGATTTCCCAAGACTGATCCAACGCTACCAGGAATGCGTAACATTGCTATAGATCAGTACCTGACAAACCGACACCAATGTCGTTCAGCGGTGTTCGGTGACCAATCGCGAAAGTCTTCATCCTGATCGTCCTGTCCATCCTCGATCCAAGCAGCGAACTTTTTATACCAACTCTAGCTCCTTCAACATCCTCGCTCAAGCTAAAGTCTATTAAAAGGCCGCGACGTTGCAGATCTCTGGCCTCGTGTAGCTGCGTTCATTCAAAGCCAATTTGAAGCTTCGGAGGAAGGTTCTGACAAGAGGGAGAACACTGCCGCCTTGACAGATAACGCTCATCTTGCTGCTCAGCGTGTTGAACTCTGCCGGAATCTGGCGTCCTCCGAAGCAGCGATCGATGCTCTAATGAACAGGTGGCCGGACATCTCAATTGCGTCTATCGGAGAGAGGTCGTGAGTGGACGACCCTACCGCCGCGGTTCGCACTTCTGGACACTAACTGAAGGTCAACAGGGCCTCGGGAATGCTAGAAGACGGGAAGTTCATACTATCTGACCGAACTTTGGAGGGCTTCAGTGATGATGAATTCAAAACAGTTTACAACAATGCAGTTGGTGCCAACCACATCAAAATGGAGAAAGCAATCAAAGTCACGGCGGTAAAAATCGTGGAGACACTTATTGCAACCGACTTTGAAAAAGACAGACGTTTGCGCGCGTTTTTGATTGCGAGCTCCCGGTTCCTCTTGATTAAAATAGCATCTAACAACACAAATCTTCTTCATCATTAGGTCAGATATGTGGGTACAATGTATTGCCGCTGGGTGGCTCTTGTAGTCTCGGAATGCATGAGGTTAGGTGCAGTATGCTACCCTAGGGCTAGCCATACAGAAGCACATAGGACTAGGGCTTCTGTTCTGGTACTATACCTATTCCTCCCACCTATATTATATGTTTTTAGTTGTAATCTTATTTTTCCATTATTATCCTGTTCCAAACTCTGCCACTAAAAAGCAATCGTTCTCGGTTCTCGGCCGAGGATCGATGAGATCTTGGTGGGCGGATCTCCATGCAATCAATTCGCAAGCCGCACTAAGAGCCCCATGTCGTCTGAGCTTCACACTATTTGGTACCCATGGGAAATTTTCTCCTATATGTGGAGGATTGATGGAAGCCAAGACAGCCCCCGTGTTCATGATGAAGTGAGTTGAGTCCAGACGAATCCTGCATCCACGCAAAGTAGCTTGTATTTGTGACTCCACAGCTCGAGGAAATGAGACCTAATTTGTAATAGTCGACCTGTGTTGATCTGAGCCATAATCTGGTTAAAGCACGTTGATTGACCAAAGTAGGACTTCTGGCTAGAGAAGACGGTGTTTCCGGGTCTGAAGAAGCCTGATCTAGCCCCGCATCCCTGATCAATTTCCCTGCCTAACATGGAAGAAGCAAGTTAGTCGACTTGATACGCAAAAGGCTCCGTGCGGATATAGAAGAAAAGTGGCCACTCTGAAGTTTTCCTTTTCTTGGTACAATGTCATAATAATCGATGGAAAGCAAATTTTGACTATGTATGGTTACCATACAGCTGCCTCGCCACCGACCAAGAGTGTGCTTATGATATCGCGGTTATAGGAAATGCTAACGGTGACCATGCCTCGAGGTCTCTACTCCAGGATAGTCGATCCTGAGCAGATGCTGGAGCCACAAATCAGGTTGCCAGTTTCGCCTAGTACAAGGCTTCTGTCAACAATTTTCGGGGCCAGGATACCTTATTGTGTAACGGAAACTGCTATCGCTGTATCAATGTCCGCACAAGAGATTGTGAGGAACGGCCGCCGAGGTGTTCAAGCTGTTCGCGTCAAGTGTCGTCAAGTCGGCTAGAACGAACGGCTAGAACGAACGCACGGTATAAAATCATAACAAAGGATTTCAGCAAGCATAGAGATGATCCGTCGTGGTGTCGCCGCTCATCCACTCAAGCTTTTGCACGTGCCCTAAGTTGGAGACTAGGCTGTATACAGTAAGGATGCGGCCTGATGCGGCTCAGATTAGCGAGACCCCACGTGGCGGTGGCGCAACAAAAATCAGTCAACCCTGAATCGCGATCGTCAAAGTTGGAGCAGGGGAAAAGTTGTTACTCGTTGTCGTGATGAAAACCGAAAACAGGACTAATTTAAGATGCGCCTGAGTAGGCATGATTACTGGGATCATTCACCCACTCGTTCTGTGAACCACTACCAACGCTACGCTGTTGCACGTTGGCCGGATGACAGGCGGTGAAAAAATTCATTTCAGGCGACGATGCCCGAGCACGAGGCTAGACTGAATTGCAACTGCCTCTTTGATTCTCGCTTGTCTTATCATCATTTCTTATCTTCCCCAGCTTTCAGTTCTTTCCCTCCACGTTCCCTCCACATTTCCTTCGTCTTTTCCTTTGTTTGCTTCGCGCGCACGGCGCCTCGGGACTCAGACTACCCCCGGGTTCTCTCTGGGCCAAAAGTAGTCCGATGAGCATCCTCACCTGCTGCGTGCCGCCGTCCAGCAGCCTCCCGCCTGTACGCTCTCTGCGCACCGTGTCCGAGGACACCATCGCAAGTGCACTCCACAGCCTCCAGGCGCTCTACTGTCCGCTGCGCCTTCCCGCCACTCTCGGGAAAGAGAAGGAAGCAGCGAACGCGCCCGTTGATTCCGGCTACGTTTCAGAAGATGAAGACGAGGTAGCTCCCCTCCAGCGCCGGTATTCCACTACCGAAGATGCCTTTGCTGCTCTTCGTGCCGACCCCTACGAAAAGGACTTCACGGTGCGGTGGCTCACGAGGCTAATCGCACGCGCCTCAGAGCTGCCCTTCGACAGCGAGGAGGCGAGAGAGAAAGCCGTTGATGACGCTGCTTTCATTCTCAGCTCATTCAGCGACTCGCCCGCCACCGAAGAAGATGAGGCGCTGACTCGCGACTTTGCGTTCCAAACTTCGCACGGGTCGGATGTGGCTATCCAGATTAATGATGCACCCTTGACAGGTACTGACCACACTGACGTCGGCCTGCAAAGCTGGGGCGCTAGCATCGTGTTTTCGGAATTAATGTGCAAGTACCCCGAACGTTTTGGGTTGGACCAACTGCCTAGAGATGCTAGTATCATCGAACTAGGTGCTGGAACGGCCTTGATAAGTCTGACGCTGGGCAAGCTGCTTCCCTCCATGGGTGCGAAGGCGCAGATCCGGGCGACCGATTACCATACCGCCGTCCTTGAGAATGCACGCACAAACATTTCCACGAACTTCGGCACCTGTAACACACCTGTCGATGCAATGGCGCTGGATTGGGCGACTCCACCACCAGCATTAGCAGCATCTGCAAACATGCTCTTTGCGGCGGATGTAGTGTATGCCCCGGAACATGCGGCATGGCTGAGGGACTGTGCTGCGCATCTCCTTGCCCCTGGAGGAACATTTTGGCTGGTGGTGACGGTGCGGAGCCATGGGAAATTCAACGGTATTCCGGACACTGCGGAGACTGCGTTCGAAGACTTCGAGAGTACGAGAAAGGCTGGAATGGCGTTGCGCATAATAAGCAAGGAGATGTTGGAAAAGAAGAGGGGGGTCGGCAGAGGGGATGAAAATGGATACATGCTATTCAAGATTGGTTGGATGGACGCTTGAAACAAGAAGAAGAGGTTCTGTCCTCGACAAAGATACCCTAGACACTAAGAGTTAGAGCTCATAGACATAGACACACGCGAACGGATTCAATGATACACCACCATCGACGTCGATGGTCATTTGATGCTGTTTCCACGACTCGCACTCGTACACATGAATCCGTGCAATCCGGTGTCAGACCATTGGGATTGTAAGGCTGAGGTCAATATTTCCTTGAATGATCAGATACCGGTGACGTGAATCCCGATGACACCCTTTCAACGCAGTGTACATACTCCCGCGATACAAAACATGAGCAATCAAGGGTGACTTTCCCGCAGTTTAGTCGTAACGAGAGTAGGTGCGAAGTGCTCCGTGGAACGGTAAAGATTCAACCCCGCTATCTACCGGCGCTAGCTTGAATGTCTACCTATTGCGTCACGATCATTGTACCCCGACCGTTCATCCCCAACATAATCAGTGCACACACGCCGTCTCATATTCAAGTCCATATCAAACAGCGACAATGTCAACTTCAGGAGAGTCAAAGCAGCCCCAAACCCAGTACTACACCATTTCCAACTTCGAATTCAAGAATGGCGACACACTGCCTGAGATCAAACTCGCCTACCAAATCCTCAACCCGCAAAATGCGAAGGTGGCCATAGTAAACACGTGCTTTAAAGGCCGCCTGAATGGAACCCTCACTCATTCTTCTGGCGCCTTCAAAGACCACAAGATTATCCTCATCGCACTCCTCGGCAACGGCGAGTCAAGCAGTCCGTCCAACACGCCGCATTTCCCCAAGACGATCGAATACATGGACTGTGTGCGCGCAGAGCATGCGCTTCTGACCAAAGGACTTAATATCGAAAGTGCAGATGCGATACTGGGATTCTCCATGGGCGGACAGATCACGTATCACTGGATAACAATGTACCCGGAATTCGTGCGCAAAGCCATCATCGTGTGCTCCTCCGCAAAAACGAGTCGGCACAATTTTCAGTTTCTCGAGGGTCCGAGGGCGGCGCTTGAGAATGCGAGAGACGAAGAGAGTGGGAAATATGCATTTGGGAAGGCGTACTCCGCGTGGCTGACGAGCGCGGAGTGGTTTGATGAGGAGCTGTACAAGGCTATGGGCGCGCAGAGTCTTGCAGCTTGGGACAAGGCTGTGATGGACTCCTACCATGACTGGACGGGCAAGGATCTGCTTGTTATGCTGGGAATGTGGCAGCGGGGTGACATTGCACGGTGCGTTCCGGAAGCGAAGGGCGATCTGGAACATGCCTTGCAGACGATCACGGCGAAGGTGCTGTTGATGCCGTGCGAGACGGATCAGTACTTTAGGCCATATGTCAACGAAAGGGAGAGAAATAAGCTAAAGAGCGCGACCGTTGCTGCGGTCCCTAGTGTTTGGGGACACATCGTGGGCGGAGACGCGGATAAGGAAGCTACTCGGTGGATGGACGATAAAATTCAAAAGTTTCTACAAGAGTGAGAAACTAGGGTTGCCATGAAACGATATGGACCATGGGCAGTCATACGCATAGTAAAGCAATGAATGGTCTGATCTTGACAGAGAAGATGTATGAATTTAGCATCGAGCTGTCGCTGTCTTTCATTTTCATGATCCCGAGCAAAGCATATCTATAGGCACAAAAAGATTGCACGAAATGAGTGTCAGATTAGGATCGTGGCTATGTCTTGGTATAGATAGAAAAAGAGCGTTGATCTTCAAGAAAAAATCGAAGCGTACAGCAAGCAGTATTTGACTTGACGTGGGCTGGATTGATACAGTGTCCATGTCAAACTACTGACTTACAGCGACATTAGAGGGAGCGTGTGAATATTTGCAACTCAAACGAACTTACAGTAACACAGTAACGAGACCTACATTGATACCATATTGGGTCAAGGCTCCAGTTTTGTGCTTTTCTTTTTCACGATTTTTTCCCCATTATACCTTTGTTTGATTCCACCATGCTTGAGAGCAGGCTTCAAACGAAGCCCACCCCCCGCCTACCAGTTCGTTCAGATCTCATCAGCAGCATCACGAGGGTCGTGTTCCTGCCAGTACTTCTCGTACTCGTCCCAAGTTTGACTTGGGAATTGAAGAGGTACCGTAATCGGACCGAACGGAATATCGGCCTTTTCGAACTCATCGAGCCGTGCCTTGGTCAACGGCTTAGTCTTGTTCACGCTGTACACCGAGATGCGGTGGCACGAGCTATTGTAGCACAAGTTAGAAGCAGTGCCTATATCTCAATGAGAACCTGTGGCATTCTTACCTGGTAACGTGCAGACCCCAGTTCCAGGCAGTTCGGACATCAGGAGGCTGGGTATTCAGGGCATTGTCCCAGCAGCGGCACACAATCTCGACCCAGCCCTCAACGTCGCATGGAAGGTCGAACTCGTAGGTGCGCCAAGTCCACTTGCGCTTCTTGGACATGTTTTCTGGTGGTACCGTGTACCAGTTGAAACCACCGTCATTCGAGAGCTCGATGCGCTCCGGCCAGCGTCCGCCACCGGAATAAGCCCAACCCTTGCAGCGAATCTTGCCGTTGTGAATGACGACCTGCTTCGTCCAGGGGGACATGATGGCCGAGCTCACCGGCATCTCCTGAATCTGAATACCATCTGTCATCTTGAGATTGTGCTTTCCGACTTGCTGCGGAAAGTATAAATACTCCTTGCTTTGGACAGGTGCACGGGTGGGGTTCTTGATAGCTTTGATGCGATATAGCCATTTGACACTTCGGGCCCCAATGTAACCCATCACCACGAGACGTAAGGGGTAACCATGGATGCGAGGCAGGACCTCTCCATTCATTTCCCAAGCCAAGAGCACCTCATTCGCTTTGACCTTGGACCATGGCACACTGACGAGGTAGTTCATCACTTCGTCGTCCTTAAAGTAGGTGTCAGCGCCGTAGAACTCAAGGTGCTTGGCTCCATCGACCAACCCTCCGCAGGCTTTGATTACTTTCTTCAGACTTATGCCGACGTAGGTAGCGGTTCCAATTGCACCTTCGGCCCATGGAGCCTGCGGAACCTCATCGCCTTGTCCAGGGTACTTCAAAATCTGCTCGATACGACGTGTGCCAGAGCACTGGATGGTCACCGTCTTCTCCACGCGAGGGAACTTGGCCTCATCCATGAGGTCATCCAAGGTGAACGAGCGCGGCTCCTTGACAAGACCGTCCATGGTGAAGCTGTAGTCTTCTTTGTCAATGATCGGAATGCCGCCATGGTTTCGCACGAAGTGTAGCGGATTTGGTGTTACCTCTTTGGCGGTCACGAGGCGCTTAGGTGGTTCTCCATTGTATGGAAACTGCAGGAGGTGGAGCATGTCAGGGTGCTTCTCTTTCAGAACCAGATCCCAAGAGTCGTCCGGAATCTTGGTGAGTTCGCCTCCAACCGCGTGATGCCACATCTTCCAGTGCGTTCCCGGGAGCACTGGGTTGGTATCTGGGATGGGACCGAGCTGGAACTCAGGGTTTGGTGGGAAGGTTTGGGAAGTCAGGATCTTGTGAGCTGCTGCCTTTTTTTCGGGGTAATTTTCCCATTCCACGAACCTACGCTCGTTTCAGTGAGTTTTCTACGGTGAAAAATCGTACCCATGGTAGCGAATGCCTCTGAAACATGCCAGTCGTGACTTACCCAACCCAGCCTTTCCTCTCCCGAGTAAAGAGCTTGTCGCGATCCCCCACCGCAGCGATCGCTTCTTTGTCCTTGGTCAACTCTCCGAAGACTTGCGGGGCCAATTCCTTCGTCTCTGAGCCGGTCATGTCAAGGACCGGCAGGACGGCCCCTTTCAGACCTTGCTCAATCTTCCACTCATCAGGACGATTGGTAGTTTTCGACATAGCTATTGCGTGAGAAGAATCCGCACTTTTGAGAAGCAGTGGAAGCCAAAGGTATGAATTCAAACAGAGCGGACGATCATATTCTTCGCAGCGGGTTGGATATCGCAGCGGAGTGCGACTAAATAATTTTCAAGACAAAGGAGAACCAGGAATGGTTGATGCAGCATGCGGTTTGATGGCCCGGGCGCATCCCATTGGTTGCTTTCGGTCCCATTCAGATGCATAGCTGAATGCGGCCACCTCACCGTGATTGGACAATTCTGACCTTAGATGGTACACTTTCAAACGTTCTTTCTGAGTAAGCTCGCCTAAGCGACGCTCGATACCTAGGTATGCTGTGAGCCCATTCCGATCTGCCGCTGAGTGGCTGGCCAGTCGATTCCCAGCCCGCTTGATTCACGGAATGTACACGTCTGAAGAGATAACGACGTACATCTCGTGCATCATTAATGATGTCCGAAACGGCGTTGTAGTGTCAAAATGTGGCCGTTCGAATTTGGCGAGTTATAAGGGAGGACAAAAGAGTACAGGGACGCGTAACATGAACCCAGGCACAGCTTCTTGCCTCACGACCTGCTAGAGCTGCACTGCTTGACGTTAAACGATAGATTGGTAACAGTGGCTCATCTCCCTTGTCAATGCAGGGCATAGAAAGTAGGCTGTGACCTTTTAGGACGACCCTGTTTTGTGGCTGTAGCTCACTCGGGCAGAATTGAGCTCAAATACAGAACGCTTCCCCAAATGGTGGTCAACTCAATCCGTAGAGTCGAAGTAAAAAAAGCTCGTTTCTACACCAGAGCTCGTTCTACATGAGAAGGACTTGGCGGAGGCCTTGCTGAGTTCCGATGGGGTCCTTGCGCCACAACTGCTTGCGATGGCCGAGAAGATGCGCAGTCACCTATGGCAGTCTAGCAAGGCGTCATTTTAAACAAGAGCCAGCACGACGCCGATCACAGAGTGTAGATACTCATGCTTACGATATAATATTCTAGACCTGATGAGGGTAAGTTGGCCCCATCGGCCCCGCCGGAGTCAATCTGGCGCCGCATCCGATCCCTGTCACCCCCGCGCGTTGTGTTTCCTACCCCACTTGAGATATGCCCAACAAAGGTCATTGTGCATGAGGAACAAGCTGGGAGTTATGAACCTGCTGAATCGAATACATGGCTGAACAATATTCTAGGAGGGAGCGCATCCGCAGCAACATTGAATGCATCACCTTGTTGATCAAGCCATTTGGGAACCGAGTGCTTGCTATCCATAGGGAAACGTCACCAGAGCTAGCCGTTCTCTGAGACATTAACCTAGATACCTACTCATAGGCTGGAGGAATTCAGTCCGTTACAGGCCTCCGGTGGAGGAATTGTCATTGGCTCCATCCTTTTCTTGTGCCAAGCTAGAAACATGTACTCTCCAATGGGGAGTGATCTACTGCCAACACACCGGCCAGCGATGTCATTTTTATGTAGATAATCCTCGCGCCCTCTCAAATACATGATCTATTTTGTCCTTTATATGCTCCTTGCAAGCTAGAATCATTATCGGAAACAGCACGGAATTCCATCTTGAACCCGACACATCATCATGCTTTTTCGAGAGGACGATCGCCTTGTCTTCAAATACGATGCTGAGCAGGTTTGGATTGAACCATGGGGTCCGAATGCCCTACGACTGCGGGCTACGAAAATGGCCTCTATGCCAAACGAAGACTGGGCTCTGCTGAAAGCCGAAAGATCGGATCCTACAATCGAGATTGGGAAAGATTCAGGAATGATATCAAATGGCAATATCAAAGCAACCATCACCAAGCGTGGAAAGCTGACTATCAGCAACGAGAATGGAAAGATTTTGCTTGAAGAATACGCACGGCATCGGCGCGATGTCGTCGATCCCAAATGCAGTGCCTTGGAAGTCGAGGCGCGCGAGTTCAAGCCAATAATTGGTGGAAACTACTATCTAACTGCTCGTTTCGAGAGCTTAGATCCGAAAGAAAAGATCTTTGGCATGGGTCAATATCAGCAACCATATCTCGATGTGAAAGGTACTCAACTAGAGCTGGCGCATCGAAATTCGCAAGCTAGCGTGCCTTTCGCTGTCTCCTCGCGTGGTTACGGCTTTCTTTGGAACAATCCTTCCATCGGCAATGCGATTTTCGGTAAAAACATCATGAGCTTTGAAGCACAGTCAACGCAGACCCTTGACTACTGGGTCGTTGCTGGTGACACGCCAGCTCAGATCGTAGAATCTTACGCCAACGCCACAGGCAAGGTTCCCATGATGCCGGAATACGGCCTCGGGTTTTGGCAGTGTAAACTACGCTACCAAACCCAAGAAGAGCTTCTCCAGGTAGCTCGAGAGTACAAACGCAAAGAACTGCCAATCAACCTCATTGTCATCGACTTCTTCCACTGGCCCTTGCAAGGTGACTGGAGGTTTGACGAGACATATTGGCCCAACCCTGGTGAGTGAATCATTAGTTAAGTTCTACCCGTAAACTCCTCTGCTGACGAGCCTCATTGTAGATGCTATGATCCAAGAGCTGACAAGCTTGGGTATCGAGCTTATGGTGTCTATTTGGCCCACGGTAGATAAACGTTCAGAGAATTTCGAAGAAATGCTGGAGAAAGGATATCTGATTCGTACAGAGCGAGGTGTTCGTGTTGCTATGACTTTTCAGGGACAAACAGTTCACTTTGATCCTACGAATCCAGGGGCCCGAGAGTATATTTGGGAGAAAGCTCGGAAAAATTACTTCTCAAAAGGTATCAAAGTGTTTTGGCTTGACGAGGCGGAACCTGAATACCGTGTATATGATTTCGAGAACTATCGCTATCATCGAGGGCCAAACATTGCTATCGGGAACATCTATCCTGTCGAATACGCGCGAGCATTTTACGAAGGTCAGACTAATGAAGGGCAGCAGAACGTTGTCAACCTCATTCGTTGCGCGTGGGCTGGAAGTCAGAAGTACGGTGCTTTAGTCTGGAGCGGCGACATCGCGTCATCTTGGTCGACATTGCGAAATCAATTGGCTGCTGGGCTTAACATGGGCATGTCAGGACTCCCTTGGTGGACAACTGACATCGGGGGTTTCCACGGAGGGGATCCCAATGAGCCAAAATTCCGCGAGCTGTTCGTGCGGTGGTTTCAGTGGGGTACGTTCTGTCCGGTCATGCGATTGCATGGTGACCGCGAGCCTCGCCAGCCAAAGGTTGGTTCTACCGGGGGTGCGAGCTGTCGCAGCGGTGCAGACAACGAAGTGTGGTCGTACGGACCAGAGGTTTACGAGATTTGCAAGAGATATATGGGGATCCGCGAGAATCTCCGTGCGTACACGCGGAAGCTCATGGCAGAAGCGCACGAAAAGGGATCTCCTGTGATGAGGACGGTATTTTACGAGTTTCCTGAGGATTCTGTCTGTTGGGACATCGAAGAACAGTACATGTTTGGCGACAAGTATATGTGCTGTCCAGTTCTCGAAGCAGGTCAAGATGCCATGACCGTGTATTTGCCTCAAGCGAATGGTGGCAGCAGGTGGAAATCGTTCTGGGGGGCAGAGGAGTGGGAGGGAGGAATCACAGTTGATGTAGCATGTCCACTAGGCATAATGCCTGTTTTCGAACGGCTTTGAGTTGGTCCCGCGCTATCAATGTACCGAGCCCCGCAAGGGATAATTTATTTAGCCGTGGTGTCCCGCTACTAGCCTCGCACCTTCCTGCATACATTTACACGTCTGGAGCACATACTTCTTATATAGTCTGTCACAGCTACGTCAATTGCTATGTCGACGTCTCCTGCGCGGGGAATAACTCCAGCTTTCCCATGCGCCTTTTGCGACCAAAGCTTTGGTAGAAAAGAGCATCTCACCCGCCATAGGAGGATACATACACAAGAGAAGCCATTCCGGTGTTCTAGCTGTACCAAATGTTTCTCACGCCTTGACGTGCTCAATCGCCACATTTCAACACATGAGGAACAAGAGATAAATCCCATTGTACTGGCCACGTCACGAGCATGCATTCAGTGTGCCACCGACCGTCTGCGATGTTCCCGTGGCACTCCTTGTCGGCGATGCGCGCAACGCCGTCTTTCATGTTCGTATCCGCCACCTCGTAGAACACGTTCGCAGATGCGATCCACTCCCACTCAGGCTCCGATAACGAGGAGCCCGGAGTGTCTCGATCCATTGAGTAACATTTCGAACGAGGCATTGAACCTCGACTACGACCCTATGGCTTGGACCTTTGATACCGATCAGATGCAATTTCCAAGCAACGCTAGACAATTCGGGCTGGGGGTTTCGGGGATCAATTGGCTATCCCCACATTTCGCTGACGGTATCGACCTGGACACTCTGTTCGCAGGAATGGCAAGTAGTGTGAGCGTGCAAGGATTACCAGATGAGACGATTCATAGACCCGGCATAATGGAAAACAGAAGCTCAGCTGGCGCCTTACTACAGGGGTTGTCAGAATCCGACAAGGGAACAGGCAGCTCGGAGTACTATGTTGCCGGTGATGGTGGCCGAGCTCCTTTCAAGGGCAGATCGCATAGACGCGGCTCTGTTCTGTCTAGCGTACCGTCGCATGAGAGCGGTAATGAAGGGAGCGTTCCTTCTCCACTCCTTCACAATGATGTTGTCAGCTCACTCTGTCCATTTTCGGCCTATGAAAATCTCTGCCAGGCCATTGCAGCAGAGACTTGCAAACAAGGAGATGACAGATCTGACCTTCGTATCCCCACTCATGAACAAATGCAGATTCATGTTGGGCGATATTTCCAGTCATTTCACCCAATATTTCCGTTTCTGCGGCGGGCCTCGTTCGCGAACGATTCTTCAGAGGAGTGGCTACTACTCCTTGCGGTGTCCATGATTGGCTCTAAGCTCACAAATCGGCCAAATCACCACGAGGAAGAAGACAGCATATTTCAACTGTTAGGAAAGGCACTTCAACGACAGTGGTACGGGTCTCTGCCAGAATGCCACAGTGGGGACAGACAAGAGCTATTTGTGCCAGGTGAACCCACCAGATGTTTTAGAAATCCTCCAAATCTTCGGGTGCTGCAGGCTGGTGTTCTCAATGTTATCTGCATGCTTCATTCGGGCGAAAAGGATCTGATAGAACGAGCTTTAGATGATCGCTATCGCCTAGTAGAAGCCTGCAATTCACTGTGCTTACTGAGCGAAGACAATGAGAACATTGCTCTGAATGTTGGAATGCACTGCTCCGAAGAAGCGATTAAGAAGTGGATCGTACGCGAGACGAGGATTCGAACGGGCATGATAATATGGCTGCTAGATTCGATATTCGTATACACACTACAAGAGAAGCCTTTGATGCGGCTCGAAGATGCGAAGACGATTCTACCATCCCATGAAGAGTCTTACGAGGATGTCGACATTTTGCGAACAGGCAAGAGACTACCTTGTAACATGACGATGCCGGCAGCCTTAGAGACAATTTATATTGAGAAGACACTTCCGACCGATTTGGGAGAGTTCAGTCATGTGCTCCTGATCAATGCGATCTATCGCCATACGAAGGAAATCTTGGAGAGGGAGCAAAATCGCCTGAACACTTGGACACCTACAGCACTGAAGCAGCACAATCCGGACAATCGTCCTTCACAAATGTCTTATCCCCCGACTACACCCACAGCTGCACAATGGCGCAATAGCGCCTGCGACTGTCTGGATGTCCTACACTGGGTAGCAAATAGTAAAGTCGCCCGATCGGCTGGCTTCGAGCACCACACCATCCTCCATTTGCATCTCGCACGCATCACCATTCTCACACCCATTAAGTCTATTCAGTCTTATGCGACGCATACTAAAAGCTTACACGATCCTCCCGAGACACGAGATAATCAAGCACTGTATACAGCACGCTTTGAGCTTTTGCATTGGGTCATACGCGACCAGTGTAAAGCGAGACTGTCGATCATACACTGTTCAGCTTTGTACTGGCATGTTCGACGTTATAGTTGTGATAGTATTTCAGAGCCATATGCGATATACATCGCTACACTCGTGCTGTGGGCGTATAGCTCATGCTTGAACCTGCCAGAAGTCGTTGCCACGACTATTGCAAGCTCTGGACAGGACGTGGAACCCTCATTTTTGCACCTTGATCGACCAATTGACGATGAGTTGGTGCAAGCCTTCGTACGCGAAGGAAATAAGATGGCTGCGTACATCTCTAAGATTGGTGACATTCGAAATCATTCTGCGCCGGCCAAGATACTGAAGGAAGGAATTGCGTTACTCGCAGGATCTTCCCAACCTTCTCCAGAGGGAATGGAACAATCGGACGAGATTTGTTACACATGGGGCATTGAGCGGTCATACGTGGGATTTCTCCGTCAACTGTCATATGCAGTGACAGAGATTCCAGTGCAGTGCTAGCTAGATAATCTACGATGATCCCTGCTGCTACCGTTTTTATGGCTATACCTGAGCTAATTTTCGGCATCTATTGGTAGGTATACGCTCCAGATCCAGCATAGCACATGTAAGACCAATTGATTTTGAAATTGAAGACTATCTTACGTACACGATCCCACGACTGCGTTAAGTTCTTTCATCTATCCAAGGCTCTTATTTACGTCGACCATGAGCATGATCATGCTCTGCGTACGCATCCACGACCTGGTCGGCGAAGTCTCTTGCGGGAATGCCTTCAGCGAACATGATGTCCAGTTCTTCGTAAGTACGTCCTTTCGTCTCAGGCAGCCGGAAGAATGCCCAAATGAAAAACAAGAATGCGCAACCACTCCAGAATAGAGCTGTTTTTCCCTTCCAGTTGCCTGCGGTAGGATTCAACATGTAGGGGTTGATAACATCTGATATGATCTTTGCGACGTAGTATACGACACGGGCGAGGCAAATGCTTTTGCCACGTAGTCGTGTGGAAGAGACCTCTCCCACAATCGCATAACATATCGGCCCAACTGTCAAATAGTAGACACACAGCCAGACGATCATCATGGCAGCTTGAGAATAATTCCCAGCCGACGAGCGGCTGGCGCCAACACTGATGAAGCCGACAATGGAGAGTATTGCTGCAAGGCCGCCCAGGCCCCAGAGGTAGAGTTTTCGGCGACCGATGTAGCTCATGAGGACCCAAGACACAATGGTTCCAATCGAGGCTATTCCAAGTCCACCAACAGACATCTTGAACGAGATTGCCTGTGGCACACCCGCCTGGACGAAAAAATAAGTCGGAGTACCGCCCATAGCAGAGCCGCAGAGCGGTTGGGCGGCGAAAACCATGCAAGCAATCTCAGTACGACGCCGATCGATTCCTTTAAAACACTGCACGTAAGATGTGTTTTCCTCGAGCGACTTTTCCAGGTCGTTCGTGTGAACCATCATTTCCACCGTCTTTCTGGCGTCTTTGCGCTTCGAAGGTGAGGAGAGGCGTGCTACCATCCTGGTGGCTTTGCCAAGGTCTCCAGTGCGGACATGGAACCAGGGAGACTCAGGTGCCAAGGAGAGAATCGCAAAAAGAGGGATGGGCCAGGCCCACTGAATAGCGAAGGGGATGCGGTATGCCCACTGTGTATCGTTGTTGGCAAATGCTGATTGCACGCCAGCCGAGATAAGTTGCCCAAGGGCCCAGCAGAGATTGACATAGACAGTGAGGTAGCCGCGTAGGACTGTTGGACAGACTTCGCTAGCATAAGCCGGAGCCGTAGTAGCGAAAACGCCCCAAGGTATACCGCAAAGGAATTGACCGACGAGCAGTACCGGTGCGTTGGGTGCGAAGAAAGATATGAAAACAAATCCACAGATTGATAGAAGTGACACCAACAGAACTGGACGATATCCATACCGGTGGACGAACCAGCCGTTAGCGAATGCTCCGATAATTGCGCCGACTGTGACGGCGTTGCCAAGCGCGTTCTGCCATGTGGCAGATATTTGATAAGAGCTGGTAGCGGCGTTGAATTGGCCATATCTTCGGGAAAAGGCTGGTTGTGCCCAAAACGAATTCATCAAAACGATATCGTATCCCTCCATTATGATGCAGGTGGAAAGAAGTACTGACCAGAACACAGCTTTGGGGTAAAGACGAATAGCCTGGAGTAAGGTCATCTGGCGCTCCTCGTTGGCCGCCTCTTTGGCTTCAAGGATGGCTTCATGGTGTTCTGCAGATGTCTTAACCTCATCTGATACCGACATGATTCATCACAATGTCGTATATGAGAAGTGTACAAAATGAGAGTGAGAAACTTCGAGTCAAAAAAGGAGACAATTCTAGTTCAACGACTTACTCAGTTAAGAATCGAAGCCGTTTGTTGGGGCGACCAATCAGCAGGATGCGGGTAGATACCCCAGAAAGCCTGCATACAGACGTGGTAGCTCCAAAGAGCTCAAGCGAGACGCTGACTATAGAGACTGTGCTCCGATGGAGAAGTTCTGGTGTCTGGGCGCAACAACCCTATTGGATGGCTGTGGAGAATTCCGGCACAGTTACTCCGGTGGAGATGTGCACACAGGAATTTGTCGCTCGACAAGTTTTGGTCACACCCTGTAAGGCGCGTTATACCGGTGATTCAATTCTTAATGAACGCAGACCGCGTCTCTACATTACAACTCTAGAGATTGCACGTTGTCTAATATCAACTAACCCTAGGCAATCACATACACACAGCAATCTCAGAGATTTTGGAATAGTACGGTCTATAGATCTTGTGTGATATTGTCAACCTACAGACACGGGGTGGCCCTCGAAGAGGCCATACACGTCGAAACTTGCACCCAGGGAGATGAGTCGGAGATTATTCGGAGGTTTCCTATCCACAGATCTCATATCTCTCTGCATATGCGGCAATTCAAGCTCGCAGCAAGCCCTCTAGAATGTTAACATGGCCATGGGGTTACACAATGGTCAATCCGGCATCAACCTGGCGTAATTGCCAGTGCACGCCTCCTGCCGAAGCTCCGAGAGCCAAAGCCTGCTGGGCGAAGAATGGAACAATACTGTGAAGGCTATGTGTGCGCAAAGACATCCGAGATGAAGAATGACTTATGTTCGACTAATGGTTTCTCGAAATCTCGGCGAGGGTTGATGTACAGGTCAATGTTACGAGAACATAAGACACATGTGCACCCTCTCTGGGTAGCGGCGGTCAAGAACAGAGTGTGATCTCCAAATCCATACGGTAACGCACTATTCGTTCAGTGGGTCTGAGCAATAAACTGTAGCGACCATGTCAGGTGACTGAAACAAGAATTAGCGAATTGTGATAAACATGTAGCGGCGGAGCTGACTCGGGCGTCGGTGCATTTGATTGGCCGCTCTCCATACCAAGCATTTGTTCCTGGCATGCTTCATTTATTTACCCCGCAAAAAGGATTCTATTTGTCCATGTCGTTCAAGCAAACAGCGCGGAAAACGTTCTGAATGCGTGCTGTTTCTACCCCGTCCCATTGGTATCACCCGCACACCGCCGCATGTCACACCTCGGCTTTGGCTGTGCGACGATGGCTTCATGTGAATGCAACTGCATCGGGCAGCTGAGTGGACGGTGCTCTCATGTAACGCACCTCATTGGAGGCTTCCCGTCACGCTTCCACGTTCTTACGAAGCTTTGCGTCGGAGTATACACGTACCTGCCAATATGACAAGCATGGAGAAGCTGCGAATGACGTTGTTGAACACATGAAAGTGTAGTTAGTTCCTTTTCCAAGGAATCTAAATAAGTGTATTGTTCGGCGTTCGCAAGAATTCCCAGAGCGGCCACTCTGTGCTCGATATATAGCATCGACTTACGCCTCCAATAATTCAGCGACCGCTTTATGGTCGCAGTTTACTCATCATGGCTTACCGCTGTGTACTTGGTCTTCTTACGCTAGCGTTATCTTGTCGCGCTGAGCCCTTCAATACCTTCGACGGCCCCGGCCACCCTGCCTGCAACAATGTTGCAAAAGTCTACAACGCTACTTCCGTGGAGGAGATGCAAACCATCGTTCGCGATGCAGCGGAGTCAAACACACCTGTTCGAGCCAGTGGTAAAGGCCACATGTGGTACGATACCATGTGCAGCGATGATCCCACAACCGTCATCATCCGCACCGAGGATGTCAATAAGATCTCAGACTTGGACCTACCCGAAGGTGCGTCCGAGGGCTCCGTGATGATCGAAGCAGGTGTCACGTTTCTCCAGCTCGCTGAATATCTGCATACGAATGGCGCAAGCGTTGGCTACACACTTGTCAACTGGAACATCACTCTCGCAGGCAGTATCGCCATGGGAGCGCATCGCAGCAGCCTCAGAGAAGACAGCATGGTAGCAGCCGGCGCGCTCGAACTTCACATCATCGATGGCAAGGGCAACATCACTGTGGTGAAGCGGGACAACAGCAACGATGATTGGCTTGCAGCGTCGACCTCGTTGGGACTACTTGGTGTTATTGCACGAATCAAGTTCAAGGTTTATCCTGACTTCAAGGTATATGCGCAACAGAAGATGTAAGGAGTCCGCCAATAGCTTTGAGAATGGTGCTGAAATCTATGCAGTCTGGCAGAGGACCAAGTTCTCAATGGAGATATCTACGGAATGATTCAACCCTATGCCACAGCCAACCTCTGGTGGTGGCCTTTCTTGAAGAAGTTTCACCACAGGTACTACGACAAAGTCGACATCAACAACTCCACCCAGGAAGGCTTTCAGTCAACGTTCAGCGTCACAAAGACTGAAGCGGATCTTGCTCTCGGCATCCTCAATGCTGGTATGTTAACACGAACTTCCACCATCCCGTTCACACCTAACAAGCTACAGGAAAATATCTTGCGACCTCTAACCAGCTAGCCGAGACGACCTTCTTCGCCTTGTGGTCTGCGCCCAACTTCCACGAGAAGACCACCGACAAGGCTATACTCACATGGCCCGTGTATGGCTGGAACTACGACGTCCTGATCGGCGGTCTCTACCCAGGCTATGGCACAGAGTGGGATTATGGACTTCGTGGACTCACACTGGAACTCGCATTTCCCGTCACACAAGCCAACGCGGTGCTCAAACGCGTCCGCAAAGCCTTCGACGACTCCGCCGCAGCCGGAAAGCCCATGACCAGCACGTACCGCAGCGGCATCAACATTAAGTTCGGCAAGGCGTATTTCGACCTACTGGGCCAAGTTACAACAAATACCTCGGACGGTGCAGACTGGAGCAAGGGTGCCATCATGTTCGATTTCCCGAGCTTCCAGCCGACGATTGGTGACAAGCTGAGGTACAATGAGCCATTTTACCACAATCTTGCGCAGGCGCTGATCACCGAGTTCCCGTGCCGGCCACATTGGACGAAGAACACGCGGGAGGTGTTTACGCTGGCGAAGGATAAGATTGATGCGTCGCACCTTGCGAGATTCAAGAAGGTGAGGGAGAAATTTGATCCGAACGGTATCTTCAAGAGCATTGTGGGGCAGATTCTGGGGTTGTATGATTGAAGTGGCGTGTAGATAGTGTAGCTGAACGGCAGTACGCCGGTTTGCCTTTCCCGCGCACTTTCGCAAACTCTCATGACTCTAATCTGTCCAGAACTGTCGTTCTCCAGCCCACTAGTGCAACCCCAATGGCTTTGCCTTCGCGCATGTGGAACACTATCCTGTCCAAGGGCTGACCTCCATACCGCGCAGTATCGCCCCAATTCCAGCTTGCACATTCTTGCTCTGCAAATCCACGTGCCGCGCCGTCTTTCGCCCTATCTAGCAACAAGCTCCAATGCTCCTTGTTGCTTCCATTTGAGTCTGGATCCGTGGGGTATAACCTTGCAGTAGCATTAGAGGGATCTAAGCCTTGCATTTTAGCCAAAGCTGGTATGATAGCGACACCGTTCATGATAGCCGACTGCACTAGTAGGCCAGGTCCATCATCGACCACCAATGAGATACTTTTGTTGTCATCGTTCGAGCGGTATGTGCCAGCATAATTCACAGATACTCGAGACCTCACTTGCTCGTCGGCATGTGAAATCAGGGGTTTGGCTATCAACGGCAGCATATCTTGCACTGCACGCGTTGCATCGTTCCCAGCGGCGTGAATTGTCAGCGCAATGTTGTACTCTGGCACGAGTACTGCGTAGCTGGAGTATCCTGCAACTCCGCCAGCTTTTGCGTACAAATTGATGGGACGAGGAACAGCTACGTCGATATCTGTTGGGCGGAAGATTTCCCACGGTGCGCCAATGAGTTGATGGAGGGAAGGCAGCAGCGATGACGGTTGCAGCCACTTGCGGGTCTGGGCGGCGGAAAGCAATTTGTGGGATTGCAGTGCTTCGAGGAAGAGAAGCATGTCGTTAGGCGTACTCCAGATGCCACCTGAGGGGTTGAAGTTGCCAAAGGGGGCGGCGAACCACCGTTCACCGGCTTGTGGCAGAATACCATCGATGGCATTTGGAGTTTCAAACGAAGAGGCATGCATACCGATGGGGGCGAAGATGAGTTCTTGGATGATCTGCTCGTAAGGCTTGGAGTGAACATGCTCGAGTGCCATTCCGAGAAGGTTGAATGCAATGTTGGTGTATAGCGGCTCGGTGTTTATAGTTGTCGGGGAGTATGCTGGGTCGTTGAACATATCGAGAACTTGGAACCTGGAACAGACCTCCCCCCCGGGAAAAGCATCGCATCCAGGTAACGTGTGAGTGACTTCTGGCAAACCAAGCTGCGCTGGAGAGAATCCTGGTATGAGCGCAAGATCACCCGTGTAACCCTTCGTAACGGTTAGTAATAGCTTTATACAGGTTCAGGCTCGAGCTATACGTACGAATCTACCCAAACCGCTCGTATGTCCGGCCAGCGCACCGATGGTCACGTCAGCATATGCCGCTTCGTCCAGGCCTGGGATGTATTTGGTGATGCTATCTTCCCACCTAATTTCTGCTCTTGAGAGCAACACTGCGAGAACGGTGAAGACCTTCGTCACACTCGCTATCCGGATCTTGGTGTCGTATAGATTCGCAGCGTCCTCATGACTAGCGCGATGCGCATGGTGGAAGATAAGCTTCCCTCCCAATGAGGCTTTGATGGCGATGGTAGTTTTGCTGTACCATGTGCGAGATTTCAAGGCGTGCTCAAGTTCAGCCGTTAATAGGAGAGGCTGCACCGCGATGGGCGGGGGAAGAGAGTATCCTGGCGGCAGACAGTACTTTGCGTATGTCATAGTAGGGCTGGCTATGATATCGAGTGGATCGCTTGGTAGATGCGCGCTTGATGCTAGAAAAAGAAGTTGGTGTCAGATGGACGTCTCCTCTTCATGAAAATGAGGCCGATATTTATAACGCTCTAAACTACAGGCGGATATATGCTGCTTCCTATCATAGAATCGTTACAAACGTGGTCGGTGGTAAGGTCGCCGCGTCGGTCGGTCGGGTGTGAGCCCACTCGCACGGAATTATGCGGGGCGCAGTTTGAACTGGGGGCTGAGCGCGCTCTTCGTTGTGGGAGCCGAGGCGCTCTGCGGTTTGAACAACATGGTGCATCGGCAATCTTTTGCCACCTAGACATGTAACCACGCGGCGGAATGGCGGCTAGGTTCGAGGCGTGGTGTTGGGTGACGGTGCGTGGTCGATGGCGGCGTTCTGCTGGCGGACCTAGCACGGCGGCGTATCACACACCACAAGCTTCCCAGCAAGAGTGCACAAGCCGTACCCCGAGCGTCTACACAGCTCACAACCCGAGCCTATCCCTCGACTGCAACTTGGCTACATCTAAGCACCATGGTCCGCTGCCGTATACTTACTGTAGGTAGGGAAGGTCCTCCGTCCCGCTCGACTTCGCTGATATCCCCACTACCTCTAACAGGACACCGTCTCAACATCCGAAATCAACCAGTCCCTCTTCCGAGGTCCTGAAGTTGCTTGAAAAAATCACTGAGGGCACTTGCGCATGGCCTTGCCACTGATAGAATTATGTAGCAAGCATTGTAACCCAAAGTCAAGCCACCATCACGCAGCTTGACGCGCCGCGGCCTGGCCCCCCACGTCTTGTCTCTGGCTTGCAAAACGATGCCGGGCAACTCAATCTATAATCCTCAGTCAATTTCTGAACAGTCTTTCCAGAAGCGTTGCAAGCCGTGACTAGCTGATTGACTTTGCCCAACGCAACCTCGCTACTATACACATCACGTGATTGAACACGCTCGATTGCATGCACAGTGCCAGTGTTTCAGAAGACGAGCGATCACCCAGATTTCCCAATGCAGATATGTCCTGCATCCCTCACCTCGCGTGTATTGGCTATTTCGGGGACTTTGCAAAGCGTCTGACCACACTGGCGGGCTTACGCTGCGCCTCACTACGACAAAGTCCGAGCCCAGGCTGCTACCGCGCCCACCAACATTCGACATGATCTAAATCGGCAGGAAATCCATTCCAATCACCAGCTTGCGAATATCTTCGTGGAAGATCAGTCGCCCTTCAGGTATCGCTCTAGTTTTCGCAGCGCATTTAGTCGAAGAGGTTTGTTAGGTGCCTAGAGCCTAGACAGCTAGAGAGATAGACTGCCTGAGCGATAGCTCCTAGCAGTGAGACCACGCGCAAGGCCAACCCTCGCGGCCTCGTGGCCGCACAGACGTATTCCTCTATCCTGCGTCCCCATCTGGTATTCCCGCAAGTGGTAAGCCCGACTATGAATATGGAAGCATGCCGGCCTCTTTCGCATCTGCTTGCACTCTGCTAGCCTTGCATGTACGACCATTGAACTCAGGTTGGGTCTAGTGTACGATCATGAACCAGATTCTGGAGATCGTGAAAGATGTACCGGAGGTGCCGGTGGGAAATATCTACTGGATGATCGACCATGCTTGTCGCGTGGACAAATTAAGCCTCAAGGTAAGTCGCAAGAGGTGGGAGGTGGCTAACGAGGGGATTCTAACATGGCCAGGTCGTCTCTATACTACTCGGCATCCTCGCGGTATCAGCGTCCGTCGCACGATTATTCTTTCGATATCGAAGCGCGCAGACACTTAACCTCGAAGACTATTTCATACTTTTCGCCACGACTTGCTTGGTCGCAGAAATGGGTCTCATTCTTTCCTTTACCGAGACGATGTATCGAACTGATGGCGCCACACTCAACCTTTCTGTACTCAGATACTTCACGAGCGATCCAGAACTGAGCAAAAACCTCTTCAACAGCGGACCTTCGATTCTCATTGCATACCTCACTTTAGGATGGCTAGCGATATTTTCAGTCAAGTGCAGCTTCCTGGCGTTATTCCATAAGATGTGCAGGAATGTGAGCCGCAAGCTTACGGCGTATTTCTGGGTGACAGTGGCAGCAACTGGAACGAGCTGCATCGTCGTCATCTTGGAGAGCTTCATTTTGTGTCCGCGCTTCGGTGCCGATGCGACGCAGTGCTTCCTAGAAAACCAGTACACGTTCAGTATTAGCTCGGGTGTGGTAGTGCAGTCCTTGGACATTGTGACTGATCTTATGAGTATGTGGTTCGCATTCTCAATTCAGAATATGTTCGCTAACATCGCGCAGTTATCAGCATCCCTTTGACGCTACTCAAGATGTCGCACCTTAAACTACAGAATAAAGTTCCCATCGCGATTGTTCTATGTCTGTCGAGCATTTGCGTCATTCTCAGCATTGCTCGCCTTGCTGCCGGCATGCATCGCAACGTCTTTGGGAAATGGCAATTTGGTATGGCCTGGCTAAGTTTCATGCTGCACTGCGAAGCGTCTGTGGCGGTTATGGCGGGCTCACTCCCCGCATTACGAGCCTTCTACACCTCCCGCCGGAGTCGCAGGATTGAAACAACCCCAAGTGAAAAGCTGAACGAGAAGCTTTCGGACAGCCTTAAAGGCAAGGCTTTGCGGCTACTTGAGGCGATCCGCAATAAAGAGCAGCCAGTATTACCACGACACGAACGCATCCAGCCAAGAGCATCAATAGCGAAATGGCCTCAGTCGATTATTGGTATCATTCCACGAAGACCAATGACCTACAAGGGCGGCGATCTGCACGTGGTTGGTCCGGATGGCCAGCGGTATTCAGCGGCAGAAAGTGTGATGATAGATCCCACCTCAGCATATCATAATATCAGGAAGCAGGAGTTGCAAAGAGACGGTATAATGGTCAAGCGTGAGACCATGGTGTGGAGCGACTCAGCGAGATCGAAGTACGCGTCGGTGGACATGAGTGAGGTGAGTAGCTTGTGCATGCAGCGAAGGCAGATGTACGTGACTGACATCCATAGGCGATATCGCACACTGGGACCATAATATCGTCAGCGGGTAGTAGTCCGGAATTGAAGGGTAGTGACCTGGCGTTTCCTGCCAGGGCCATGTCGGCGAGGAAGGTCAATTATTTCATCGATTCACAGTTTGGTCAGATTACTGCAGGAATGCGCAGCTAAGGTGCTAAAAAGCCCTGCGCTAATGCCATAATGTTTAAGTGTAAACTAGTAAATGATACCCAAGTAAATTTTCCCCTTGAATTAGGGTTCAGCGTTGTGATGTGAGGACGATAGTCAACCGCTTGTACAAGCTTCGCGGCACAGCTGAGTATGTTGTTCATCAACTCTGAGGATTGCCCTGTGGAAAGACATCGCCATGTCGGCCATTTCTTGTATAATGCGATTCGTTTGCGCAAGGGTTTTGCTCTCGTGTAGAACATACTCATTCAATCTCCTCTTATACCCCACACGGGCCCATCGACGTGAGTGAATCATTGTATGAAGAATGAGCATTAAATAGGGAGTCCAGCTCCCTCCATAGTGAGAAAGGTGTAATCAGAGCGCCTCGATCGTGTGCTCCGGTCATGACAGCATCCTAGATCGTACAAGAACCCCCAAGAAACGCCAAAAAGGTTCCCATATTTACACAATATCAGAGCCCGTCGCTGGCCGCTGCGAAGAGTCCACACTTCCCGGTTTGAATGCAACAGAGTCAAATCGTAAGGCATTTTTACCCGGCTGCGAAGATCCTTGGCTCCCAGATCGATCGTCGACGCCGTGATCTATCACCGTTGACAAAGTAACAGTGTTGACAAAGCTCGGTCTTGTGAGCTGGTGTTCTTTCAGTATCCCCAATCGTTTCAAGGCCCTCTCCGCAGGCGACTTCAGAGCCGGAAGCGAGCATGCAATAATGCCGACTATATTTTCCAATATTGCGTATACGGACGGGACCATGGTCGCTTGAAGCGCATCTCCAGTGCCAAAACTCAGAAATGTGGTCAGCTTCGCACAGAGAATGGCAGTGGCAAGTAGTCCGAGCGACATGAGAAACCCGATGAGGACTTTCTCGGCAGTAGACCGCGAGAGACCGCGGATCAGTTTAATTGGTAGGAGCGAGAAAGCGAGGTCCATCAAGATGTAAATCGCTAGCAACTGTCAGCACTGGGGAGGAGAGGCAGATCATGTCGCATACCAGACACAGCCCACCCGTAATTCACGATCGGATCCGTCGGCCAGCACTTCACGTCAGGAACCGTCTCCCAGCTCGCGGAAATCGGCGTGCACTGTCCCAATTGGATTACAACGTACGACATCGTGATGAGGCTCTGTAGCCCCATGATGAAGTACAGCGTATATCTCCACCAAATGCTGGAGTTGAATCGGAGCAATGATGCTGCCACTGATAGGCGTACCAAGCAAAGTGATAAGAGCCATGCGAATTGCATTCCAAACTGCATCATCAATGCCAACTTCAGGTCGTAGGGAGTGACGTATGCCATGGGCTTTCCCCAGCCATGAGCGATGGCAGTGTAAGCAAACGCCATGCTAAGGAGGGAGAGCACCTGGAATCTGTTAGCAGAACCCCTTGTCTTTTACTTGATCACCAACCTCGCCTCCGATGATGAGCCAGTCATCGAGATAGAGCTTCCGTATTCTCGTTGCTCGAGTGTATATGCGCAGAAAAACCAGAGCCAAAGCGATTACACCCAGGGTTGTGACTGGTATCAGGTAAATCGACGAGTTGTTTGAGTACGGTGGCATCGCTGTTGTCGAAGTCATGGTTGCTGGAGTCGCAGCTGTCAGTGTTTCGACCCACGAACGGTCCACGGACGATGCCGTGATGGGAGACGGGGAACGGGGAAAGAGGGTCGCGGAGACGAGTCACGAAGGTGCCGCACCCTAGGCTATAACACTAGCGGGAGCACCATTGCGTGCCGCACCGCTGAAAGTTCCAATACGCGACACGAACAGCGCTGCGGGGGAGACCGCCCAATTCGCGAACAAAGTTTGATACATGCTGGAGAGCTGTGAGAAGGCAGTGGTTCGATGTGCCGCAAGAGCCCCTTGATGCGCCGCGCGTCGAACCATTTAAGATTTGCGTGTCCTGGGTACCTGGTAAACATCACAGGGTATCGAAAGCATGGATGGTGGCGCACGTATGTCGCGCTTCCCCGCGAGCGGTTCGCGGTGATTTTACCCCTTTCCACCGTGCCGGTCTCTTCCGATCCGGTCGCGGTTAGCAATTACCGACATTTAGACTAGTGCATGTTTTATGATTCGGCCATGGACCGACCGTCTCATCGCGTACGGATGATGTTCCGAAGAGACGAGGAGGTTTGTCCCTAAAAGTTGAGCCACGCATCTTTAACGGCTGCTTGCCGCGCATTGTGTCGCCTGTGTTCTGATCCCCAGCCATGTCGTGTGCATTACATTGCAACACATCCATCTTTTGGGGATTTATCCTTCGACATGCAACTAAGGTTTCATCGTGGACGCTGGCTTGGCCACCTCATACCTCCATACACACAGGTACATACCTAGGTACTCTTTTCCAGAACAGTGGCATCTGCGCATCCATCACCTTTACTCGCAATCGACACGGTTCGATTTTAGGGCCAGTTCCGTTCTTTCGCAAGTCATGGTAGAAGGCGGGAAAAGACTTGAACACGGTGTTGTAGGGTGCAAGCGCACAGCTTGCGTACCCCAGTAAGACCCACAGTCTATCTTTCGATTGGAGATAGAATCTAGACACACTGTGTTTTCTGTGAGATGTTGCGTTGTTAGATAACGGCGTGGTGGTTTCATAGCCATCACCTCATCAAGATTGCGAATCACAAACATCAGTGGGACTCTCAGTGTTGCGTGGCATTATGACCCGTGTATCTATCTATCTGTTACCTACTCTCGCGCTCAGAGAGTCGAATTAGCCTCGACAATGGCCTGTACGTTGTCTATGTCCAGGACCCGAGCTCGAAACGTGGGCTTTTTCAAAGTTCGATGTCTCTAGGAATGGTGTTCTCGGTCTTTGTGAGCGAATGATATCGACGATGCGAGAGCGACTGGCTTGACTCTACAACAGTCGTCGCAATGCTTTTGAGGCAAGACCGCTGCCCGACAACATGCCAGAGCTGAGAGTGTCATTACATTCACTTGCCAGTCCGAGGCTGTGGTATGTGTAGAACTCGTATATTCTGTGCGACTATCTCCACGGTTGTTGCCAGAGTTCTCACGCATGGTTCAGGCGCTATTATCCAGTATCTGGGACCGTAGACATGTCTACGATGTTCCTGCTCGTCCCATGGTCTTCACCTGGGGTTCTTGCAAGAAGGGTTTCCTATCGTATGCGCTAGGAACCCTCAGATGTCGGGTTGGGCAGCGTTTGGGCTAAAATTGAACGTACGTACATGCATGCATGATTACCCTTGGCATCTATAGCTAACTCTGAATAAGGCTGATTCTAATCATTTAAGGTTGCTAGGCGCCGCATGGCGCACGTGGAGTTGAACGAAAGAGCCTTATAGGACCGCAATTAACGTCAAAGCTTCGTTGCCTCATCTCTCAATTTTGGATTTGCGTTGTCCCGAAGTCAGCAGTTAACACTCCATCCACACGTTCTGATCTTGTAGGGCTGTAGCAGTGTCTACAACCTAAAGGGAAACTTCGAGTTGATGTGTACAGCTCTTTCTTCTCTCCATCTCCATGGCGACCTCGCCTTAGGCGTCTGCTGTACATGAACGAGGTTACTGGTCCCTGAATTCGATTAGCCATTGCCATATACAGAGGCATGTCATAATCGCAGGCCACTAAACGAGATTTTATGGGACCCCTCGTCTGTCAAATATTCCTGGTAGAGTTCAACTAGTTGTGTATATCATTTACTCTTACAAGTTTTCAAAGGGGAAGTGGGCACCTATGGTACGAAGCATTCAAGAGGATTGTAGGACGTGCCGAGGTCTTCTTTGAAACGAAAACCTCGAATTGAGGGTCGCCGGAAGGGGGCCAACATCGTGGGACATGGTCTGAAGCAGAAAAAGTCGGGTTTGTCTGCTGTAGCTCGGTGAGATCTGGAAACACAGATTGGCACGCTAGACACATGCTAGAGATCCCGAGTTTCAGCCCCCAATTCACCATGAGGTTTCCGAGCTGTGAACCGTGTTGTCAGGCTTCCAGCACATCGTGATACTCAGGGCTACTAGCTTTCACAATTTTGAAACTGTCGCTCTTATTTTTGTTTACATAAGGGCTGAGTCGGCTAATTCGCGGCCAATATGACCTCGCGGACCTTCAAGCGCTGGCATTAGCTGGCGCCATAGATAAGCCACATCTTTGCCAGCGAGATTGACATTTCGGCACGTTCCGTCCGTTTCGCCATTGGTCCATGCCTTCGTCGCTGCTCGTCACTATTGATGCCCTCGTGATGGTCCTTCGATTGACCTTAATACTGATCGATTATAGTGCCTGGGCTGTTGCATTAGTCGACCGCTTACGGTATAGAGCGTTCTGACATTACCCGATTCGGAGGAATGATCTGCAGCGACTTGAAGTCGGAGCCTCCAGGCTTGGACCTTGTGGAGCTTCATCACTGAGCTGAGTTGGGGCCGCGTGAACCGGCGCAATAGCCAGTGAGAGGACTAAATTAACGTGAGGGACAAGAATTCCCCGTAGCTTGTTTGTTCAGAAAGTTTGCTAAAACGTACATCATATCGCATGTCGAACATCAAAGGCACAGACCTATCCCCTCCGCAAACCAAACATGGCGCCTCTCGTCTCCTTGCTGCATCCTTCCTTGTAATAGGAGTTCACAGCGTGCCAACGAATTCACCCAAACCTGAATCCACTATCGCTATCCGCGCCCCAGTCCCAGAGCCTCAACTTCTCAGTAGCCTCGTCGGTGGTCTTGTAGGGACCAAAGGCGCTTTAACAGCGACACTGGTACAAGCCTTGAATGGAACACTAACCCAGCTCCTCCACCCGATGCCAACAAGCTCGCCAAAGGACACTGATGATATCTTCAGCTATGTCCAAGGTCGGTTTCGGAACAGACGCAACGCCAGATATGTTCAAACTAGTATTAACTACACGCTGTACGGTATTCTACGCACGCTCACACGACCATGAGGTATTCAGGGTGCAACTATAGGAGAAGGCTCCCAGGGTATCAACTCTTTCACAAACATCAATTCAGCGCCGCCGAGGACGATTTATCCACGAGCTGAACAGATGGATGCCAAGTTCTCAGTCAGTGAATTGGCTCTACGATCCGCCATCTTCATTCCTTCAACATTTCAGGCCGCGAATGCGCCCAGCCCTGTTTTACTCGTCCCTGGAACCGCCACAATGGGTGGTGTCAATTTCGACGGAATTTTCGCGAAGATCCTCCAGGCAGATCCATCAAATGGGCAGCCAGTATGGCTCAATATACCAGAGGCTATGCTTGGTGATGACCAGGCGAATGCTGAGTATATAGCCTAAGCAGTCAACTACGTCCACGACATCACCGCACATAAAGTCAACGTCATCGGTTGGTCCCAGGGTAACCTCGACACACAGTGGGCACTCAAGTACTTCCCGTCCACACGGGTATCCGTGAAGCAACTTATTTCCATCTCGCCAGACTTTCACGGCACGATTCTCGCCAACCTTATCGACATTCCCACGGATGTTGGCCAGTCCCGATGTCGCAGGGGATACTACAACAGGAGTATGACAGTCGCTACGTGGCGCAACTTCGCAAGGACGGCGGAGACTCGGCCTACATCCCAACTACGACCTTCTACCTTCTTCGATAAAATAGTTCAGCCTCAACAAGGTTTGGTGCGTCCAACAACGAGATCCAGGAAATGTGCGGCATTGCTCCTGCTAGTGCTTCATGGACCCATGAGTCGTTACTTTGTCGTTACTGTTCAACGGATTTGTTTTCACTTTAGCCCTTGAAGCGCTCAGGAAGGCCAGGGCGGTTCCAGCGAGCGAGATTGATTTTGCTACGGTATGCCAACAGGCCGTATACCCTTGGCTTGAATTGACAGACGTGCTGGAGACGGAGCCTCTGATCCCGCTGGCTGCAATTAACATCCTGGAATATGTTGGAGCAGCGAAGGGATCCCTCGAGGAGTCTTCTTTAAGGTCATACGCTACGTGATGATGGATGCGAAGAGAATCTTGGCCAATCTCGATGTTTAAAGGCAACCTCGGTGTGTAAAGACAATCTCGGTGTGTAAAGACAGCTTCATTGATATCGCTAGGGAACACTTGAACATAGCTCAGAGGGCAACTTATTGATTTGAGCACCAATTGGGTAGTTCATCTTCGGCAATGGTTATCCCGTTTACCAACTTTGGAATATCATGTTTTTAGTATATTTCCTCACCTTTTCACCACTTGTAAATTAGAAGACGACATACTTTGCGTACAAAGGAGTACCGGGTCCCACAGCACTATGAGCAGCTCCCCTGCCTAGATCTCTACCAATCTCTACCAATCTCTACCAATCTCTACCAATCTCTACCAATCTCTACCAATCTCTACCAATCTCTACCAATCTCTACCAATCTC